TGGGTATATTGATCCTATCAGAAAGAGCCACGAGTGAGATACTTGCATTAAGGGGTCCCATTAATCGAGAGCGTTAAAGGTAATCGTGGTCCGGGGAAACCGAAACTAAGACCATTCACTGAGAATCAACATATTGGGGAGGGGGGGAGGCAAAAGACTCTATCGATATATTAGGGGGACCCGGGTTGGAAGACACCTGCGAATTAAAGGTATACCATGAACTCGGCGGGGCCAGTAGGCCAATAGCTGGCCCTATCGCCTGTGGAAATCGAATTGAAATACTGACCCATAAGAAAGAAATCATTAGCAAAATAGGAACTGACGGTTTGTGAAGTAAGTTCTTTTTCATGTCTTTTAGATCTTCTGAATGCACCCACCATACTTACTAATTATCAAGGAATTAAAACACATACATACTATTCAGTTGATCAAGCCAACAATACATTTACCATCTAGATCCAGTACGGTCCCCCTAACGGCCCTAGACAGCGTCAGAAAATGAAAGCAGGCAAGATGTCTTTCGACCATTCTTCGGTGATCTTAGATAGGGTTTCTTTCCAGGAATTCCTGCAGGACTGTCTGGTGGCCAGCAATTAAATAGCCATGGTATTGATATTCTGCGCATGTACCAGCACTGTACTGCGCTAATCAAACGGCCGAGTTTGGTATATAGAGCCTTTGCCCAGTTCTACATAAATAATCCGAATGTAACACCTGATTGGCTAAAATGTATGATTGGCTCTATTTACGCAAAGACTGCCTCTCGCATAATTCACAGCCTTCGTGCAAGGGCTGAACTGTCACATACCAACCTTCTTCTACCCGAACTCACACGCGAGTTCGGCGTGATATCACATTGGCTCTGACAGTTCGTGCCTCAGTGTTTATTTCTTCGAGAGCCAATAAAATTATTGGTTGTCAAACTCGCCCTGTCTTGTGCACTTACATTTCGACACACCGGCTCACTAGCGGAATATCTCATTGGCTATGACACTGCAGCTCGAGCCTCAGTTTTTGCTTTCGAGAAGTAATGGATCTATTGGCTGTTAAAGTCGCCACTTACATCTTGACAGATAGATGGCGGAGCATCTCATTAGCTCAAACACTGCAGCTCGAGCCTCAGTGTTTGCTTCCTAGAGGCAATAAAGTATTGGTTGTCAAAGTCGCCACTTATATCTTGACAGACCAATAGCGGAAGATATCTTTAGCTCTGACAGCTCGAGCCTCAGTGTTTGTTTCATCGAGCCAATGAAAACAAATTTGTTGTCAAAGTCGCGTCGCCATCCACTATATACCTCTTGGACAATAGTCATGAACCAGCGACTAGAAGGCTAGGCAAGCGCACGAGATAGCTATACCGGTACCGTTATTCCAATTGTTTAAATCAGGATCGTGTCTGTGGTAGAAGTCTCGAGACCTTTCCAAGTCCTTTTTTCACAACCTAAATATACATATTCTCCGGCCCCCGTTCAAAAGGTTTTGGATTTTTATTTGCATTAATTAGGATGATTACAGAGCTTTTCTAGTACCAATACCACACGATTAAAGATCTTGAGACTTTGAAGAGACGAGCATATTTTTCAACACTCCATTCAAAGAATACAGGATGATCGCAAAACCGACATCACAAGAGCAACTCAAACACCAGTAAAACTGCGGCCTCCATATACCCCACTACAGGCAGGAGTCTAGACAAGCAAATCTGTTATTGAGCAGCCGCAGCCCATCAGCCAGAAACTGCAGAGTTGGCGAAATATCATCCCCAGAAGGTGTGCGGTTGTTTTAAGGCGTCTAGCGGGAATTAGACCACGGCACTGTTAGTAAGTTTGCCTCGCTATCCGTATTACTTGACCTGTATCCTGATGCAGCTACTAGCAGGCTAGCTTTCCACTCCTTTACTCGAGAGATTTGAGCTACTGTTGGGTCCACGGGGCCAGTTTGGTGGAGAGAAATGCGGCGGCACGACTGCATGGGAGTAAGACAAGGCTTGCTCGAGATGACCTAGAGACTCGGATTGATATTAGTAGCCGTTAACTTGCAAAGGATTAGAGAGTTTAAGCCACCAAATATTTCTGGCAAGAACAAAAAGATCAGCGCAAAAAAGATCAACCCTCGTAGCTCACTTCCAAACTGGTAGTCTTGAGACTCTTACTAGTACTCAATACAACGGTATCAACAGCAGAAATTACCAGCCCTGGGTTAGTTTCTCCTTTGACCCTGGACCGCTGATCTTTTTTGTCCGACGATCTTTTTTGTTGTTGCCAAAAACTCGGATGGCTTAAACTCTATTCCGCGTGCACCGAGTGATGAACTGTGAATATTACTTGGCGCGAGTGATGACCTATGAAAACGAACACTTGCAGCAGCCCGGGCTGGGGATCCGCTTTTTATGACCCCGCCTCGTCGAGATGCGCAGAAAACTGCATATCCATAACGCATGCGACACAAACCAAGCCTCAGCAACCCACGTTTCCCACCTTCATCGGTTGTTGCGCTCGGTCGATCGCGTGGCACTTTCCAGCTTGAGACACAGCTGTCACTTTTGGCTGGTTGGTCGCACAAGGCCGCGGGATGTCTCTGCGGGGCCCGGGCCATCCTAACGTGGGGGACATGCATTATTCAATACTGTTTGTGGGCCGTTCGGTAACCACGTTCTTAGACATGAGAAATCACTCGATACCGTTTTAATCGCGCGTCAATAATCTGGTATCCTCCCATTTCATAACCGGCCACTCCCCCGTTGCTAGTTTGTTTCCCCGTGGCCGGGTTTGGTCTCTGATCTGCCGGTTCGGCCTTACACATACCTTACATCACGTTACGCCGGCCTGTAGCTACCCAGCTCCGTGGGCCGGCCGGACATGCGCCAGTCAGTTGGTAGGCTTTCTTAACCTCCCTCTTTATCGACCGGAATCAGTTCACTGACACGCTTTTCTAGATCTACTAATATCCCTTGCTCGACCGGCACCAGTCCGCTGGTAGGCTTTCTTACCAACTTCCTAAGTTTCCACTTACTCGACCGGAACTAGCTCGCTGGTAGGCTTTCTTAAATCCACTAATATTCCTTTTGCTCGACCTGTACCGGCCAGTTCGCTGGTAGACTTTCCTTACCTCTCTTTTTCCTCGACCAGAACCAGTCCTACTGGTAGGTAGGCTTTCCTATTAAATTCCTTACTTTCTTTTTTACTCAACCAGCACCAGTTCGCTGGTAGGCCTTTCTTAATCTTCTTTCTACTCGACCAACATGACTACTCCTCGAGTCTCGCAAGCTTTTCTAGTTTCCTTTTATTTCGACCGGAGCCACTAGTTCGCTGGTAGGCTTTCCTTATCTCTCTCTCTTTTTTATTTGCATCTAGTCTCTTCAACTACGGCTCTAGATACCTAGTTGCACAAGTGCTCCTAAGCATCCTCTACTCATCCATAAGGACCAGAAAAACACAACATACTATACTAATCCAACGCAGACCCACAACACACGGGCGACGGAGTCTTTAAGACTAGGCGATCGAACGAAGCTCCAAACACACCCCGTCAGATGTGACCAAAGAAGCCGCTATACATGCTGGGCTGCGCATCAGCTCGGGAAGGGCGCTGTTTGTGCTGTTCTGTGAATCTGGGGGGGGTGCATGAGGTAGCCTAGCTATGGATGCGGTCGAGGCAGCAGCTAGCAGGGGATGAGGTAGGGGGGTAGGGGTAGTGAGTGGAGGAGGGTATACATGCAGCGGCGTGCAATGACCATGAAAAAAGGGTAGTCCAGTTGCGGTACCGATGTTTCAGCAAAAAGACGGCGGCCGGCCCTACATGTATGCAGCGGCGGCGTGGAAAAAGGGTACATGGCTAGTCCAGTTGCTGCTGCCAGAGCGGTATCGATTTACCACTATACGGCCCCCCCCCCCCCTTTCATGTGGCTGGCGGCTTCTATGTGCTCTAGTGGTTGGCTACTTGTGTAGCTGTTGCTATTAATTAATTCTCCTGCGCCCTGTGTTGCCGGATGTGGTGTGGTGTCGCGCCGATATATATGTGATCACGTGAGACCGGCGCTGGGTCCGTCATGGTCTGTCACTCGAGCGTCTCCACCTACCCACCCACCTTGGAAATATTTTTTTTTTTTTTTTCCTTCTTTTTTTTTTTTTAGCACATCGATACCCGGCTTAACGCGATCCTGGGAAATGGGGGGGGGGGGGGGGGGGGTGTGACCAGCTCCTCACAGAATCGGGAACAATAGTACTCTTGGTGAGTAAAGAATCGCTAGAGCCTGTTCTTCTTGGATGTGCGTGGAGGTAGTCATTGCATACCCCGCGCATCTATCCGCGCTGTTGGTTGATTGATTGACAGTAGCTAGCCCGCTCGATGGGACGGGTGGGGCATTGGACCGCTGGGCTGCTGTTTGTTGTGGGTGCAAGGGATATTGTAATGGTCTCTACCATGTAGATGGATGGATAGTAACTATAGCAGGATTGGGGGTGTTAGAGGTTGGTGGTGCAGAGGGTGGGGTGGGGTGCAGAGGGGTGGAGGGGGGGATTAGTGGAGAGTGAAGAGTGGACTACATTATTGTTCCGTCAACACCACACTACATTACCGTTCCATTACCATTCGGCTTCGTTTTCTTTGCCCATGCCTTCGTAGACAGCATCCTCATACTCATGCTCATGCTCATGCTCTCTCGACCCATATCTAGACTAACCACACCCCTCCCCCCCCCCCTCTCTTCTTCTGCGCCCTCTTCTGCCACAGACCAATGGACACAGAGAAAAGACAATTGAAAGCAAGCCACGCAGTATCAATTATTGAACCCCGCCCACTACCACTACCACTACCGCAGCTAATCACAAGTGCAAATCCCCCCGCCGCAAACCACGCAAACATACACCCCTTTTCATGACCGCCCTCCCCACAACCCTACATGCAAAACCACAAAACAAAAACATAAGCGTAAAAAAAAAAAAAGTCCACAACAAAAAAAAAACCCACTAATTTCTACCTACCCTACACTCCCCCCGCCACTAAAACGTACTCCCCGCCAACCGACTCGCCGCATTCTTCGCATCAAGCCTATCCTCATCCCCCACGCCCAGCCCCTCCTCCTCAACCTCCTTCACCACCCCCCCCACGCCATTCCCCTCGCCCCCCAACCCGCCCATCCCCCCCAATCCACCTAGCCCACCCGGCACCCGCTGCACCCCCGGCACCCGCTGCACCCCACTCCACGCATCCCCCGCCGGCCCCTGACTCACCCTGAGGCTAGCCCTCCGACTCGCCGGCGGCGCATCGCGCCCCAAGCGGCTCAACCCGCCGCTCGCATCAATAGCGCGGATGTCCGGCCTCACGCTCTCCAGCGTGGCCAGCGTGCGCCGTTCCGCCTCAATCTGGCGCAGGCAGTAGTCGCGGATGCTCATTCTGGTCTCGCGGGCCGTGCGCGCAAACCAGCGGCGGCGCTCGAGGACCAGGTTTGTGGTGACGCGCTTGACCTTGTTTTCGAGGTGGGTCTCGGTGCCCTTTGCCTCCTCGAGGGCCTGCAGGGCCTCGTCGACCTTGTCGCGCTTGAGGGCGCCCTTGGACTTGAGGACCTCGACGGTCTGGAGCCTTGAGCGCGTGTCCTTGCGGGCGGCTTCGAGCTCGCGCATGAGGATTTGGCGGTTGGTGAGCGTTTCTTTGACGATGAAGGCGTCCGAGGAGTGGTAGTTGAGGGGGTCGCCGAGGGTTGTGGCCTCGGCGGTGGCCTGCGCGGCGTGGTAGTCGCCGACGGATTGGATGGTTTTGCCGAGCTTGCGGAAGGCGTTGGACATGCCTTGGTGTGTCTCGGTCTGGGAGAGGGCGAAGAGGCGGATGCCGAGTTCGGACTCGGCGAGGCCGACGCCGCGCCGCGACTTGACGACGCGGTCGACCTTCTGGCCCGTCTCCATGGTGCCCAGGTAGAAGGCCTTGACGACGGGGCGGGCTTGTTCCAGCTCCGGAGTGTCGTCGGGCGGGGGCGCAAACTGCTTGATTACGCGGCGGCGCACGCCCGTGGCGGGCTGCTTGCGGCGGACGACGGGGCTGTAGCCAAAGTCGGACTCGACAAAGAAGACAATCTCCTCGTCGCGGATGAGCACGTCGTTGCTGCAGACGGTGTTGAGCCAGCGCTGCATGGCGGCCTTGACGCGGGCCTCGTCCTCCTCGGTGCCGACGCCGGCGCTGGTGGCGGGCGGCGGCACGGCCGGCACGATGCACTCCGGGTTGCTGCTGAGCAGGTGGTTGGCCAGCTTCTGGAACTCGGGGTGCGTGCGGCGCACGTCGCGGAACTGCGTCGTGCGGAACTTGGGCAGGTTTGTCTGTAGAGATGTGGTCAGATAGTACACGTCATCCGGGCTGGTGATGTGGGGCGGGAGATTGAGGTTCTGGCTTACGTGGACGTCGAATTTGAGGATGAGGTCCTTGCGGCCGGTGCGTTCGAGGGCGGTGATCTTTGCCTGGAGACGGTGCTGCGGGCGGTTCTGCTGCTGGGGCTGCTGCGGGGGTTGTTGCTGCCGAGGTTGCGGGTGCTGGTGATGCTCCTCCTGGTGGTGCTGCTGCGGGGGGTGCTCGACCTCCTCCTCATGGTGGTGCTGCTGGGGGGTCTCCTGCTGCCGCTCCTGCTGCGGGGCCTGGACAGGGAAGCGGGGCGTCTCTGGGGCAAAGCCAGGACTGAGGAAGCCATCGTCCTGATGGTGCTGCTGGGGCTGCCCGAAGCCGCCGTGGTCGTCCATGCTTGGGTTGAACGGGCCCGGCGTGAACGGCGGGTCGGTGTCATCGTGGGGGGTGTAGGAGGCGTGCTGCACGGCAAAGGGCTGCTCGGTGGGGTCGTCCCCGAATCCGCCGGTGTCGGAGGCGAGCGCGGAGTAGTCCATTGTGGGTGTGTGTGGGTGTGTGTGGGTGTGTGTGGTGCGGTGGAGGGTGTGTGGGGATGGGGTGATGGGTAGTGTGAGGGATATGAGGAATGGGGGGGGGGGGGGGGGGTGCTTCAGGGAGTATGGGATGGGTGAATGCTGTGAGGTGAGGGATGTCGATGAATGGGTGTATGGATGTCCGGGGGTGTGTGTGTGAGGTTCCGGACGGATGATCGACAGACGTGGGGTCTGGTGATGGTCAAAGAAGAATGTGTCTGTATCCGCGGTGAGGATGAGGGCGTAGATGTCTCCCCCTTCTTTCTCCCGTTCGTGATGCGTTCGATGGCTGCCCTTCTGCTTCGTGATGCCTTGAGTGTGTGTGTCTGTGTGTGTGTCTGTGTGTGTGTCTGTCTGTCGTCTGTCTGTCTGTCTGTCTGTCTGTCTGTCTGCAGCTCAACGTCTTGTGGACAGGTTGGCTACGGTGGCTGGTGTGCGTGCGTGTGTGCGCCACAGCACTAACCGGAACGGGGGCATCGAGTGATATGCTGTGCTCCTGCCCCGCGGGGTATACGAACGGCATGCATGTGAAGCTCTCATCTTTGTGTTGCGGGGCGGTAGGCTGTGCATTCAGTTGAGGGCTCTCTCTACCTCGTCTACGTCTACGGAGCCAGACCGTCCCCACGACAGCATCTCTCAACCCCATCAACACTCGGGCCCATCCCACCCCATCCCCACGCTGCACCCATTCCACTCCGCTCCGCCCACACTCCACTCCACTCCGCTCCCACTCCACTCCACTCCGCTCCCGCCGAGTGACATCACCATGAATCACTCGTCCCAGCACCCCCCCCCCACCGCGCATAGTTACCCTGCCTGTCTCTCGCTCCCACGGTCGCACACAAACTGAAATCTGCAGCTTGCAAGGCCACCCACCCATATCATATCGCAATGCTTCTCCTCCGCCGCCCGCCCGTATGGCGATGCCGCGCGCCCACGACCCGCGCCTTGGGGCTCACGGCGCTCCCACTACAGAAGGTGCCAATGGGATGCAGGTGCTATTCGGCCAGCACGACAAACGAGCAGGCGGTGGTGCCGCTGGCGCATACGAGGAATATTGGCATTATTGCGCATATTGATGCTGTGAGTTTGTATAGCGCCCGGTTCTGGTTTAATTGGGGGCATTGGGGCACTGGGTTTTGGGGGGGGGGGGGAATTGGGATTGAGGAGTGGGGCAATTGCGCTGACTGGTGGTGAATGGTAGGGGAAAACTACGACGACGGAGAGAATGTTGTATTACAGCGGGTTTACGAGGAGGATTGGAGGTCTCTATTCTCTGTCCTATTCTATGATTTCTATACAGCTGCTCGTGACTCTGTGATGTCTCTAGACTGGGCGTGTCTATACCAGCCCACTCTCGAGACCCCACAGCTTCAGGAGCTCGCAATCTGCCCATACCATTACAAACACCCACTAACCTCTCTCCAGAAGTCGACGAAGGCTCCACCGTAATGGACTACCTCCCCGCCGAGCGCACCCGCGGCATCACCATCACCTCCGCCGCCATCACCTTCACCTGGACGCCCTCGTCCTCCCCCACCCCCGCCACCCCCTCCCCGCACACCATAAACCTCATCGACACCCCCGGCCACGCCGACTTCACCTTCGAGGTCGAGCGCTCCATCCGCGTGCTCGACGGCGCAGTCACAATCCTCGACGGCGTCGCCGGCGTCGAGGCCCAGACCGAGAAGGTCTGGCGCCAGGCCCACGCCTACTCTATCCCGCGCATCATCTTCGTTAACAAGCTCGACCGCGTCGGCGCGCGCTTCGGACCCACCGTCAAGGAGGTCGCGGCGAAGCTGAATGGCTGGCCCGCGGTGTGCCAGCTGCCCGTGTATGACCCTGACACGAAGGGGGGGGAGGACGTGTTCCGGGGGGTGGTGGACGTGGTGGAGAAGCGGGTGTTCCTGTGGGACGGGGGAGATGGCCAGAAGATTGAGCTGCGGGATTACGAGTGGCTTGAGGGGCAGCGGCCGGAGCTGTATGAGGAGGCGAAGGCGGCGAGGGTGGCGCTGGTGGAGCTCCTGGCGGAGCATGATGAGGAGCTTGTCGAGGTGTTTATGGAACTTGAGGACCACGCGCTCATCCCCGCGGCGGCGATCAAGGCGTCGCTGCGCAAGTCGACGCTGAAGGGTGACGGCAAGATCATCCCCGTCTTTGCCGGCGCCAGCTTCCGCAACATTGGTGTGCAGCCGCTTCTGGACGCTGTGGTAGACCTGCTGCCGTCGCCCCTGGACCGCCCGCCAGTGGCCGTGTCGTATAACCAAGGGAAGCACCGGGGCACACTGGACGTCACCGATCAGAGTAAGGTGTGCGCGCTGGCCTTCAAGGTCGTCAACGACCCGAAGCGCGGGGCAATGGTGTTTGTGCGGGTGTACTCGGGCACGCTGACCCGCGCGCACAACCTCTTCAACACGAACCTGGGCGTCAAGGAGCGCGCCACCCGGCTGGTCCGCATGTATGCCGACGAGGCGGTCGACATCGCCGCCATCCCGACGGGCCACATCGGCGTCATCATTGGCCTCAAGCACGCGCGCACCGGCGACACCCTCGTCTCCGAAACCACAGGCCCGGGCACACACAAGTCCAAGCAAAAGAACAGCAAGGCCCCGCAGCTCGCCACCGACACGCTGCAGCTGCGGCCCATCGCCGTCCCACCACCTGTCTTCTTCGCAGCCATAGAGCCAAACTCGCTCAGCGACCAGAAACACCTCGATGAAGCGCTCGCAATGCTGCTGCGTGAGGACCCCAGTCTGCATATCAGCATCGACGCCGACTCCGGCCAGACGCTCATCAGCGGCATGGGCGAGCTGCACCTGGAGATTGCGCGAGACCGCCTCGTGGGCGACTTCAAGGCGAACGCGGAAATGGGCCGCATCCTCATCTCGTACCGCGAGACCATTGCTGCCGCGTCCCAGCCCGTACGGACGGTATTCGACAAAGAGATCGCGGGCAAGCGCGCCGCCGCTGCCTGCACCGTCTCTGTCGAGCCCCTCGACCCCACCACCACCACCGCCACAACAGACGACGGCAACACCATAACCATCACCATCACAACACCCCCCATCACCGACCCCGCCACGGGAGAAAGCACCGACACCCGCCTACCCAAATGGCTGACCACGGCGGAACTCGAAACTGCGCTGCAAAACGGCGCATCAGCGGCTCTCGGCCGTGGCCCCGCGCTCGGCTTCCCCGTGCGCGGTATCGCAGCCCACGTCAGCGTCGACGTGTCGACCGACGTCCTCGGTCCCGAGAGCACCCTCGCCGCGTTCTCGTCCGCGGCACGGATTGCCACGACTGCGGCGTTGAAGGAGGCGGCGGGCGGGGAGAGCGTGCTCATGGAGCCGGTGATGGACGTGGTGGTGACGTGTGAAGAGAAGGACCTTGGTAAGGTCGTTGGCGACATCTCTGGTGCGCGCGGGGGTCATGTGTTGGAGCTTGGGGGACTGGATGCTGAGGCCGATGCTGAGGCTGCAGGCGGTGAGGTGGAGAGAGAGGTGGACTTGGTGAGGGTGTATGCGCCTGGAGTAAAGCGGAGCGTGGAGAGTAGGGATGAGGGCGGGAGGAAGCGGAGTGTGAGGGCGAGGGTGCCGCTGAAGGAGATGGTGGGGTACTTGAAGCACCTGAGGGGCATCACGGCCGGAAGAGGCACGTTTGTGATGAGTTTGGAGGGCTGGGAGAGGATGAATGGGAATAGGGTGAGGGAGGTGGTGGCGGAGGTTAGGGGTGGGTAGGGACTGTATACCATAGATATTTTTTGTGTAGTAGTTAAAGTGTAGATATTGTGTTCTCCCTTAGTGTAAGTTAGAGTCAAGACTGGGGAATTGGACCAGTGCGCAGAGAGGACGCCAAGCTACGAGTGATATCTGATGATTTTGTGCTTAGTAGGAAGCTTTTGTTACGAAAGGTATCGGGTTTAGATACGTACATGTAAGTGATCGATTACGATGGAGAGGATCCTATACATGTTTTGTAGTAAAACAAGAGTTCAGTATGGACTTTGATCCCATGTGAAGCACAGGAGAAGGCTCATGCTCAGTTCATGGAAATAGAAAAGTTCGAGTATTGTATTATGGTGATGATAAGAGTAAATGGAAAGAAAGCGAGACGCAAAAGGAATAAGCGAAGATATACTAACTAGTCCTAGGGACACAGTAGTCTCTGTGACCTGTCCTTTGACCTACCGGATATCTGTCCTCGCATTGACAACTTCCGGGTCGAGCAACCTGTCTATGCCACACCTGTAGGGGCTGCACGTCCTTGCGGCTTTGGGCTATTAGAGATGGTGGGGACTTTTAGTCTGCGCTGGATACATAGTAACTAGAGTTTTGATTACACTCTCATACCATACTACTCCGGAGCTTTTCTGAACAATGGATGGGGCTTGGCGGCCTCTCTTTCGACCAAAAAAATAAAAAGATGCTCTGGTTGGGGTTTGAACCCAAATCTCCCTGCGATTTTATAAGTTTTTAATGTTTTTGGTGAGGGCATGCTGACCAGTTGCACCACCAGAGCTTGAATATATGTGTCTTTGGGTGGGTAATAACCTGGGTTGTGTGCTTTTGGGGTAGAATATTGGGAAGATTTATGGAGGGAATGTGAATTTGAGGGAGGTAGGGAGGGAAAGGAAGTCGGTGCGTGCTATATATAAAGTATCTCTGGAGCTCACTGCAAGCATGTATCAGATACTTTGCGGGTCTTCTGGGCTCTCAAACCCGCCTTACCTTTGGGTTTCTTTCAGTCAGGACAACCTACCCTCTCTTTTTTGCTTCCGCGAGTTTTAGAGAGGTTTTTGGATGCATTTCGTTCCTGGCTATGGATCTATGACCGAGAAACCAGGGCCTTTGTCTTTTTGGTGATTAGTTATGAATGGCTCTTACCAACGCCACCATTTTTTTTATTCGAATCGAAGTATGCTAAGTGTGTAGGTAAATATATCACTCTTTTCCTGCTGATTCGGTTGATATTAGTCGGACCACCCGCGGCTTTGTTGGTAAAACCAGCTGTTGTAATTCATCAAAATATAATTCTGGTTAAGAACTCAGATATATATAGAGGCCAAGTACGTATTGTTCTTGAAGGCCCTTGGATTGTATTGGTAAAGAAACCAATTTGTCTGTTCTATCCCTTCGTCTGGCAATGCTGCCCACCCTATAACACATGAATTATATTTGTATGTGAGATCTATTATTTGATAAGAGAGATAACGGGATCTGTTAGTAAAGCCACATATAAAATTTGCTTTTTTGGGGGTGGGCAGCATTTTTTGCCAGACGAAGGGATAAGGGGATATATGCTTGGATTCGATGCTGAGGTAACCTCGTATGATTCTGCGTCGTTAATAATGTTTAATTTAGGATTTCCCTATTCCCGGCGACCTGCATGTGCGAAATGACTACTCGTAGCTTCATGACGTTTCCGAACACGACTAATATTGCATACCATACAAAAAAGCGCCAAATCCACCTCTTTGTATGTCATGCAATATTGGTCGTGTTCGGAAACGCTATGAAGCTACGAGTATACCGCCAAAACTCGAAAAATTGGCTATCTCCGTCCAGGGATTACCACTTGAGTGATTGGTTGAATGGCATCGATCTGCACCAGAAGTTTCCCGTACAAGTAATTTCGATCTAGCCAATTTTTCGAGTTATGGCGGCATATATGTATACTCGATCTGAGAGGGTGCCGGTTGACTACAGTATTCTCGCTAGGATTCAATATATATATATTTGGCCCACCCACAAAGTATACGTAACTGCATCGACCAGTTAACCTCTAATTAATGGGCCCTAGTAATAATTAACATAACCGTTGACGGCGTCATAGCGACAGGTATCCCCAATTTAGGTAGAGCACATGTAAATCGTGGCATTTGAAGTGTTTAGATGTAGGTATATGTACACATCTAGTATTTCGTTTATATCGCTGTTTTGCCCTAATATCTGCACTCCTCTTATTGGCCCCGTTCGTATTAGACCCGTGCTCCTGCATGACCAGAGCTTCGAGCGACACGTGACAAATTTACCTTGGCGAGCTCTCCATCAAGATTCGCTCCTAGTTACATGAAGACATCTGTATCTATTCAACCTTCTAGCTGTGCACAGAATCCTTCTTTTACGATTCTGTATTTTTGGTAAGGCCCCTCGAGCCTTGTTGCACTATCTACCTGCTCCCATTTCCCTTTTCGTTACGCACTGCCGATCCCTCCCACAACGGTACAGCCTCACCACCGTCTTCAACCCACCGACTCCCCATCGCATCGCAGGGAGTTAACGCACAAACTCCTGCCATCGCGACAACCCTTCCTACAACCTGTCGGCGATCTTCTCGCGGCCTGGGCGAAACGAGTGCTCGGTATCAGTCCGGTGATCTTTGCTACGTACATACGTTGTCTGGTTTTTGAGTGCAGGGCAGCAGCAGCAGTAGCAAAGCCACATAGTAAAGGTTAAGCAAGTCACTATCGAAGGGACCTCTCCAGGACCAGCTCCTTTATTTTCTTCTTTCGTTCATTTCGAATATTCTTCAACAATACCTACATGGACAACCGACGCCAATCCTCAGGTGGTCGCGGGGGTAGTGTCCCCGCCAACAACCCCAGCTTCAGCGGAGGTGCTGGCGCGAACCTCTCGGCTCTCGACTGGGCCATTGGTCTCCGGTACCTGCCTCCCCTTCTTGCATATTTCCTCCCTTTATTCCCTTCATATCTGTAGACGCTCCCTCTTTCAGCTGCACTCGCTAACTAGCACCTCCCATCCCAGCGTTCGTGTCCTCACCATCATTGACGACACTTACGAAGGCACGGTTTACTCCTACGACCCACTTACGTCTACACTCGCTCTTGCGCAGAACCCCACATCTAGTGCCCCCAACTCCCCGGCCGACTACCGAATCCTTAAAATCTCATTCCTTAAGGAGGTCACGGTCCTCGGTAACCCCAACAAGCAGCAACGCAGCAACACACCATTCACAAACGCCGAGCCCAAGATTGGCCCTGTCAATTTGAATATGCTGGGGGGCAAGGAGAAAGAGACTGCTAAGTCTGAAGCAGTGAGAGTTGCCAACATAGGCGTTGGGGTCACCGCGGAGGCGCAGGAGATCTATGATGCTTTGTCGAGGCTGTAGGTTTTTGCATAGAGATGGTAGATTTCTTGCTTGTGCTGACTGGGTGGTGATAGGATGCCTTGCCGATGGCACGAGAAGCAGATTGTCGTGTTAGAGAATGTCATCATCGATGAACCCTATACTCTCGACAGAGTAAGGTCATCGGACAAGAACGCCCTGAACCGGGTCAAGAAAGTTGTGAGTATTCCCCACGCTCTCTGATGCACGGGAGAGCACCGCTAATACATTGCAATTAGCTCGATGGAGAACGAAAAAAGCTTGAGACTGCGCGGAGATCAGCTACACCAGTTTCGGGGGAGAGGAAGGGCGGTTAGTTTTGGACCAATTTTCTTTTTTCTGGGATGTGGGAGAGGTGAGAGGTGATGGGCGGGGAGTGACCGTAACTTCTATCTTTTAGGATAGACTTCTGTAGTGACAAATAAAAAATGGCGTAGGGGGCGTTAGACGGCTTACTACGGTAATTTATAGTAAAAAATCTACTGCAAATTGCTGAGATTGGTTTCTTTTTTGGTTGTGTGAGTATTGTAGAAGGTTATTGGATGGAGTTGATCTATGAGCTCAAGTCTGACGTTATCGACACAATGTTTCTAACTGGTGGATTACGGAAGGGGTTGCATAACATAAGGGAGTGTCTTTCACAGTCATAGGCCCCTTTCAATTTTCCAGCCAATCTAGATTTTAACGTGCGCATATATCCATCCATGGGAAATCACTCGCGACCAATGACTAATTTGAGATTCTTCCGGGTACTCGTAAGCGTGGCCCTGGGAGTGTGGTTCCACTTACTATAATTACAGTACCTATATGTGAGTACTTAGTCTCGTGCCTATCCATACCGGAGGTTGTCACTCGGATGCGAGTTGACTGTACAACGCCTGAAGAAAGATTCACCCGGCGAATATGGGGGTTAAATTCATGGACTTATTAGATGATTCGATTCAGTAATATAGTGAATTCCCAGGGTGGGTTAGCGGGAGATCGGAACTGAGTCCTGAATACATCTATATCATATACTAAGCATAACCAAAGACTGCTTCAAGATTATATACATGTAATAACGAAATTCAGCGTCTGTGATCAGGAAGTCTAGCTCCCAGTACGTACATGTAGTAGTTGAAAAATGCTAGCTACTTATAATGGTGTACACGTATACCACGAACATGATTTAAACAGGGGGGCAGGCCCAAACCTTTTGGATGATTTCGAAGTGATTTCGAAGTGAACTTGTATACAACCGTTACCTGGTCACAGTAACATCATCAAATATTTTGCGTCCCAAACACCGAATCCATGTCGGGCAGGTCACGTCAAGTATCCGCTAAAGGTCAAATTAATTCTCGAGTGATTTCGTGTGATGCTGAGATATCAACAGACTTTGACAACGATTTATTCTCTTTTTTTTTCTCGAACAGTAAGAAGAAGGCCGCAGGATTCAATCCATACCAAATAACCACTTCTTCTCTCACGATATTCAATCGCCGAGTCACGGTCCGTGACTCGACATCTCCAAGGTCAAAGATCCGATCATAACCGCACAATCGACAGGGTAACCAAAGCCTGCACGCAGCCCCACCTTCCCGCATCCTGAAACTTGTATCAACAGCCCCACCTCATCCCCAAAAAACGCAGCTCGCGAAAATCACTTCCCCAGGCATAGAAAACAAGATCACGACGCCCAAGATCGCCGCAACCAGGCCAAAAGAGAGATACTAAAAAAAACAAAATTTTTTTTTTTTTTTTTACAAGAAGGAAAAAAAAAATGGCGACAACTATTCAGACACCCCTCCCGACAGATCCTGAGTCAACAATGCTTCTGCTGGCTGCAACAGACCATAATATTTCCGTTCTAGAGTCGCTGCTCAAGAACACGTCGGCGAATGTCTATGAGCCAGAGACAAGACAGACGGCGCTGCATGTTGCGGTCGCGTCTTGTACGCCAGAGGACTCAGAAGAAGAGCTCAAGGCCGCAGAGGAGACCCTGAAGCTGTTGCTACTCAATGGGGCTATTTGGAATGACTTGGACGTCTCCGGGGAGACGCCAGCGTGTATTGCGGACAGACTGGGATTGAAAAGCCTGTACAATATCTTGGTGGAAGCAGGTGTGAGGGCCGAGTTGATCCTGGGAAGGCTAGGAGGATACTTGCAGCTTAGTGATGGCGAAGAGAGCGAGGAAGAAGAAATTGGAGATGACGAGGAAGCTCCAGAGTTGGTCCAGGAGGCCGACACTGTAGGAACACCGCAAACGGAGTTGACACAACCAGAGCTGGAACCAGAGGAAGAGATCAAGGAGGATGTGAACTCGAAAGATTACCTAGCCTCGAAATTGACCTATCACGACGACAAGCTACTTGATGAGGACAACAACGGGGTTATGATGGAGTGGGAGAGAGGTATCATGGAAAGGAGTGTGAACGCACTCGTCAAGGAAGAAGGGAAAAGAATTCTCAATATTGGATTTGGAATGGGAATAATAGACGGATTGTTCCAAGAAAAGAAACCCAGTCACCATGTCATCGTTGAGGCGCACCCAGATGTCTTGAAAAAAATGAAAGAAGACGGATGGGATCAGAAGGAAGGGGTTGAGATACTCGAAGGAAGATGGCAAGATGTAAGTCCAGCTTTACTAAGAACTTACAATTCAGATCTCTAACAGATAGCAGGTCATTCCTGACCTGGTAAACCGAAACATCACCTTCCACGCAATTTACTTTGACACCTTTGCCGAGTCCTACGATGAATTGCGTCTTTTCTTTACCGAATATGTCATCGGACTTCTTGCACCTCTATCAGAAGGTGGCAAATTCAGCTTCTTCCATGGTCTCGGTGCAGACAGAAGAATCTCGTATGACGTTTACACTCGTATTGTTGAGATTGACATGCTAGAGGCTGGACTAGAAACCAGATGGGATATTGTGCCCTTGAAAAAGGACGACGAAGAGGAAGATGGAATGGAGGAGGGTGGAAAGGTTTGGGACGGAGTGAAGAGGAGGTACTGGATACTTCCAGAGTACAAGCTTCCTATCGCCGAATTCTTGGCATAGTCCATGAGAACAAATAACTACCAGAGTGAAGCAGATATGAGCGAATACCAGGGATAGAGGATTTCCCAACAGGCGGTCGTTTTTTTGTACGGATATGTAAGGAGATTGACATGCATACATAATGCTAAGCACGATGATTTCGAATGGAGTTTGTGAGTAAATCGGGGTTATTTGTTAGTGATATGGTTGAACGGCTCTGGGTTTCTGTCTTTACGTTTCTCTTCCTCAGTTATTCTTATTACTTATATAGATAAGTACATGTATGTTCTTAGCAAATACTTTTGTTTTAAGGTGGTTTCCACACTGGTGATATTTCTTGTCGCATGAGTAGTGAGTACTGAGTGTCTCAGTTCCTGCATGATAACCGGACTTTGAGCTTGTTTGTTTATCCATCCCCAGCTTGGGTTTGGAATTGACGTTTGGGCTGCAGTAGTTATTTTTCCGCCCGTGACTCATCCACATGGCGCGAGGCAGTGCATATGGTAGGCTTGAATATTTTTCGAGAAGCCAATTTCTAGATAACGCGATAAATGTCTAAAGATACGTTCCGCGTCTCCGGCTCACATATTCCCGAGCCGTTTGGTCCTGTCTATGGATGTTCTGGAACCTCACGCAGTGAAGGTGATTGTAGTCAATTATACTGCCTAGGTGTATGTAGAATAATACAATCTCAGGCACCTCATCTTTCTAGGTTTACTACATGTATTCAGATACATGTAAGTCCATTCTTGTAGCCTGTATCGACACGATATGGTTGATGTTGAGACTCTTGTGTCACTAGTGACAAAGCTAACCCAATGCGGGCAAAACAGGTACCCAACCAACAATCAGGGCCCAGCTAAGACTTCCGAGGAAGATTGCTTCCTTCACTAGCGAGTGTGAAAGAATTGTTGACAGGAGGATCTCAGACAGATAATACCAACGATGAATTTCGCTGGTTGAAGTGTGAAGTGAAATCAAGATATCCAATCCTCGGGTTTGGAATATGCAGACAGATAGATTAATATGGATCGGAGACGAGCCATTGGCCAATAGAAAGAACGTTGAACCCGTTCCCCCTTGGCCTTGCTCGGTGTCCACCTCCCCCGCAGTCAAATTACGCCAACCTCGTCCAACATCGCCGCTGGGTCTCCTTCCCTGCAATTTTTTTTTTGTCCTAACAGATCCTTCGTCACCAAGCACAGCCCACATAAAGCCCACCGAATTCCTCCTCCCCCACTTGAGCATATCGCAACATCAATTTGCAAAGAAAAAGGCCTACTTCTGACTGAAATTTTCTTTATTCTTTTCGAATAGCCATCTCCCATCCAACGTACACGTTGGCAAAGTGAATAATCTCAACAGATAAAGCCGTTCGTGTCAATCCTTTCAATTCCTACAGAGGAGATCTCTCGCAAGTGAAAGTCGCCCGTATGCGATTTGTTCCCTCCGTATTCACTTCACAGGTATGTACATGACGAGAAGTTCCGGCCCCACACTAGTTCGTTTTTGCATTGCCCCTCCCCCATCCAGCCGCGTGGAGAAAAAACTTTTTTTTGACATCCACCGTGACCTTTTGTTCCCTTCATAAACCTCTTATGCTTTATTGCAACTGGCCTGTCCTTTCCTCCACTTCTTCCTAAATTTACCCCAAACTCTTTACTGATTCCGGATTCTCTTTTTAGGATTATCTCTCAGGTAAAAAGAAAAAAACTTTCCCCATCAAAAACATGGCTACCCCCACTCCCCCCACATTCAAGAGCCTCAATATATGGTGCACCAGCGACGGGACTAATACAACCTTTTCAATTGTACACAGATCACATCTGGAAGAACAGCTCCTATTAAAAACCTTTTTTGCGCACACAACTCATTGCATCATATTCTCGAAGCAAATCCATCACTCACACCCCCGCTAACCAGCGCATTCCTTTTTCTCTTTTTATATACCCATTGAAATCGCCAACATGTTTGCTCGCCAAATTCTTACCAAGGGCTTCAATGCCACTACTCGCTTTAATGCCTTGAGGCAGGTCAGGAATCTTGCTACCGTCACCGGAAGCGCCGGAAGGCAGATGCCCCAGCCAGAGAGAGAGACTGGCACTCCTATCAGCAATGACAGAGCTACTTTCACCATCAAGGTGGGTTTTATATTCTAGGCTAATCTCAGCGCATGATTATTATATATATATATGGATGTTGACTGAGTACCACCAGAACGGTCCTATCTTCCACGGAAAGTCCTTCGGTGCCCGTTCTAACATTTCCGGAGAAGCCGTCTTCTCTACTGCCCTCGTTGGATATCCCGAGGCCCTTACTGATCCTTCCTACCGTGGTCAAATCCTCGTCTTCACTCAGCCGCTCATTGGGAACTATGGTGTTCCCTCTGACCAACGCGACCAGGATGGTCTTTTGAAATACTTCGAGTCTCCCCATCTCCAGGCCATCGGTGTTGTTGTTGCCGACGTCGCCGAAAAGTACTCGCACTGGACTGCCGTTGAGTCACTTGGCCACTGGTGTGCTCGTGAGGGTGTTCCCGCCATTACTGGTGTCGACACTAGGGCCATTGTCACCTACCTCCGTGAGCAGGGTTCTTCTCTCGCCAGGATCACCATTGGAGAGGAGTATGATGCGGATCAGGATGAGGCATTCGTCGACCCTGAGCAAATTAACTTGGTCGAGAAGGTCTCCACCAAGGCGCCTTTCCATGTTGCAAGCTCAAACGGAGACCTCCATGTCGCAGTCATTGACTGTGGTGTTAAGGAGAACATTTTGAGGAGTTTGGTTAGCAGGGGTGCCAGTGTCACCTGCTTCCCATGGAACTACCCCATTCACAAAGTTGCGCATCATTTTGACGGAGTTTTCATGTTTGTTCTCCTCACCTTTTTCTGTCGAATGAGTCATTGACCTTTGGCTGTAGTTCCAATGGACCTGGTGACCCAACTCACTGCACCCCCACCGTGTACCACCTCCGCAAGTTGATGGAGTCCTACACCGGTCCCATCATGGGTATCTGTCTTGGACACCAGCTTCTTGCCCTGGCCGCAGGTGCCAAGACCATCAAGTTGAAATACGGAAACCGTGCCCATAACATTCCCGCTCTTGATCTCACCACTGGTCGCTGCCACATCACTTCGCAGAACCACGGATACGCCGTTGACATGAACACTCTTGATGCCTCTCAATGGAAGGAGTACTTTGTCAACCTCAACGACGGATCTAACGAGGGTTTGTAACAACCACACCTCATCTTGATAACTTTACTGATTTGAACCATAGGAATGATCCACACTTCTCGCCCTATTATGTCCACCCAGTTCCATCCCGAGGCCAAGGGTGGTCCCCTCGACTCTAGCTTCCTCTTTGACGCCTACCTCGATCAGGTTGCCGCCTTCAAAGCCGAGCAGATCCTCTCTGCCCCCGGACGCGTTGGAAGGCCTAGCCCGCTCTTGGTCGACATCTTGTCTAAGCAGCGTGTGGACGTTGCCCCCAACCACGTCTTGAGGGAAGTTGAGAGGAGGGCTGCGAGCGCTAAGGCTGAGATTGAGTCGAAGCAGGCTGACGCCACCGCTGCCTAAAGAAAGGTAGTTAATTTGAGTGTTTTTACGGGGGTTTTCTTTTCTTTGTTCTTTTTTTTTTAGCAGTACGGAATTTTTTTTTCAAATTTTTTTTTTTTTCGTTCTTTGTATATCAGTTGAATCCTAAAAAATGAAATTGGTGGTTTAATACAAAACAATCTTGATGGCATGCGCATGGGGCTTCTGGCAAATTGTGTATGTGGTGGTTACCCTGATCATGAGTGATAGCTGGTGCTAAGGATTGAAAATGCCAGGGTCGAGTATGTACTTAGACCGCACTTTATCATACTAGATTCAAACCACTACCATTAACCCGTGCCACTACCGGCCCCCAAGGCCGCAAGCAGCGTGAAAAAGAGGCGGGGACTAGTATAGTACAAAAGGTAGCCCGTTGAGGTAGCGCAGCTTCTCATCTTGATTCTTAATGCTGTTTGCATGTAGCTCATGATCTGGTCCATGTTTCCTACTGTATGTATGTATGTATGTATGGCGAGACGAGAGCTCACAGTGAGACAAGTTCTATGATCAGGAACATGGATCATCGTTCTAAGAGCTGTATCAATGATCGCTGTGGCAAGTTTTCCTTTCTTCTTCGTTTCTTCGAAACAGTCGGGGACTCTAGATCTGCGTGGCCGTTAGGATGCTTGATTCGCGCGGTGTATAGGCCGTGGAGGCAGTGGCAACCGCCCTACTCCCAGGTACCCAGCAGGGCCTAAGAACTACCATAGTGGAGAAATAATGAATCTGTGCATTGCAAAAAGAGGGCGCGAAATTGATATTTTTGGCTTAAAAGCCTTTGTGGGGGGGGGGGGGGGGGGAAGGGCTCTGGGAGTTGTTATTTGGACATGGTCTGGGGTTTGGCGGTTCTGGAGTTTTTGTTGTGGATGATCTTAGTATGGCTAGGTCAGTTACATGGAGATGGTTGGATTAGTCCAATGGAGAGCGGCTTTTTTATTTGATTTATTTGGTCAACCCCATGGTCACTTCACTTTTTTTGACACCCGTCAGCTCTAGTAAGTTAAGTTCCACATGCCATCATGATCATGTAAAACATCTTTGAAAGGAAAAAAAAAAAAAAAAAAGGAAAAGAAGCTAGGTAAAAAAAAAAAAGTGATAAAAGAAAACCCAAACCGCCCCACCACTAAAAATTCCCATACCCACCACCCGCATACCTCCTCTCCCCCCTGCGGCCCTCGGACCACTCGCCCATTCCGCCGCCGCCGCCGCCGCCGCCGCTGCGCCCCGCGGCGTTCGCCTTGCCCGTCTGCTCGATGCCCCAGAACTTCTTGCCGACGCCGCGGACCTCCTCGATGCTCTTTGTGAGTGTTCCCAGCAGGGCGACGAGGTGCACGTCGGACTGCTCGGAGAGCTGCTCCTGCCGGAAGCCCTTTGCGTCGGCGGGGGTGAGGAGCGGCAGGCGCGAGTGTGTCAGGGATTTGAGCGAGCGCAGCAGCTGGTGGTTGGGTTCGGGGTGGGGAGGGTTGGAGAGGTAGGTGGTGAGGAGCTTGATGCGGGAGTGGAGCATGCGGATTGCGTTTGCTTTTGCGGTGAGGTTTGCTAGTACTGTAGTGTAGATTATTATTATTAGTAATTGATCTTTTAAATGAAAGAATTAGGTGGTCATACGCTCATCGTTCTGAGTCCCAGCACTGACCACAGGAGCCTCCGGCTCCTTCTCCTCCGCTTTCTCCTTCCCCTTCCCCTGCTGCGCCTCATCCGACAGCTTCACCTTCTTCGCCGCGCCATCCTTACTCTCCGCGGCGCCCGCAGCAGCAGCAGCGCCCTGCGCGGTCCCCTCCAGCCCCGACAGCTCCGCCGCCGCATTCCCGAACCCACCCTTCGCGACAAAGTCCACGCCGATCATCTCGGCCTCGCCCGTCTCGATGGTGTAGTTGAGCGGGACAAAGAGGAGGTTTGGCGCGCCCTCGTCGGCGGTGTCGTCGGCCTCCAGCACGCTCTCGTAGATGGCGAGGGGCAGCGTTCCGCCGCCGCCGACGGACGCGCTGGGGGACGGGTTGAGGCAGAGCAGGATTAGGGACTCGTTGAAGGGGAGGAGCTGCCGGTGGAATTGCACCATCCAGGGTGAGGGGGCGAAAGTCGGGGACGGGGTGGTCGTGAACCAGCCGAGGAGGTCGAGGGTTCCGTGGGTTTCTTTGACTGTGGGGGGTGGTTTGTTAGTGGGTGTTGTGGGGGGAGGGATTGGGGGAGAGAGGACGGACAGAGCTTGAGCTTCTCTATGAACCAGGGCTCGTCGACGGAGATTTGGTCATCTGTGCGGAGGAGGAGGATCTCGTAGGCGTGCTCGATGTCGATTGAGCGGCCCTGCTGGGTGCCGAGGAGGGCGCCGAGGATGGGGCCGGACCCGTTGCGGAGCGTGTGTCGGGTGATGTAGTCGGAGATTGTGAGGAGGGCCAGAGGGTGTAGGGAGATCTGGAGGCCGGTGGTGGAAGGGTGGGAGGAGATGAGGGCGTTTGCGTCTGGGGTGGGCTTTTCGGGGTTCGTCATTGCGGCCTTTCGGGGGGGGGAGTGGTGGTGATAGTTGGTGGTGGGGTGTTGGTTGGAGATGGAGGTACGAGTGAGGTTTGAAGTTTGAGGTTCCGAGAGCTATGGTGGGGGCGTGGGTTAGCCGTGCGTGTTGACTAAGCGATGAGGGACTTGCGCCATGGAATATCACTCGGTGCACAATTCCACCTTGGCGTTGAGAATTGATTTTGATTGTTCTGTTTGCTGCGTTTGGTGTTGGATATTTGGCCATCGAGCCCGTACAGACGAGCTGTCCGAACCTGCCATGTCGACAGTCGACAGCTGTCACCCGTGTCACTCGTGCCATATCGACACTTGTCCGATCGATCCTATATATACATGTATATAGCTAGCTAGGCTTGAGCAAGACCCATTCGAGTTAACTTCCTACTCCCTCACGACCCCACGGCCACCCACCCCACAGCTACAGCCACAGTACCTACGTGTAAAAACTAATTGGGCGTGGAGCGCAGAAACCGGCTGATTAGCAGGTACGCGCCGTGGTCCCGGGACTAGATAAGCTGCTGGTTTGTAGCAAGAGGTGGATGGAAGAGGGGACATGACTGACGGGCCAGGCAGATCAAGGATAGGAAGGAGCTAGCCATGTAGCTTACATTTCCACGGAACCTATCCCGGGTATATCTCTGTACCAGCCATGTTTTGGGTACCCTGGTCGCTGCATAGATTATCACTCGGTCTGCCAAAACTCACCGCAGCTACGAACATTTTAAAAACTATATATATACCTGTTGTTGCAGTTCTATTTCTGTCTACAGCAGCAAGCAAACAACACAGAAGCCTTTGTTTCTAGTCTACTCGACTAATCTAATTTATGGAGCTGAGGATTGGAGCGAATGCAGGACCTACAACGCGCCCAACTCCTTCAACCTCGCAACCAACCCGCCAACATCTTCCACCTTCCCACCGCCCTTCCTCGGCGCCGGCTCTACACCGCCCAGTCAGCACACTCCCCAACCACACCCCCAAACCCCCCCAAAAAACACGGAAAAAGAGCGAAAAGACTCACCAACAACCTTCACCGTCTGCAGCCTCGACGCCACATCCACCCCAAAGTCCGCAACCGCCTTCTTCACCAGCGGCTTCTTCTTCGCCTTCATGATATTCGGCAGACTCGCATACCTCGGCTCATTCAGCCTCAAATCCGCCGTCACAACCATCGGCAACTTCACCTCCAGCACCTCCTCCCCCCCATCCACCTCCTTCGTCACCGTCACCGTGCCCCCCTCCCCCAGCTTCACACCACTCGCCTGCGTCGCCTGCCCCCACCCCAGCAAGCCCGCCAGCATCTGCCCCGTCTGCCCCGCATCCCCATCGATGCTCTGCTTGCCCAGAATCACCAAATTGCGGTCCTCATCCCCGACCACCTGCTGCAGCAGCTTCGCCACCGCCAGCGGCTCCAGCTCCGCGTCCGTCTCGGCGAGCAGCGCCCGGTCCGCGCCCATGGCCATGGCCGTCCGCAGCGTGTCTTGCGCCTTTGGCGGCCCCGCCGAGAAGGCGAGGATGTCGGTGACGGTGTTGGGGTGGCGCTCGCGCAGGCGCACGGCTTCCTCGAGCGACAGCTCGTCGAAGGGGTTCATGGACATTTTGACGCCGGCCGTCTCGACGCCGGTCTGGGCGGCGTTGACGCGCGGTTTGACCTACGGGGGAGTGGGGGAGGTTAGCGGTGGGGAATGTGGGGGGGTGGGAGGGGTGGAGGGGTGGAGGGGGAGGTACGGCGTAGTCGATGACGCGCTTGACGGGGACGAGGATGCGCAGGGAGGTCATTGTGATGTATGTCTCTCTGTCTCTGGTACTCTTTGGTGCTGTCTCTGTAGTGCTGTGGTGGCAGCGGTGGTGAGAGAGTGTGTAGAGAGGAAGGGAATCGGAGTTTGTGCGAGGCGTTGAAGAAGGCCTCGCTAACTCGGCATTTTCCATGTCACGTGAAGGCCCTACTCCACGATCATTGCCGACGCACCACCTGCCACTCTACAAAACACGAGTAGGTGCAGACATGTGGGTGAAATTACTACCGCAGTCTTTAATGCCATCGAGCTTCGGTAACACTGGCCCTATGTCGTTAAAATATGAAGGTAAAGCGGCATATTCTCAATGCCGTACGACTGATGCGGCATCAGTCTTACCCGCATTTCTGGCACTATAGCTAGCCAGGCCCGCATCACAAGCCCTCACTCACTCACTCACCCCGCCAGCGCCAATGATCACAAAAAAAAAAAGGTGAAGGTGAAAAAACTCCATTCCCGTCTAACTACAGAACCGCCCGCCCGCCAGCCTCAACCCTTTTTTTGTTTTACTACAGACTGCCACCCCGCGCCGAGCCAGAGAGAAACACGGCATGTATGTATAATATGCAGCAGCCAATAGCTCAATTACCCCTCTCCACTCTCCACTCTCCCCCCGCCCCCCCCCGCTCCTTGTTCCTGTCGTATGATACTAACAAATAGCGTACCCAATAACTACTTGTGCAACAAAAAAAAAAAGAAAGATATCAAACCCATGATGAAAGAAAGAGAAGAAAAAAAAAAGGGACACAATAGCTATAAGATAGTAAAGAAACAAAGAAAGAGAAAGGGAATAGAGAAGACACATTTTCCTATAAATAAAGTATAAAAAAAAGCGTATTTCGATATTGCCACACAGCTATAGGGGGGCGGGGGGCGTGAGTGGGCTCATTACTCCACTTGCACTCAACGTCTATCCCGATGCCCGTCTCTCCCCCTCGCAGCCGCCAGTCGCTCCCTCGCAATCTCCTCACTCACAGGCATGTAGTAGAGCTTCGGCTTCGCCACCGTGCTCTTAAACAGGTCGTCCAGATCCACGAACCTCGTCGTTCTCGCACCCGCCGCCGGCGGTGCCACATCCTGAGTCGGCGCACCTTTCTGGACTGCAAGTACTTCCACCCCCATCATTAGCACACCACTCCCACTCCCACCACATCTCCGCACTCCAGGGGGACAACAAAACTCACCACTATTCTTCCTCTCCACCGCCCTCTCCCTCGCGCCCCTCGGGCCCGTCGGCGCACCTAATACCTCCGCCCCACCACGGCCCCTCGCACCAACCTCCTCCAGCTCCGCCACAATGCCTCCGTCCTCGCCTTCGCCCTCCTTATACACGACCTCCCACTTCTTCTGCCCCCTTATCTCGCGCTCCCTCGCAACCCACCCCTCCACCGCCTCCTCGGGCACAAAGTCCACCCACAGCGGCTTGCGCGTGCGCTCGTTCGGCCACACCTTCCCATGCATGCCCACACGCACGCGGGTCGCCGCGGCGACCGACGCAAAGATGATGAGCGCATGCGACTTGATGCTGTCGACAAAGAAGTACGAGATAGCCTCTGTGCCCGGCGGGGTTGCGCCGGCGAGGGCCGTGAGGTGGCTGCGCAGCAGCGGGTCGTTGATGGGGCGGATGAGGTTGCGGATGTAGAGTGCGCACGTCGCGGGGTGGATTGACGGCGGGACTGGCGGGTCGTCGTCGTCGTCCGCTGGGGCGGTGTCGTTGTCGTCGGCGGCGTCGTCGTGGTCGGCGCTGTCGGTGTTGAAGAGGCCTTTGAAGCGGGCGTCGCGCTGCCTCGGTTTTGGCTGTGGGGAGGAGGCGCGCGGCTTCTTGGTGGTTGTGGGGTCGTCGTTGGTGTCGTGGGCTGGGACGGGGGCTTCGGATGCTGCTGCTGCTGCGGGTGGGGGGCTGGCGGAGCGGCGCTTGCGCTTGCGGAGGTCTGTGGGAGTGTCGTCGCGGGTGTCCATTGGTTCCGAGGGCGCTGTGGGAGTGGCAAGGTCGGATTGTGAGGTTATTGCGGCGGTGATCTCGTCCTCGGTGGTGGTGTGGGTGGTGGTGGATGGCGCTGGGACGGGTTCCACGGGGATATCGGCGAGCTTGGTTGGAGCTTCTTGGGGCTTGTCTGGGGCTTCTTCGTGGACTGTTGGTGCTTCGGCCATTGGTGAGTCTTCTTCGACCTGCTTCTGCTCGACTGCCTCTTCCGGTGTGTTGTCCGCCTTGGTTTCCTCAATTGAAGAGGGCTCCTCGTAGATGGATACCTCGTCGTCCTCGGGGGTCTTTGCGGGCGCGGTATCAACCTGCATGCTGTCCGCCTCGGCCTGTACTTCTGGTTCAGCTGCAGCTGCCTGGGGCACTGGCTCCTCGGCGGCTTCGTTTGACGGTTCCTGCTGCTGCTCAGCTGTGATCTGTTCCGCAACGGCTTCAAGCTGCTCCGAAACGGATGCGGGGCTGGGAGCGTCATTATCCTGTACTTGGGGTGGTGATTGCACGGTTTCTACATCTTGCTGTTCTGAAGCCGGTGTTGGCTCTGGCTCCTCGATCTGCGGTACTGGCTCAACTAATTGTACTGGTTCGGCTCCCTTTGCGGGTTCGACTTCTTGCGCTGGTTCGGCAGTTGCTGGCTCTACTTGTGCTGGTTCGATCTCTTGTACTTGCTCAATCTCCTGGACTGGCTCAGGTTCCTGTGCTGGTTCGGCTTGCGCTGGTTCGGCCTGTACTGGCTCGGGCTCCTGTACCGGCTCTACATCCTGTACTTGTGCCTGCTCCTGCACCTGCTCCTGTTGCACCGGCTCCTGCACCTGCTGCACCTGCTGCACTGGTTCCTGCACTTCCTGCGCCACCGCCGGGGTCTCTGCGCGCACCTCCTCGGCCGCCTCAACCACTACCGACTCCGGCTCCGGCTGGCCACCATTGACCTGGATCGTGTCCTGCATGGGTGTTTGCACCACCTCTGGCTGTGGCTCTGGCTCTGGCGCGGCCTCCTCCTCCTCCTCCTCCTCCTCCGCTTCCGCCTCTGCCTCTGCCTCTGCCTCCCGCTGTCGCTCCTGGATCACAACCTCTGCCAGCCGCTCCACGAGCGCCTGCTTGAGGCCACCCACCGGTAGCCCGCGCTTCTTGAGTTCGGCTTTGAGCTCGGTGACTTTGAGCGAGGAGAGGGTTGTCGGGTCCAGCATTGTGTTGGTGTTTGTTGGTGCGCTGCGCGGGTTTGTGTTTGTGTTGTGGGTGTTGTAGATTTCGGGTAGGGGTGGTGAGACGGGAGGGGGATTGGGGATTGAGGGTGAGTGCTGTTTTGGTTGTGTGGTTTGTTGATAGGCTGGATAGATAGGCTGTGACGATGTTGTGGGGATCAGTCAGGTAGGTGAAGGAAGGGAAGGGAAGGGAAGGGAAGGGAAGGGAAGGGAAGGGGAAGGGAAAGAGGAAGAGGAAGGGTAACAAGAAGGGTAACGTAACAAGAAGGGTAACGTAACAAGAAGGGTAAGAAGAAGAAGGGGAAGAAGGGAAGGAAGACGGAAAGAAGGAAGGAAGGAAGGAAGGAAGGAATTAGGAAGGAAGGGAAATGGAAGCAAGCGTAGAAAGACGGGCTGGGCTGGGCTTGCTGTCTGCTGGCTGGCTGGCTGGCTGGCTGGCTTGACTGGTTTGACTCGCTCGACTGCCTGACCTGGACTGGCTGGGGAGTTGCGTCAATGGGTGTCTGGCTATCCCGCTAGACCCAACGTGGCGGTGACACAAGCAGCCGCCCGTTTGTTTGAGCCTCACCCTGGCTGGCTGTCTTTCTGGCTGCGTTCCTGTATCTAGTTCTTCTGTAGTCTCTCATCTCAGCCTATGTAGGGCTGGCCCGGATAATCACTCTTCACAGATACGCGATGATGATGATGATGTCCCCCCCACCCCCCCCAACTCCCCATACGCAGACACAGCATTCATCGCCTGTGCTGTGCCTGTGGAATTGTTCTCCAAGGGTTTGGATCGGAATGCACACACACCACTTGCGGAAAGGAAGGTGCATGCGCAGTGCTGCATTGGGGCCGAGGACGTGTGATTAGTCATCCATATATATCGGGTAAGGAAGGATCTGCGGGAAGGATCTGCGGGATGGTGCTTCTAGGAAGTCAAAACCAATCGTGTAGTTCTGTGCGAGTCAAAAAAATATATATATAAAAATCGCAAGGGTGGGAATCTTCAATGCTAAATTTAATTTGGGTTTAATAGCTTTGGGTTTGTATACCGCGGGTTTACTCCAAGTATTGTAAGGCATGGGTGTTCCAATGGCTGTATAAACAAGACCAAACTATGGGATGAGATGAGAAGAGAGGCGGTGAGGAGAAGAGAGACGAGAGCTTCTAGCTTTATGCGACATAATTGAGGACAGGTTGTCACTCCACCTGTTCCTCGTCATAAGTCCACAGCTTTAATACATATTTGACAGTCACGACAATACAATCTTGATCATAGGTCCAGAAACTCCATTTTTGGGGGGCGAGAAATGATCGATGTGACCTTCTAAGCAGATAATGACAACATAGTCAAATCGCTACCTGATGCTGCGGGTTCGGGTTGAGTTCGCGTGCAGAAAAATCTGTGGTCTTGAGCTTGATCTACGAGTGATATTCCATGAAGCAGAATGAGACATAAAGCGTCATAGTATGAAAGATTGAGATAGTGAGAGATAAGGGATAGGGTAACGAGTGATTGGCTGTACCTATAGGCGCCGAGTGATTTCTGTGACGCTGGGCTGTGATGTGATAGGTCTTAACGGCCACAAACTCACTACTATATTTACAATCTCTATTTGAGTCCAACAGGATCAATGGTCATTCTACCGTGCTATCTACACCCCCCCACTAAATACTCAACTCCTTCATCACCGCCGCCTCATCCAACCCAAGCGCACTCATCACATTCCTATACCTCACACCCCCCTTCTCCTTCCTCTTCAAGTACTTCAGCAACTTCTGCCTGCGATGTACTAGCAGCCGCAGATTGCGCTTGTTGTGCTTATCCTTATTCCCACTCTTCTCCAGCATCTTCGCCAGGTTCCTGATCTTCACCGTCAATATCGCCGCCTGCACCTCGCTACTCCCCGTATCCGGCCCCGCCCTCGGCGTCTTCCTGCTCTCCTCCAGCGGCCGCGCATCCGGGTCCCTCGGCAGCGTGGCATCCGTGTTGTGGCGCCCAAACGTCTCGATGCAGCGCATGGTGTTGACGCGCTGGCGGTCGGCGTTGCTGCCAATACTCAGACTCACAATGCGCTGGATGGCCGCCACGGCATGGTCATGCTCCTTCTGGTGCGCCTCCAGCTTCTCCGGCCAGATATACGAGTCGACCACACCGCTCGCCGAGACGGGGTTTGCAGGGGCGGTGAGGCGCTTGCTGTTCTCGATTGCGATCTCCATGTCCTTCGGGGTGAGGTAGAAGTTCATGTGGAGGGGGTCATCGTGGCCTTTTGTCGGGTCGATGTTGTGGGTGAGGGCCCAGTCGACGGGGGGCAGGAGCGGGGAGGGCGTCTCGAGGGATTTGACGAAGGGGGTGGTGCGGCCGGTGACGGGGTTGACGGCGTTGGACAGGCGCTCCTGTTTTAGGCGTTCTTGGAGGGCGAGGTTGTCGAGGCGGCGTTTTTCAGAGGTTGCGAGGCCCTCGGAGCTGCGGTGCTCGCGTTTGTGGGGGGTGGGGGTGGTGGAGAAGGCGGCGAGGTGGTGACGCGCTGGAGAGAGGTGAGTATTGGGTGTGGTGGTGGGGAGGAGGAGGATGAGGGGGGGCTACATACTGGATGTGACTCGAAGGTTTGTGAAGCAGCGGGTCAGCGCTGATTGCGAGGGGAGCGCAGGTCTGGGGGGCATGGTTGACGGTGGTCTAGATGTGTGTGTGAGTGCTCAATTGGTCCTCCGGCGGGCGGTTTGGAGGTTTTGGTGGGGGAACGTTTCACGAGAATTTCTGGAGTTGAGGCTAAAGGTCACGTGATTATGGGACAATGCGATTGTGCGCAGGCAGCTAGTAAAGCTTGATCACGCTATTCCGGATTGAAAATGCGTGTAGGTAATATCTAGGGCACTGGTGTTGAGCATTCTCATCAGAGTGTTTACGCAGATGGCAGCATTTTTCGTATTTGGTGTTTGTAAGGCAGTGCGTGTTCCTATGGCTCATGTAGCTACATGTAGTAAGAACGAACTTTTGGATGAGAGAAGAGACAGTCACGTCACGACAGTACTACATGTAATCACCGCGGCGGTGACTCTCTTGGTGCTGGCTGACCTGTCAAAAAGGATTAAGGCTTTTTTTTTTTGGTTCTAGGCAGGTTTTGATAACCGACGAAAGGTTTGAACTGGAGAAGTGATAAACACCACAACACATGTTGCAATTCTATATTACATGTATTGACCACAACATGTACAATGGCAGCCGGGCACAATTAAATAACATAATGCACCCTCTAGAAGCAACGAAGAACGCTTAGCAGATATAAATTTATACACTCTAACATTTGAGATTTATCCCGACAGCTAAGATGAAAGTTGCATCGAATGCGTGGCGGTGGGCGGCCATGTGACAGAACTTTGGTTTCTGATGGAGGATCAACTGCGTACATGGCTTTCAACCATCAACTTCGTGACCATTAGGAGACAAACAAGATCCTCGATGATATGGCCAAACACAATTGCAAATAGATTCGCGAAGTTTAAACTTTATAAACATATATGATGGACACAAAGACGGAAGAGCGAGTGATATTTCATGATTAAATGCTGAATCGGGTTATGGGTACGGTGCTAAGATTTCTATGAGAGAATGCTGGAGGTGCGTCTCTTATAGTATAATAAATGCCAGCCGGATTAATTTGACCCGGCATGATTATGCGTGCTCGAAGCATATGCTCTCCCGGAAAAGCCAGGTGAGAAACGCATGCATATATAGCACACGTGTCTCCTAGCTCTCAAGCCCAGTTAAAAATGTCTGTTTCTGTGGGTTCATCCAAGCTGCGTATCTGGATTTATAGACACTTTCTCTCCGGCTCCCTATCTCAGCTTAGACAGTACCTGTCGGCCGATGGAGTGGATAGACTCCCGGCCGGCATCTAGCTATGCAAACACCGTTTGCATTAGAATCCTCAACCCACCCAGAACGTAGTAGTACTAGAAGAGTGCCTAAAACGAAATGTCTCGCAGCATGTTACTCTGAATTATCGGGAGAAGGGTGTTCGAGCCCGGGCGCCCCGAATCCCTTAACCTTGGATTGGTACCCTTGGTTGATAAGAAGCATCCTGACAAGTGTAAGTCTTTCAATTATAATTTTTGCAAATAAAATTGTGCCTCTGTACTTCCAGAGTTAGCGATACGAGTAGCTCGATAGGGCCGTCAAAGAATAGATTTTTCTGGGAAAAGCCATCTGTTTTAGTGCTTGTAGCGGTAGAGGAACTCTTTGGTTCCGTGGGCGATCTTTAGATCTGAAAATGAGTGAAGAGGAGGTCATTGTAGGAGTAGTTATAACGTTCTTTGCTATTTGGCTACCTACCATAGCTATGGGTCACCTGGAAAACGAATGAAGGGGCCGAGCATATATGTATACGGCGGGCTTTAAATTAATTTGTGCTATCTGGATTCGCTGGACCGGCTCTGAGTGTCATGTTTGATATACACATAAATCGAACAATCTTTTTTTGGTTGACTGCAATTTTAGAAAGAGTAACGCCCCCACCCACACAGTGTTCAAAAGTTACTCCAATTTGAAGCACAAACTCGTCCGTCAACCTTTCTTTCTTTACCTGGGAGGTAAAGAAATGTGTTGCCGTCGGAATAGGTCAAACCTGTTTCTTTTTTCTTCATGCTTCGGCGGTGCAGTTGGTTAGCACCAGTTGATTAGTACATAAGGTTTAGGGTTCGATTCCCTACCGGGGCTTCATTTGGGTCCAATGATGATTAGACTTCTCTAGTTGTCTTTCTTACTTGAATTTTTGTACCGTTTCCTTAGTTCGGGGAGGTGGTAGATTTTTCTTCCCTCCTTGCAAACAGGGACGAGGGTGACGCCGATCGGTTTCCGCCCTCACGAGAAGGTTTACAAGAACCGAGTGATACCTCATGACCCACACACATGCACACGATTTCATTGATTGATTGATTCATTACGTACATACACACACGGTGTCAATATGGGGGGTAAAACGAGTAGAATACCTTTCATGGTAGTGTATGATCTGAACTATTACAAATATGCGCAAAAAAGTCATAGTACTGAGTTTTCGATCGCGACCGTATCAGTTTAGCTGGGTGTAGAAGGTACATGTACATCTAGAAATTCGATTCAGATAAAACGGTAGAAACATCCGTGCAGGACTCAGATGTAAAAAGCACCAGGGTTAGTCGTTTCTTTGGTAGAGTTATATTGTATTTCCGAGGAGATTTTGTTCTGCCATTGTATCAACTGTATTGCCATGATTATGAAATTATTGTGGCTTGAAGAACTTAAGCGAATCTGCGCTGGCGTTCCTGTGGTCGGGCTTCCGCTCGTGCCGCTTAGGCGGTGCCGAACTAGGTTAACGGTTTTTTAGGCCCACCAATAATCCTAAACGGGAAGTCAGGGCTCATGGAAGAGGTTGATGTTCAGTTCACAAACGCTTCACGGCGGGGCCTAAAGTGGCGAGAGAGCAACAGCTAGCGGTCGTACCTTATCGAAAGTGGATGGGGAGATCATGGTTATTCAGCAGCAGCTGGCTACACTACCCTCTCCTGATGTATTGCTAGTAAGGGTTCGAAGATGTCTGGCCTGATATCAATACACAAGATCATTGGCTGGCTCTCACATCCGGCGCTTGCCCTTAGTTTAAGCATAGAAAAGCGCATGCGCATACCGTCTGATTTTCTCGTCACTAACTATCACTCGCCAGCTCCCTGTCAGCTGAATAATCCTTTCGCGTGTTCTTTCTCCCTCCCGTGTTTGTCCGGAAAAATCGCGGAAGCATGGTGTCTCGTCGAAAAACAGGTGATTCTGTGTCTCGGCGGTATTGACTAATTCATCTAATTATAGACAATCTCGTGCGAGATGTTCCCGGTTTTCTCGGGATCTTTGTTGCGGGAAACACCGCACCTCTAAAAAGGTGGTCCTTGATTGGCCGCGTTTGGCTTCCTTACACCACCTTCTCCTCTCCTTTCGAGTTGAACAAACTATAAGATCCGTTAAGCATGAAGATCTGTTGACGCTCCGCACAAGTCGTCTTGAGAGATTTCATAGGGCTGAGAGAATAAATACGTTCATGGTCAAACTTGACAAACTTTCAACGTTCTCAGCAGACAACACCCCGCCAAGCTTTGGTTTTCCAAATTATGGCGCGGAAGAATAAACCGGGTCAAATCGCGAGGGATCCAGTAGGAGCTAGCTATCTAAATATGAGCTCGAGTCGATCATAGAGTCCCTATCTGGTCTCGATTAATTCTAGGCCGTGAATTGACGCAGGCGGGAGCCGGACGGTGGTAGGTACATAACAACAGTCGAGATAACGGGGCCCCACAGTTTTCGTAAACGCGCGGTAACCCTTCCAGAATGTCGAAAACTGCTTTGGGTGTGGTGCTGTTACCAGTCGGCCGGGAACGGTCTCAGTAGGTACATCTTTGTAACCCCCACACCGTGAAACCACCCTGTGCCTGGTATCTGGCCGGTAATATATGCCTCCTTCAGGCACTTTTGCAGAGCAGGAAAGAACTCCGAAAGGATGTCTTTTGATATGTCTTTCATAAGACATATTGGTTGGTCGAATTCATATTCTTAATGGTCGCCCGGTATGGTGAAAGGTTGTTTTAGCAGCTCGGAAGCTTTGGAGGGCCATATTTCGAGATTTCCCGATGGCTAAGCAAGACTTATCTCCATTATCGTTCTTCATACCAAGTGGTATGATTTTGATAGACCTGCTCGTCCTGATAATGATTATCAGCGCATGGACCTCAAGATGTTCCCACCATTGCAATTGATGCAAGCTTAAAGAAAGCCTCACGCCACAACTATCAAGTGTACGCCACGAAATAAGTTCAGCTGTAATTAGGTATGGCGTGATCATAATGGACACAAAGCGAACCACACTTGTACTCTAGAGTAGGTGTTGTGTCAACCAACTAGTTCCGATAAGCATCTCTAGTAGAAACAGATGTAGATCGATTGGCTAAGCTAAAATACCGCGAACCTGGTTACCACACTTGTGTGTGCATGTACCCCGGATTGAGAAATGGGCTGGATAAGAGGTGATGACAAACGGCTCTCTGGTGGTTTGGAGCTTTCTTCAGAACGAGCGGGTCGAATCCCTCTTTCTGCTGGTGATTCTTGAAACGAAAAAACTTGGGTGGAGGGGTTTCGGCTAGGCGAGGGTGACATCACAGCAAGTGTGTGGACGGCAAAGGGATCCGTGGATATCGATTGGCTGCTGGTGAAGCTGCGACGGGGCAACACGGCCCATGAGCATTTTCCAGACAAACTTCCTAGGAGATACCGAAAAACCTTAAACAAACTTCTATTGATGGTGCGGGGAATCTGAATATAAACCCTTGACACCAGTACATGCATCTCAGGATTCACTCGTACCCCATAAAGCTCTCAACAGCTTCCTATCATACAACCTTTACATAAAACTTCAACAGTACCTCCATCTACCTTTTTTTCATCTACCCTAGGAGTCAAACGACATCTTTTTCATCATGCCTTGCGGAAACTCAACCCAAGTCTTCGCCTTCACTACTCTATCACCCACCTCTCAGCTATCCCTCGCATCAAGCATGACTACCGCAGCACTTCTCGACTTTGCTGCTGCTTCTCCCGCATTCATGATCTTTCTTCGAACCCATTGTGAGGAAGTCGTTCTCGCTGCGTTAAAAACACAGTATGGGTATATTCCCGAGAAATCTACATGGAGCTGTGGTCTTCTTCCCCTGTACGAGAATCTACCACCTCATGTCTCTGATACCCCACTGGACAACTCAACACCCCGATCAGCCTACAGATCATCAATAGGACGTTATAAGCGAGGAAATCAAGACACCGCCAGGCTTCTCCAGGAAATGCCTGTTTTACAGTGGTTGGTGGATGAAGAGCAGCTTTCCGACAACGGTCGGAAGCTCCTCGATATTCTTCCACTATCGGACCACAGTCAAGGCTTATACTACGCTGGTGTTCGGGGGTTAGTACGATACTGCCAGAAGTACACTGCTCTGTGCAGCTCTGTCGTTACGAAAAGGGAGATCAATGAGCAGATGCAAAGATGGTTACAGGAGCGGTATACCCCTTGGGGGATTAATGAAATGTGGTTTGTTGTTGATGCCCTGGGCTCACGAATTGATGAGATTATGCCATCGCTGCGGAATGATGAGACACGGAGGGAGAAATTGCTGGGAATGCTCTTGTGCAAGATGGATGTACTCCGACTGTTCAGCGGCTATGATTTTGCTTCATCGTCGCCCACAAGCGAGGGGAGGGCTCTACGAAGACTTCTTGAAGAAGGGATAATTGAGGTTCCATCCGCCGCTGAAGGCACACCCATCGCTGAACTCCAATGGAAAGTCCGTGATGGGTCTCACTCACACTGGTTCACAACCCCCGCACAGGAAGCGTTATTAGGAAAACCCATAAACTCGTCTTCTCGCAGACAGTCACGCACGCATTCACGCTCTTACTCTACATCATGGTCTTCCGAGGATTCACCAAATAATTATATTTTTGGGTACGGAAACAACCATATAGCCTCTCAGGGCGTGAATCTTGATCAGGCAAGCTTGGACCTCAATACACCGCGTAACTGGCGCGACCTTGAGAGCATGAAGCTGATGATGATGGCGGGTGTAGCTGCAAGAGCGCGCAGAGCGACCGCGAGAGCCAAGGCCTTCGGTATTCGGGGTGGCATGTGGGCCGATCGGGGTTTTGTAGATTGGGGCATGATTGGTGTTTGAAGAGCCTTTGCCCCTCTCATTTTAGTAGTGGCTGTGGGGTTTGTGGGCTCGTTGGCGTTGTTGTTTTTTGGCGTACATAGGAGTTCTCATTTATCTCTTACTGTCTTTCTCTACTTGGTTCTTTCATCAGATTTTCCTGAAAGAGTGGGTATATGTCGTGGGGCGGTCATAGAAAAGGATATACTGTGTTGGTACACCAGCAGATGGATGCAGGTTTTTTTTTTCTGCGAAAAATGTCCGTTTTGAGCCTTCTGGTTCCTTTCAATGTACACAAACATTATACATACATTACCGATAATTTGGAACAAAATCCCGTCTCGCTACCGAGTGACGAAAGCGGGTGAATTGTCACCCATTAATTTCCCAGACATGCATACTTTATGGGAGACGTTGTGCCGAAGTGCTTGCGTAACGTCAGATAAAGTTTTTTCGGCCGAGCATGTAGACTTTGTGTTCTGTTTTTTGTTGTGGAGGTAATAATAAGCTTTGGGAAGATCGGTATGATTCCGGAACCCTGGAATGTTAAGTGTTGAGTAGGGGTGAGCGCGCGCTTGGCCTTGGGTGAATGAACCCTGGCCCTGATTATGGAGCTTGATTCGACGACGGGATCTAGATCCGCTGGGGGTTGGAAACCGCGCGTTGCCTTGCTTTGTCGTTATTTCCATTGCAGTCACTTCTATCCACATGTCTTTTTTTATTCTTCCGTTCGTCTTCATCTACCTTCATCCGATTCATAGTCCTTAGGTTCATTATCTCGACTACATGTAAAATATCTATCTGCTCGATTTTGTTTGTCTGCCTATTATACCACTACCCTTTCTATGAACCATGCACCGCACTCGATCGAGTGGCTTTCAGCTCTTATATAGGCCGGAAAGAGGGCAGACAGGAGGCAGGTATCATAGAAGAAAAGAAAAAATCTATATCTATAACCAAGCTAATTTGACATAGCAACCACTGGCGTGTCTGAGTCTTCGCTGCTGCTAAAATAATGGGCTACTTGTGTACAGTGTTGGTGTTTTGAAAGATAGAGGGGGTACCTGTCCCCCCACTTTTATTTAAGGAGACATAGGCGACTCGATGGCTGCTTTTATCGTAAGTCTGATTTGTCTGTTGTATTCATCATTGCGGGAAGGTTTCCCTCTCCATCATGATATATCACTCGAGATGCATGAATGCGGAACTCGAACTCATGGAATATCACTCGATATCGCATATGACGAGATTCGGGATGAGTATTTTTCAAGTTGTAATTTGGCTTTTCGAGATTCCATGGTGACGGTCGGGTTGTGCTCGATTTGAAATTGAGGAACCAAGATTGCTGATCATGATAACATCGGTCAAATGATCATCACTGGGCTGGATAGATCAATGGTCCGAAGTTGAAAAACCTGCTTTATCTATAAGGGATGACCCCGCCACATACCTCCAGTTAGCATCAGTCAACATAAACACAAACTCATACTAGATCATAACTATGCCCTCGTCACCATTCCAAGGCCCCTACCACTTTAGCAATCACCTACTCTTCACTCTATCCCGCGTAGAGGCAGTCGTCACACATGTAGTTGCTCGAGAGCGGCGCTATGTGCGTGATTTTCAGACAAAACATGAAATGGTGGGGGTACTAGAGAAGACTCCAAAGGAACTTATGAACGATGTGCTGAGGGAACTTGTGACGAGGGCAAGCGCGGAAAAGAGGGGGGTGGATGGGATGAGGGTGCTTGAGGGCGCAAAGGTTGTAGAGGAGATGGTAAGTGTGGTGAAGAGAGCGAGAGCCAGGGTGGGCTTGGATTGAGGACAGATGCGGCGATGAGCTGTGTAGTTGTGCTGGGGTTGCGTAACTAAGGTATTGTGGGTTGACAAAAGTTCTCGTGATTTTTGCCCAAAATACTAATTTACAAAGTCGGTAATCGGGATTAATAACTAGGAGCTATGTTTTATCAATCTTCAGCTTTCTAATCATCTATCTCTTCTATATCTTTTGTGGTTGTGGAGATAGTCGTCTCATGACCCATCTAATCATGAGAACTTTTGTCAACCCACAATAACTACAACTTTAGAGAACGGAACCAAGTTTTAGAGATACCGAGGAATTAATTGATCACTGAAATCTATGCCTAACTAAAATTATATTTTTTTTATGGCAATGGAACCAACGTCCCATTTTCAAGTACAACGTATAATGAAACCGTCTTCAAATACCCCCACCTCATTAATGAAGCACTACCAGCCCAAACATCCAAAAGACTCCTTCTACTACAACTTCAAATACCCGCCCCAGCTAGATGTTCAGTCATGCCCCGTAAATGCAATCGAAATCAAACGACCCCAATTGCTGCAGCGCTAACTGGAAATGCCTTTCTCCTCTGGTATCCTCATCCTCAGCGCTCCCCTCATCCCCACCATTCGTCTCTTCCGGCAGCAGTAACTTCTTACAATCCTGGCCCATTCCTATTAGAGCCGTTTCTACCTCCTCCAGCATATGCGTCACCCATGCATCCCCCACATTCTCATTCAACTTCTCCAGCCGTGGATGCTCGTCCTGCAATGTGCCCAGGAACATACACAGCGGCATCACATTATCCGCAATCTTCTCTCGCGGCATGCGGCCATTGCGTATCTCAAGGATTACGTTTTCCAGTGTCTCTATCAGCGAGTTGGTGTCAATGAGGAGCTGCATTATTCCTAGAGTTAGCGCCTGTCGTTCTTGGGTAGAGATCGTTGGTTCTGGGTTGTCAGTTTTAGGTGGTGTAGGTGCAGGTGAGGGTGAGGGTGAGGGTGAGGTAGAGTTAAGCTGTGACATTTTGCTGATTTTTGTGGGGATTGCGTAATTAGATGTTGAGAAGTGATAACGGTTATGATGGTTATGAGAATTGTGCGGTAAACAGAAGATTTAACGGTTTTACTCTTAAATGTTGGACTTACGTTTGAGATACGTTAATTGGGACAGTAACTAACGGAGGCGAGGGGGCACTAAGGGACTTCTATGTACCTGGTCTACGAACCAGATTTTTCCAACTGTGGAAGCTGCAGCAGATATAATGGAACGTAGATTTATCCTGACCCTCCTATCACAGGAGGAGGGTGAAGCTGGTGACGAGAAGTCGGGCGTGTGTGCTGGATTGAATGTCCGCATGTAATTCCTCACATCACGAAGCCGTACGCGTTCGATGTTAATGTTAATGATCATCTGATCATTACCAGTTGCTGAATAGAAGTGAGCTGACAGCCAGATTGAATTTGACGATAACAAGACCCACAACCTGGGAGTCATACCGGATAGACACGACCCTGGACATATATATAGCCTAAAGCACTACCTACATGTATCTATACGAAAACTCGACGCCCCGGCGAGATCACGAATCGAGTGATTTCCTGTGATCGAACATATTGATAAGAAACAGCAAATCGAGCTCTGGTATTATTATTAAGATTAGGTATTCTAACATTCTCTAAGAAGCCAGGGGTAGTTTAGTGTTTAGAGATTAATCAGTTCTGGCGTTATGGCGCGTGTGTCAGGTGGACTGGTTTTACGGCTTCAGATTAGTTACGCATGGCTAGTTTCAATACACGATGTTCCTAATACGAATACGCTGCGGTTTAAGGACTAATTGGGTTTTAGGCGCTCTTTCATCGCCGAACTTGCACGTAGGGCAGGGACGTGAGAGGAGTTTAAATAGATAGATCTATAGAGGGAATATTTCTCGAGGGTCAAGCTTCAGTGGTCATTGAGAAGGGAGTATTATATCCGGATAGTACAAAAAAGATGATAGTGATATATATTAATAGTGGGTTGGGCGCCACCCATTGAGATATCTGGTCTACTCCGTTCTCAAATAAGTCAGTAAAAAAAAAACCCCCGATGGCGTTCATAGCAATGTAAGCTTACATGCACGTAATTACCAACCTCAAATAACAAAGATAAAAATAAGATTAATTATACTACTTGTTGAGGGGCTAAATACATATTGTAGAATCAAACAGGAAAAAAAGGATGACCATTTGTGGCGAGACGATGAATTTGATTGGCCCAGTTAGAATTAGCAAAACTTCGTAGGCATAGCCGTGCTACTGTAATGCCTTCAAACCCGAGCCCAAATCCAGGGCCCTCCAACGTAAAAATATTAAAAGGGGGCCAATAAAGGGTAGATCATTCGTCAAAATCCCTGTTGCCGTTTCCACTTTTCCCTCCAACCCTTAAACCACGGGCTGTCCTCCAACGTTGTAACCTCCCAATCCTTCTCGACCAAACCTTCCTTCACTTGCTCCTCACTCCACCTATCCAACACTGGCAACAAGACATGCTCTAAATGCCACGTATTCTTGTAATCCATCAAGTTCTTCTTCCCCTCTCTCAAGACCTTAGATGCTATCTGCGGAACTCCCGGTTCATCCCTGAGTTCAGATGCTGGAGTGAACACTGCCTTGAAGTTGAATACAATCGCGCCAGATAACGGAATTCGCCGCAGGGTTTGCCAGTCAACGCGGAGATAGATTTCGTCAACGGTTAGCGCTGGGTCTTGTGAAAGGCGGTGGAGCTCGTGGCTGTCGCCAGGTGGCGCAAATAATGGCTTGCCAAACTCGAAACCCCAGGAAGCGCGTTGAATAGGCGCACTGGGGAGTAATTTGGTGAAGAATCTAAATTTATTAGGACAAAGGCACTATGAAGAAAAGAGGAGAATAATAAAATACCTGTCTAAAGAAAACTTAAGCTTCTCTTTATAATCCGGAACTGGAGAATGAATTTCTGCCAACGTCATTCCCATCTTGGTTCCTAGTGTCCATCCGATAGCGCTGCAAATAACACCAGCCTTAAACCTATATTGCCCCTCTGATTCCGGGTCCGGAATCGTTATCGCAAAGTCTTCCGGAACGTTCTCAAGGAGGACTACAAGCGGGTCCATTTCACTGAGACGAAACCTCTTATCTAGGATTTTGTTGATGAAGAGGTCTGGAGCCTTCCCTGAGACCGTACTGACAAGACAGAAGTATTGAGGGTAACGAGTTACGAGAAATTGGAGAACCATTTCCATCAATTCCTTACAGGCCGCTTCGGAGCCGGGAAGGCAATCTAGGATAGCCTTCCCATGAAGGGCAAACAACTCTCTTCGTTCGCGAATACGTTCAATATAGGTGTTTTCAAGCTCGATCCACCAGTCAGGTTCCATTTTCCAGAATGCTGAGGGTGTGTTAGTGTTTAAGTTATGGGGAAATTAAACTGTTTATTATTAAATAGTGGTGGTTGTAACATACCCATAGTTTGATGGTATGCCCACCGAAACGGTCTATGGGGTCTGGGTAAAGCTTTCTCGATGTTGAATTCAGGATAGACATTTGGTAATCTTACTCCGCTTAACGTAGCGTAGTCAGGAAAATCCCCAAAAGATTCGATTTCCTCTTGACTTCGAGTGGTCATTGGCAACTCCCCCGAAGAAGTGCTAGAGCTTGGGGCATCCGACAAAGGCGAGGCGATGGATCCACGTCGTGAAGGCAAAAGGTCTGTTATCAATTTCGCCAGGGACTGTTTCTTTTGATTTGAGGCATTCTCCAGAAGTGATCCATTGGCCACGGCGAAATCCTCCTTGATACATTTCTCGGTGCTGAGGTACGTTGATTCGGAACTTAAGGATTTCAAAGAGGCATCTCCAACAGTGGTAGCTCGTCGATTCCATTTCTGCTGGCGTTTGGATGAAAATACAAACCAAATCACAGATCCGAGGACCGTCAAGACCGCAACCGCAAAGCCGTAATATAGCAACCATACATCAAGCATTGTGTCGACTTTCTTTTGTGATGAGTTGGAAAGAAGAATGGGAGATGTTTAGTCGATGGGAAATGTAGCTTGTCTGTCCACGAGTGGTAGAGGTGCGGATTATATATATATATTAATCTCGCAAAGGGGGCTTAGCGTTGGGTTAGCGGGTGGTAGCTGAGGGCTGGGGGGCTGCACCCCAATTGTATATAGCGCTAGCTAGTGTCAAAATTTAAGCTGAAGGTTTAAATAGTATTTCTCTGTACCTAAGCTCAACGATTAATTCACAATTCTATTTAAGAACTTCTACAGAAAAGCAAATTTACCTTTCTCTCGAAGCCCATATCTGATCTCCGTGGGGTGATCCGATATTTGTAGCAGATGGAGGGTGAAGTACGTACCAGCAAAATTCTGTATCCAGGGTTGTAGTATGCGGGATCTGTCTCCTTTAAACCCAGAGGGAGATCTTCTGCAGCTGCCATCATATATATGCGTGTCATGCTCTACTGTCAATATTTCTATATCTCCTAATAAGGTGAATTCATCCACCCCGCCAGATCATATGTATGTGCGTTGTAACCAGTGAAAGCTTGAATTGAAGAATGTAATCGAGAATGACAGGTGCATGTGGTACGATAAAGTATAGGCTGTTTATGGTATGGTACTTGCATAGAACGGAGAGTAATCTACATAGCTAGTTTGTCAGGGAGTGGAGAATAGTGAGCTTACACCACATATGTTTCTGCCTCATTTTTCCACCTCAGGAGGTGTCGTCAATCGGAGAGGTCGGAAATCGTAACCACAAGATAGGAAAAAGAAAGAAAATCCCAGGCAAGCGTGCGAACAGAAATTACCGAGAGCACTCATCACTTTCCAGGTTTTCATGTAAGTTTCACAAAGCCTTATCCTCCTATTCGTCTTAACTGTCTCATTCTATGTAGGCTGCGTACCTTGCTCAGATCATCACCATCAGCACTCGGATCTACTCTGATAAGCGGGGAAACGCCTTGTCCGCGTGAAGAGACCCAAGGACTTTTTTCCCCTATTTGGAATGTAGCTCCTTGGCCTGTGATGTTCGCTGCATCGAGATGTCGAGATAGGGAACACGAACCGCCCATTAAATTGGCGAAAAGCATATACCACCCTAGGCCTAAGGAATCTCAAATTCCAAGTTGAGCAATTAATTGAATTTGTGCTAAAAAAACTGATATCGATAAGCACCTTAGACCCCTAGCTTCAAACCATCCTACCGGTGAGTGGCGCGGGGTAACCACGATATAGGAAACACAAGATGAAATGGTGGGAAAATTGCACCTGGATTATTCACCGGTCGATGGTGTCATGTAGGTTGCCTTGACATTATTGTTTCAATAATACTTTCTGGACGTACACGAGGCATTGCACCTACCCAGTAATACTTGGATATTTGTGCGAGCCTGATTTGAGTCAGAAATAGCGATAGGAGGTTGAAATAAGATCAAGTATAAACCTACATGTACCCATCCTATCGGGGCATTGGCCTAATACCTGCCCCGGCCCATATGATCGTCCAAGCCACACTTACTTTGGACGTCCAGGCGAAAATATATTTTTAAGCGGCAGTTTCACTTCTATCCCCTCTTCGCGCAGAAATAACTGCGCATTCGACCGGCTTCCAAGTATATTTGAGAATTAAACATAGGGCAAGACCAACCCGGCGACAACCGCATCCAGTCCACGTGGCTTTGTCTGTAACTCGAATGTCACGAGGTAACGGGTAACGAATAGCTTGTATCTCTATTTGTTGCTACCGTCGTACTTAGGTCTTGGATCGAACGCCTCTATTGATAAGGCACTGTAGTGGGGCGATTAACTGAATTGTTGTGGCCAGGTCTGAATTGCAAATGTCTCTGGTTACATGTATGTATGTGACACCAAAAATCGGATAGTTCAATAGATAATCTTATGGTCTGAGGTTCTACGATTTTGAATATCCGAAGAGGAAATTGAATCCGGGGCGGCCACATGTAGTGACCAATACGGCTGATCGCGAAATTTGAAAGAAAATTGGCATATGGACCACGTTTGGACTAATTCAAAGAACCCGAGACAAGAGTGTCTTCAGGTATTCGATGCCTATTTTGGAATTGTGCAGCTTATAGGGCTGATGCAGGGGGCGCGGCTATGATGGTACCCGGCCCTTCCAGAATGCTTGTTTCATCGTTGTGCCGAGTAGGAACAGAGCTATTTCCAAAGGGGGGTTGTTAACTCATTTATTTTATGATTCTAAAGGGTTGATATTGAAGTATAAGGCTTTTGTACACTTTAACTTAGTTGTGAATTATTATGGTCGTAAGTCAATCCTTTGAAGCCTGGCTTCTAGGATGCTGTGCTGCTGCTTGAGATCGATGTCTATGATGCTAGATGGTGATGGTGAAGCTTCGAAGGACAAGATAGCTTGATGCCAGCCAGAACAAATGGCTGAGTGCCCATGAAAACAGAGTGCAACCAGGGGGACATCAAACCTTGACTCCCTGCTAAATACACAGAAAAGAAGATGACCAGCTGGATCAATTCGCCGGGTTGCGCTGATTTCATATGGGGTATTGCGTCTTAACGGACGCCTAAATACTGATTGGGTTGGGTGCCTTTCAAGTGAAACCGACATCCCTAGACCGTGGCCAGACACGTCGTTCCAACATTTCCTTGCTATCCAGACTTCCTTGTTTATCATTTAGGGTCTATTTCGGATCCGGTCCTTGTAGAGAACAACATATTACTTGACCTCCCTTTGGGGGTAGAAATGTTGCGGCTAATAGAAGTAATAAATAAGGTTGATGGCAACTGAGGGTTGATGATAACGGCGGGGTTGGGAGTTGGGATTGTTTCAGCCAGAGAGTTTTAAAACTCTGCTTTCATAGAGTCAACGTTGTTATATGGATCCGCAAAATGGCCTGTCAAACACAACTCATTTCTTAGAACGGGTCCTTACCTAGAACGGTTTCGGACGGCTTTCAAATCAAACGGGACTCTAATCACTTTCGATATCAACCAGTCGAGTGACGAATCATGAATTATAGTTCAACTGATAATAATAATGGTAATATTGTATAGAAAGGGGCGGGTTATGCGCTTTCTAGGGACGAAATGACAGATCTAGAGAAGGAGGATGGATTATGTTCTCTGGAGCTAATTTTCTGCAACAATAGTTAGTACTATTTTCTCAAACTTGGTTAGCACTCCAGCATGTGGGGGCTGACTAATCTGAAAGCCCCACCTTCTCCCGTGAGCTCCCACGACCGATTCTAGATCAACTTTAACAAGCAAGCAAACAACGAAGAATCACAAATAACGAAGCAGAATGGCTACCCCGCCTACCTTTACTGAGCTCAATGAACATCTCACCGAGGTCCTCAGTAATCCCTCGACAAGTACACTTAACGTCCGCCTCCTGGAAACTTTCACCGCTCAACTGCCCGGTTCGCCTTAAGCTCCTCTCCACCTTACCTCTCCGCGCGCACTACTAACAAGTCCAACAGAGCAGCCCACAACTCACCTCACTGGTACTCTTGTACCACTCCTCGCAAAAGCCCTCGCAGTTGTGAATGAAGATCCCACACCCATAACCACGCTCCTGCAGCACCTCCTCACCACGACAACCTTCACTGAGCTTTTGGCCTTCGCCTCCCAACCCCAAACCCTTCAACTGCTCTCAGCGGCTTCCCCAGCAGTACGCGTACTCGGTCTCTCGATTCTAGAGAAGGCGGCAGCGGCCCCATCTGAGGTTGGGATCGTCGCAAGCTGGTCGGACGTCGTACAGAAGCTCGTCGAGGTGCTGCTTTGCGATTCTGACACAGGTGTTGCATCCAGGGCGGCAGATGTTCTTGTGAGGTTGTTAGCGGCGGATCTAGGTGTTGGCTTACTATGGCGGAGGATTTGCGAGGATGAGGGTGTGTATGAGACATTTTTCCGGCTGTGCTCATGGAAAGGAGAGGAGCTTCCAGAGGGGAAAAAGACGGAAGCGCAGGGGAGGCTCCTACAAGTAGTCGCGCGGATGGCAGCACTCGATTTCAGCGGTGTATCAACCTCAGCATTCCCAGCGATTGACAATAAGTACGCGGCGTCAGAGGAAGCTTGTGGAGGACTACTAGAGTTTGCCACGCGCTGGGCCGTAGATGCTGACGGCGATGTCATGATGCACATGGTGCTCCTCGATTTTTACACGTTGTTGCTACAGTCGACAAAGGCACTCGACTATCTCGAGACCTCTGGCCTCCACAGTGCTACCACAGGCCGCTACATTGCCCCTGCAGCATACTCAGATGATATAATCGACCAACAACTTCTCGAATCCAAAGCAGCCGAATACCTCGCGACCTATGCCCGTCTACACCCGACGCAGCTCCTTGACTCTCCAGCCCCCAAGATCCCCGACGGACGGAACCCAAAACGGCGGCGCATGTCATTGGGTACTGGCCCACCGCCGCCCGCAAAGACGCTCGTTGAGGTGACACTGGAGCGTATTGAGCAGACGCTGAAAGACACCCCCCAGCATCCGCATACGCCTTCTATGGATATTCTGATGGCAATGCCTCCTTCTGTGCTGGTGACGGATGCTGGAAAAAAGGTTGTGGCGATGATCCCGCTGTCGCCGCCCCAAACGGCCTACATTGATGCTTTGACAGCTGTAATCACAAAGCAGGGTAACAGCAGTGAGGTATATGATAACTATTATGCCACCCACGCAGATATGTGGCAAAAGATCAATAGCTATGTGTCTACATTGGCCCTTAGAGATGTTGTTCTGGCATGCATGAACTTTATCGAGAAATTATTAGTCGCACAGGACTCTACGGGCACGTACTGGGGGGCCAAAGCAGTCGTAAACGCGCCAGGTGTGATGGCGTTCCTGATTACCCCGCCGCAGAGGTTTTCTGGAGCGAGGGATCCCATGAGCACCGCTTTTGTGGTGGCTACAAGGAAGCTGGAAGTCCTGGAGACGGTGCTGCGGGTGCTGGGCAGAGCTGGTGATGAGGTCCCGGGCGCAGATGGATGGAAAGTTGTGGTGCAGGAGAGGTTAAAAGTCGGGCTGTGGGGCAATAGCGCTGGTGGGGAAGTGGCCACAATGGAAATGTGAGGACTGCCGGAGAAGATTTTCCACTCCGTTGTTTGTAATGTTTTTTCCGGTGATGCCTGGTGGTTGTGGGGCCGCTCCCTAGTTTCCCGTATCCATTAAACGGGCTATATCTGAATACCAGCAAATCTAGCTAGCTAGCTAAATACAAAAATTAATGCTGTGCTTTCTCTACCAAATTCAATTTCCAATATATAAACCTGGTGACACAAAACAATTAGTGTAGCACAAAGTCCGTGAGATACAAAAGTATATTCCATGGGTACTCTGGAAATGGCATCCTATAAACCTATCCCGTGTTACCCAACATGTCTCATGGCACCTCGCATAAACACCCTAAAAATCTTTCCTTATAATGCTACCTCATGTACATGTAGTTACTACCCCTAAGTCTGGATCTATCGTTACGTATACGATTGCAAGTCCGAGAGCGTGCAATCGGATTCGGTGACATTGTAAGGAAGTTTATCACCCTTCCACATCTTTCTCGACAGGGCGAACACACTCCCGGGCTCCCGAGAGAAAATCTAACCGCGAATTTATATAGGCCTTGCGGAAACCTTGGAAGAGATACATGTCGTATGAACAGCTGCATGTACCTATCAAGGCCCCCAAAAGATTAGAACTCCTTTATTTCTCCATGAGGCCAAGAAACCTAATGAGTTACAGGGCTCGAGGATTGGGGTATCTGGCCTTGGGAGGTTGTTTCACTTAGCACTGTGGTAATAAAATCTCCTGAAAGGCCACCACCATAGCGGTATTAAAGAATTTAAATGACTGCGCACAAGGTTCAATAGATACTTTGGCTGGCTGGGACTACTTGTTGCTCAACGTTAATCAGTACTGTACAATGCCGCATCAGCGTACAAGCGGTCGCGATCGATCATGCAGGGTGTAAAAATAGGGAGGATTTCTTCGCCCACACTCTCTCTTGAGCTATGTTATCGGGGCCGTAATTTGTCAACAGGTGGTCATGAGACGGGAGCCAGAACCACTGATTTTACAGGTCTCACATGAAGGGGAAGGTCCTGAGGAATGAAAAGCTTATATGACGAAGCTAAGCAACCCTGAGAGGTATTCATCTCTCGCCAGAGGGTTAAGATGATTTCTTCATCACAGATTCTCACATACCCTCTAAACTAAACCAGGATACCACGCGTTTGGCCAAAGTATGAATATCATATCCTATCACCGGTTTTGTCTGCATCGCGGATATGTATCTTCTGTTGGCATTTTACGCTCAACCATCAACTTGAGATTGACATTGGCAAAGCCTCTTTGGAGCAGGTCAAATTTTTATGAGAATGTGAAATGGCTAAATATATGCTTAAATTAGCTAGAGAGATGGTTGTCTTGTGATAGAAATGGTTGAACGAGTGAGGAGCTGTGATCCAATACATCGCATCACACCCGATCACACGCACTAACAACCCTCACAACCCTCACAATCTACAACTGAACCAGAACCCCCGCAGAAGTCCCTACGGGTCTTTCTTATAACACTTACCCGATTACAAAACCCTGCATATGCTGTCTCCTTTCTCCTGCTGCCTAACCCCCACGGACTAGCCAGATACGCGAGTGGGCATCTGATTACTTAAGTTTGGCGCCGCCCGTTTGGAGATCTATTCCCTAGTGGATAATGTCGAAGCCTGGGATTAACAATGACGAGCGGGAAGAGATTGCTGCGGCATTATGAAGAAAAGAGAACTTCGATCTAGCACCCGTGGGCGCGATGCGCGATTCTCGAGCCCAGAATGCGGGTTGTTAGAAAAGGAAGTGTAGGTAGGCGGTGTACTCCCGGGTTTCCTAACTGCGGGATCAGCCTTAAGGTTACTGTACCGGTCGGATCTCAGGTTCGCTTTGCAAAGCTTGGAGTAGCTGGGGAGGCCCGGTAGATATCTACCGTATCTCTGTTCTACTTAGAGTATCTGGGGAAACTCTCGATTGTGTAGGTTTAAATGGATAAACTTGATATCCCTACCAGCTTCAGGTGAATATGATTTGATAAATATATAAAGAAGATTAATTTACTCGCTGCTGGAATGGTAGTTGCCGATGTCATCAGCGATTAATGATTAATACTGGCAAACCGTAAATGTGTCAAAAGTAATTTTACCAACGGTAGTGAAAATAATACCTGTATTTATAACCTATAATGCGAATTTTTATGATAAAAGCACAGGCCTTTTGGCCAAAAGGGGCCATATAATGCCAATATATCCACCAGTGGGGAATCTCACCATCGGTGGTGGTATTTCACTACCAGTAGGAAATTTTCATAAGTTTTGGCATTAATGATTGAATATTTACTTATTTAATATAGCGCAGCATAAAGACCGAAACTCAGTGTTTATACCGGTGGAAATGTACTAATGTAGGATAGCGTGCAGATACAATGACTGAAATTCAGTGCTTATACCATCGGTGGTAAATAATTTACTACCGTTGGTAAAATTACTTTTGATACATTTACCGCTCCATAAGACGTGGTGAGTCACTTTACATTAGAGACTTTGCGCTGGATGCATCCAACAAGCCTGTCGCCAAGAAGATAGGGTTTGGAGCCGATTGACAATTGACTTTACGCTGAATGGGTAGTGGTTGTCAGATGGATGGGTTGTAGTGTGATGTCACGAACCATCATCCAGTTGCTCCCTCAAGAACCATCACCCAGCTACTCCTTCACGAATCATCACTCAGCTACTCCTTCACGAACCATCACTTCACAAACTATCACTTGATGAACCATCAACTACCAACCATCAACCATCAGAATTCAGATGTATAATTGGTATGTTTGGTAATCATCCACATAAGTATATAGTTCTAATTGTTTAATAGGTTATCCTGCGAAACGAAACATCCTTCGAACGGAGCAGGATATGATAGAGAAAAAAGACAACTTGAAGGTGTATATAAGTCAGTCTTTATTCTTCTGTCTACAAAATATACTAATTATATGATAGTGAAGAAACAGAATACGGAAATGAAACATCTTTTAAACGTAACAATTCACGGAACGAAACAGCGGAATAAAACATCACCGAGACAATATGTAGTCTGGGTACGATTCTCAACTATGAGGGTGAATCTGCTAGCAGTAATGTTGCCTAATCAGTTGCAGATTCTGGTAGCACTAGGAAGGCAACAGGAGAGCCTGTAGGGAAAAGAGGGATATCATGGCTCGCTTGGGAAGACAGAGCTCTAGCTAAACAAGTATTAGCCGATGACCTTATTTTAAACAAGGCAGGGAGTAAGGAGGACCATTGGAGGGAAGTGTCGAATCACTTGCAGCAGGTTAACATGACCCATTCATGGGCTTCTTATAAAAACAGAACGGACTTGCTTGTGGAGTGGCATCGGAAGGAGACTACTCAGTCTAAGCAGAAGACAGGTGAGGTGGAAGAGGTTAACGAGCACATGAGGAATATGGATTATATTATATTATTATTTGATTCTGTTTCAAATAATAATGAAATCAGGTAACAGGTACGAGATAAAATTGTAAAGTTGAAAGAGAAAGGAAAGCAGGTCAGGTTCGGAAAAGAGACTTGATGGAAGTTTTAGTACGAGCTGAAGACATTGGCCAAGAAAGCTCCAGCCTCAGAAAAAGAACACGCGCCCCAAAAAATCAACTTGCAAAGGAGTTAAAGGTTGTTTTGGGAGGGTTGCAGGAGCGGTCAGAAGCTTTTAGTAAAGCAATTGAGGAGCGAGAGGCAAGAGATAAGGAGAAGGCTGAGCGAGAGAAGGAAATACATGAGACACAAAAAGATATCAATGCTAAATTTGATGCTTTGCTTGGAACGATGAATATGTTTTTACAACTGCCGGATATGATAAAAGCAAAAAATGAATATATGATTTATCCGTCTTCACTATCATATCCACCATCGTAATGAAAATACTCTTCTAAGGTTGGCGGATTTGCTAGTACAAATACGTCCTGTCCATCTCAAAACTCTGGGAGTTGTATATTGTCCTGTTGAGCGAGTTGACTCTGGATATACTGCGCGATTTGTGGATGGTGAAGGCATACATGTGTATTATGCAATAGCACTGCGACAGGATATTGTAAACCAACTGGTGATAGCAGAGCCCACTGCGAGTTTGGGAAATGCAGAAAGGGAAACATCTGTATCACCTCCTTGAAGAACCATTCAACTATGATCTGGACTTTTGACATTGCTTTATTTTAGTCCTGTTGATCTTGATTGATATATGCACTCCCAAAAGGTTTTATCAAATGCTTGTTAATGCCATAAGCTGAGTTTCCATAGAGTTGTAGGCTGGTTCCATTAGGATCATGGGTCTGAACCTCAAGGATGTTTAATAACCTGCTTTGTGACCATACCGCTGTATCGTGAATTGAGCCTTCAACAAGACCAAATAAATGAATAGTAATTCCATCGAGCATTATGACTGCTTGATACTTCAAACAGTGCATATGTTTCCATCCATTATAAACAGCCTCTTGCCCATGTATGGGTCTTGCGATCTCCCGTAAAGTACCATCAACGAAGCCAAAACAGATCTCCAATGGAGCATTCCTCTCACGTATAGCTATTGTAAATGCAGATAAGCGTTGAGGTGTAAGTCGCTCTGCATCAAAGACAAGTAGATGCCGCCATGTCTCATGAATAAACTGATGTAATTCCTTAACAATCCTTGAAATCCACTCAGGTTTCCATCCAAACTTGAGGCAAAGGTTGGCCAACCAATTCGGCAATGCTAAACCGGCCAGAAGCATACAAAGAGCAGTAATTTTGTCTTCCACTATCATATTCTCTGCCCGAATCTGTTCTGGGAGCCGCATGCAAAATGCTAGCTGATGCACTTCATCTTTGTCAAACCTTTCAAAACATATTAGAATAAATTTACCGGAAACGATTGAGTATAGTTAGGATCCGACCTGAAATAGGTTTTCCAAGCGTCCCCTTCTAAGGTTTCTAAATCAATCCGCCTCCTTCCCGCTCTTGACTACGCCACCTAGTGTTGTCCGCACCATATCTGAGAGCACGGGCAAGTACCTCAAGTTGAGCTACATCAGCAGCAAACTCTAGGTACATTTCTTCAAGGTCGGCCATCTAGCTTTGTAGCCCAACTTCTCCGCTTTCTAAATCACTAAAAATCTTCGTAATAGGATATATTGCTTGAGATATCGCGCCTCGTTGACAGTGAGATCTAATTACATCAATAGGTCCCCGCGCTGGATCCAAATTTGAATCCGGATCCATTGAGCCTTGGCATGACAACGCTACCACACCTCAAAATGGATCCGGATCCCTCAACGCAAAGTCTTTATTATCTAGCTATAGGTAACTGCTTGCGCGGTCGGTTTGAACTGTGGCGGGTGATCTGCAATCTTTACGGCCCCCATACCATTTGCTTTTTTTTTTCGCTTGAGTGGCTTGATACCCGCATCAACTACTCGTAGTTTTTTGACGTTTCCGGACGCGATCACTATTGCATGCCATACAAAAGATAGCCTTGGCGGCTTTTTTCTGTGTATGCAATAGCAGTTGCGTCCGGAAACGCTGTGAAATTGCGAGTAGCTGAGAGGCCATTGGACAAAAATACTTACATACCGAGAAGACCTTCACATGAATGCTCAATGAGGAACATACATCATGATAACTACAACATCTATAGCTATCCTTGCGCTTCCGTTACATATAAACATACGTGGCTGCAAGAATTCCGTAGAACTTGATGGGCCAGAGAGTGAACCCAATTATTGAGCGTGGAGTTCTGCATCTGAACATGTACGCGCGTTGGCCTTGATTACTTAGAAGTAAGACATTTGTTTGCTTGCCTATAACTGGGGAGTTAATCTCCAGGCAGGGTTAATTTGTGGCCCAAGTGCATTTCGAAATCTCCGATACGAGGCCTAATACGAGGCCTAATACGAGGCCTAATACGAGGCCCAATCCAGCACTGCAGATATCGTGAGAGTCCAGAGTGTTAGTAAATTAATACATAAACCCGTAAGGACCCACAACCAACATCTCCATACGCATTCCGCTACTCGCCATAAACATGGACGCAATATTAACTCCCAACTTGGGACTCGTTCTCCTAATATCACCCTTCCTCTTTCTCATTGCCGTCGGCATCCGTAATCGCTACTTTCACCCCCTATCCTGCTTTCCAGGACCATTTTTAGCCAGCACCGGTCCCCTTTATTCGATATGGGCGAGCTCCACTGGCAAAGAACATGAGATCTTGGCACGCCTGCACCAGAAGTACGGACCGATAGTGCGATACCAGTCTGATGTGCTTCAATTCGCGGAGGCGGCCATGGTGCCCGTCATATACAATCGCTACGCAAACAAGACCGAGTTTAACCGCATAAACCTGCCCGGACAGGTACCGGGTACAGCGGGGTTGATCGAGCATAAGGAGCATTCGGATCGTCGCAAGAAGGTTGCGGGCATGTATAGCATGATGGCGGCGAAACAGGTGGAGGATATAGTGGATGCGAGAATTATGGAGTTCAAGAGCAGGGTGAGGGAGAAATATGTAGGTGTAGGGAGGAAACTGGATTTCGCGAGGTGGACACAGTAAGACCTACCTCTGATTCGATGCGTAATACGCATATATAGTAGAGTGTTGTACTGACAGAACGGTAGATATTTTGCATATGATTGTTAGTAACCTTGGCCCAAGATTAATTCAGTAGGCACCGATTATGGGGGGAGTACTGCACTTGCTTACCAGCAAAAGAACCAGAAAATGCAGTTGCTCAGGGATAGGGTAATTTGTGTGGAGTGGCGCCGTTCTCTCATACAAATGATACCTGTTTCCGTCGCTTGCGTTTTCTGGTTCTTTTCTGGTAAGCAAGTAGTTGGTAGTTAATTGTGTATATGCTTATACGGCAGCACAGTGATCAGCGAAGTAGCGTTTGGCAAGCCATTCGGGTTCATGGCCTCCAACTCAGACGTGCATAATCTCATTTCCTCAGCACACAACGGCTTAAAGGTCCTGATTACCCTTGCCAGATCCGATTGGATCAAAACAGCAATACGACACCCGTTCATAGTGAAATATTTCACACCAGCTATGGGCAAAGAGACAGGAATTGGGCGGTTACTTGAAGAGCGGGACATGCTTCTTACAGAGAGACTCAATGAACAATCAAAGGGGCTCCATACCGGGAAACGAGTAGATTTGATGCAGCAGTAAGCTTCAAAACCCATCGCACCAAAAAAATGGAGGGAGAAACGATCATACTAATAACAATTACATAGCCTCCTGGATACCCAGAACACCGCCGCGCCCCTTACCCTCAATGAAATCAAAGCCGAGCTTCTCGTGGTCATGTTTGCTGGCTCCGATACTACCGCCGCCACCCTCCGCGGGATCCTCCTCAATCTCCTCCACACACCTGGCTGCTACGAAACGCTCATCTCTGAGATCGATGCCTATATTGCCACACGCCCACCCTTCTCGGTGATCTCTTACGACGATGCCCTCACCCTCCCTTACCTCACCGCCTGCATCAAAGAATCCATGCGCTTCTCTCCTGCCACACCCTCCGTCATACCTCGACACCCGTCTAAGGGCGGCCTCACGCTTTCCGATGGCCGCTATATCCCCGAGTCCACGAAGATGACCGTCAACTCCCGCGTCTGTCAGCGGGACCCCAAGGTGTATGGCGAGGATGCGGATGTGTACAATCCGCAGCGGTGGTTGAGAGGTGAGGGCAAGGTGCGAGAAATGGAGCGCCATGATATCCATTTTGGCTCGGGCTCGAGAGTGTGTCTCGGGAAGAATATTGCATATCTGGAACTGTGGAAAATGACGTTTGAGTTTTTCCGCACGTTTAAACCGACGATTGTGGAGCCAGAGAAAATGAAAATTAGGAATATCGGACTGTTGGTACACGAGAACCTATATGTGCAACTTGAGGAAAGGGCATAGGGTGTTCATGCTATGTCGAGATTATGATGGGATGGCTACAGGATACGATATAGCCAGATGGTTATTTATTTTATTGATTTTGAGCTATAATAAGATTGTTAACTATGGATTTCACTGTTCTTTAGTTTTATAATAAAATTATTGTATTCGGATATCTCTATCGTTTACTGAGTAATTTCGAATTTCCTCAGGGGTTTTCGTTGGTTTGTTAATATACTTCCTCTTCAATTTCATACATGCAGTGCAATAAATATCATTGACTCTCGTAACCCTAACCCACCAACAGTGCTATCTCCGCTGCTTTCAGGATTGGTGTTGTGGCGATTTGTGGCTCACGCAAAAAAGCTAACCCAAAGAAGTATGTAGTGGTGTATGCTACTTAACGTTAGATCTTTGTCAATCACGGCACCATTGTGAGCCTAATATATTGTGATTACCGGGAATAGACGAGGAGATGCCGTTTCGTAGAGTAGATCTCTCTCAGCGCGAGGCGGGGAAAACCACATACTCGGCCCCTCACCCAGCCTCTGAACGGGAACCCCACCAGTATAAAGTAATCTATTGTAGCTATCACACGACCCCCGAGGATTCTGCATAGGAAACCATCATGATATCGGCAGCGGCGCCATTCCCAGGAACTATTGGCACATAGCAGGATCTCAAAGATGCGCCCTTCTCACTTGAGAATGCTGCAGCTAGCACTATTGACCTTCAGTTCATACCATGAGGGTGCAAGTCCTGCCGATACTTTGACATGCCTCTGAATCAATGTCCGCTGGCTCCTAGCTCGCTTGGAATCTCTCATTGCTCATCTTTTCCCGCTGATGTCGATCGAAGAGCTAGAGGCGTTGATGGCGAGGAGGGGTCCGTTATGAATATTGGTATGTCATTTTGGGTTAAGTCCTCTTTTGGGGGATCCCTGTCAATGCTTGACAGCCAATGAGAGATGGAGGCCACCGCTTGGCAGAGCTTGACAGCGGGCCGTTTCGAAACCTCATCCAGGTGGGCAGGCTGCCTGAATTATTATCTAGTACATGTACTTCGCGGGTAGGGGTAAGTGAGAAGACACCTGGCTGTGGAGGCGGTGCAAGAGGCTTGCCAAGGCCGCCGAGACTCGGTTGGCATCAGAGTTTTCTTCGGGGTGGGTCAGGCTATCACAGTTCAAGTTATCCACAGTACGGGTCAGTCAACCATGAAGAAAAAGGGTACCCGGGAAGATGAGCCAGAACGCAAGCGGAAGGAAACTACAAGAGACCAGCGGTTACAGGTAGTTACGCTGCGGGACCATTCTAAACCACAGATGTCATGGACCGCTATTGGTAGGGAGGTAAGTACTAGTACTATTCTATTCCCGGTATAGGATTTGAATCTAAACCAATATAAGTTAGGATTGGACCGTAGATTGTGTCAAGGGATCTATCGCCGAGTAAAGATTAATGGTACACTTTCAGACAGAAAGCGTACCGGGCGCCCGCCACTATTTGACCTTCAAGAAAAAGAGCGGCTGCTTCAGTTCGTTACGCAAAATCGGGTTACGCGACGTCTGTCATGGGATCAAATCCATGACTATGTGGGCTACAGTTGCTCTGGAGACCTCATTCGGAGTACATTGTCATCGATGGGCTATCACAAACGCATCCCTAGACAGAAGTTTGGCATACGCCCATACAATGCAATACGCCGTGTAGAATGGTGCCAACAACATCTAGATTGGACCTATGACGACTGGGTTCGGGTGCTTTGGTGTGATGAATCATGGTTTTCAACAGTCGGATTCCACCATAGGTCTCTCGTTATTAGGAATTCAAAAGAAGTAGGTCATCCAGATTGTTTAGATACTAGAGAAAAATCAGGCCGTAAAGGAATTATGGTTTGGGGTGCGTTTTGTGGGTTAACAAGGTCAGAACTAGTTTTTGTACCTTCAAACGTCTCACTGGACTCTACTAGGTACATAAACTATGTTTTAGAACCTCATCTTATACCTTTTTGGCATCAATGTTGTGAGACTTATGGTTGGGTACGTGTAGTAGAAGATAATGCGCCTGGTCATAAAGGATTTTCTAATTCTTATCGGGAGAGGAATGAAGTAGATAAGATAGATTGGCCACCTCAATCGCCAGATTTAAATCTGATTGAGATGGTTTGGAGTATTATGGAATGTGAACTAGGAGAGACATGGGGTAGGATTGAGGATTTAGAGTTGATGAGAAATGCTCTTAAAGTTGTTTGGAATAGTATTACGGGGGATACTTTAGATAGATTAGTCAAAAGTATGCCAGAGAGGTTACAGGCCGTGATTGATGCTAAAGGCGGGCCTACAATGTATTGAATATATTATTCGAAAAATTAGGCACAAGTCTCGGCGCTGTTCTCACAGCCATTTGCACCGCCTCCACCGCCAGGTGTCTTCTCACTTACCCCTACCCGCGAAGTACGTACTCTAGTTACTCTAGATCTGTGAACCTCACACCCGGACCATCGAGCTCGACAGTTTACACTCGCGAACAAAAATGCCCCCGATTCTCCCCACAGGCGCCTATCTTATCTACAACCGAGAATCCGGGATGGTGCTCCATGCAGAAAACGATGCGGGCAATCCAGAGAATTCTATCACACTTAAGGCTCGCGACGAAAGTAGATATTATGAGCAGCAGATTTGGTGGATAGAGCGCTGCCCGGAATGCGATAATTTTGATACCGACCCTATATATCAGATCACAAACACGGCTAGTAATAGGTGTTTATCGATGGATAGAGGCGATCCATCGCTATCCCAGACTTTTGGTGAGAAGCAGGAACAGTGGAGTTTGCAAGTAGAGGGGCAAGAAAAATATAGAGATACGGGGTCGGTGAATATTCTTTTACAGATCTATTCCTTCTTTGTATCTACTAAGACCTTAAGTAAAGGGTACTATCGGCGAAGCTATATCAAACGAATTATGAAGGTTGTTTTGGCAATCGGTATCTAACTGTTGAATTCGAATCCACGCCGTTGTAAGTTAAATGACGTCTGGGAACCTTACGAATATAACATGGAGTTTAAAATTAAAGGAAATAATTATAACAGCACTGTATATATCGTCACTTTCGTCAACTGCAACTCACCCCTCGAGTACAACAAAACCCTAAGCTGGGAGTTCATAGCGCCAAACACCAGATTTCCAGCCGGTTGGTTCGAAATTGGGAATGTCCTTGAAGACAGGATCCTAAGCCAAACATATATCACTTCGCATCCCGTACTTGTCAAGAGTCCGGAGTTCGACAGCGGATTGAGACTTCCAATGTATCGCGAGAGGTGGGCAACTCAGTGGAAGCTTTACCGGTTCTCTGCTCATTCTAGCACCGAAACAAAGGAGAAAGACAAGGACCTATTATGGATTATAGAAAATCGACTTACAGGAGGAAGGTTGGGATGTCATGGTGGTTTCGACAAGCCTCCCTATGAGGACGGATCCATAACAGCATGGATTTTGGAGTTCCATGGGGGGGAAACATCTTGGAGGATAAAAAATCAAAAAACGTCAGCCTACCTAGAGCTGACGATATCAGTGAAATCGGAGCGTTCATACCATGATACTGTCACATATCCTGTTGTAGCCGCCAATTCCTTCTGTAGGAAGTACCCAGATGATGCGGGTATGAAATGGTGGTTTAGGTACGTCTCCTGCTCATATTTGTAAAACAGGATCAGTATCCGGGCCCATAATTAACCTTTCAGCAGAAATGTATATGACCACTCAGCCGAGTGATTCTTCATTATTACTCCGAAAGTTGGAAAGTAGCTGAATTGCAATTTCCTACGCTCTCATATCTCTCTGTATAGATATACGTTTGCGACTATGTGGTATAAATATCTCTGTATGTAGAGTAAACGTATATATCCGGTAGCTATTAGTAACTGCCCATCACTCTCATAACTTTCGCCTTGTGTTTTGGACAGTATTATCCAAGAGGAGGGGTAAGTGCGACTCAGTCCTTGAGTAAACTAGGGTTACTCAAAGCACAGTTCAATTAGGGGTATTGATTTGACGTGAATTCAACAGTGGAACAGTACTAATTTCACTCACAAGCCACGAATCCGGCGGCCGTTCGGAAGCCCGCTCCGTAGTGGCAGGGGGCATGCGGCTCTGAGGGAGTAGAGTTAAGGAGATGACGCCTTATATAGCATAGGAGTGTGAGAATAAGATTTGCCCTAAAGCTGCAAACATATATCGCTAGAATCATGTTAAGTTCAGTGGTCAGCGGGTCCCAGCCATCATATTCCTCAAGACGTCTAATAGCGGTTATTATTTTTTGTTGCTCATGGTTGCTTGACGAAGGAATTCACCTATTGTAATAATACGAGAAACAATCATGTAGGAATGCCTAAATTTGTAGAAGAGATAAATGTATATATCTAGATTGACAGCTAGTAAGGTTGATTCAGGCCACGTGACAGCAAGATTAACGCAAAAAGGAAAAATCATGTTTGTGACGTAGCGTACCAACCTTTCCCCGCAGATTTGTACGTAGAACTAGAAGTCATGATCAACTCACGCTTAGTGAATTGAGCGGTTTATATAGAATATCATGACGAGGTGGCTTTGTGGCTAGTGCACTGGTGGAGTTGTCTCACAGATGTAGAGAGCGTGTCATCCGTCTGAGGTTTGTTTGATCGACCTGCAGCTGGTGGAAGCTGGGCCGCACGTAAGACCGGTACCAGTTACACTGACTCCAACATGATGCCTGACATTGGATCTTTACTTACCCGCTCGACCCCTCACGCTCTTATGCACCGAGGCTACCGCACCACTTCTTCTAGATTGGGAATCTGATGCCCGATTGCAGTTGTGAAAGGTGACCTTGGTACCTAGAATACTCGGTGTGGTCCAACAACTCGCAATGATTACCGGACAGTACTATTTTGCCATATTAAACTAACGCGATTCACTTCAACAGAGATCAACAGCTGTGATAATCTGCAATTAACCAAGCCGGTCGTATGTTTATCCGGGGCACAGCTGCAGAAATACATCATAGTACATGTACTCTGCGGTATTCAAGATCACAAGTATTCGTAGATCCCCGAGAGATACTCGAGAGTAGAAATGGACACATCCCATCAAGGTGCGGCTTATGTTCCATCTGTCCCACAGATCGGAAACCGGCTAACCATCCAATCCAGTAGCGAGAAGTCAAAGCTGCTCTCTGCACGCCACGGTTGCACTCCCAGGGTTCGGCCGGACACTCGCGTTCACCCGACCCCGGACGGTATGACAAATCCTGCACAAGCCCGTGGAGGGGGTCGTTCCATGCGACGCTCCCCGTTGTTATCTCTTGGCTGCCCTCCAAGGCAATCATCACCAGTCCTTATGTAACTAGGGCCTAGAGGAGGTGAAGTACTCCAGGTACATGTATGTACCAAGGGTACCTTACCTGCTCTGACTTGTCCCACCTCTCTCCCTCTTCATACGCTCTCCTCCCACTCTTCCACGGTTGCTGCCGTTTGTTATAATAACTCATAACAGCCCACCCAGAAGCTAGAAAGAATCTCAAATAAAGGAAGAAAGCATAAATACCACAATGGCTCACTCACGCCTCTTCGCAATGGCTTCAGCCACCACTACTATGTCGACCTCAGAATCTGTCCCCGAAAACGCGCCTATGGACCTATCACACCACTTTAACGCTACCAGTCGCTCGCGAAACTCAAATGCCATGAAGAACTTATACAAGTACTTCAATACTCCCGGCATGACAAATCTTGCTGGAGGTATGTCTCCTTGCTCCAAGCGAGTATCTTCACGCCTGCTAATGGTTGTTGCTTAGGTCTTCCATACCCCGAGTATTTCCCTTTCGATACACTTGAAGCTAAGATTGCACCCCCAACCCGCTTCATTGCCGAGTCAGCAGCGAAGTACCATTCGCTGCCACCAAAACCCTCAAGTTCCATCTTCTCCCTCTTCTCCTCCAAACCAGCACCCACAGAACTATCCGAAGTTTCAAAAACGGAACACTTCTCAATACCCAAATTCTCCCTTGGGCACACCCGTCTCGATATTGCCACTGCCCTGCAATACAGCCTTGCCAATGGCCTTGCGCCACTCACAGATTTCATCAAGGATTTCGCGCTAAATCATCTTCATGGGGGCAAAATCCCATACGCGAGTCCAGAGATTGTCCTGACATGCGGGAACACGGATGGTCTCAGCAAGGCCCTCTCACTACTAGCAGAGAGAGGCGACAACATGCTCGTCGAGGAATACACCTACCCTGGCGGCCTGCAGACTGCCGAGCCACTCGGTGTTGGTATAATTCCTGTAGCAGTCGACTCCCAAGGCATGCTTGCTCGTGGAAAGGGCGGTCTTCGTGATGTCCTGGAAAACTGGAACGAATGGGAGCAGGGCAAGCGACCACACATGATGTACACCGTTACAGTCGGCCAGAACCCTACCGGTGGTACCCTTTCCCTCCAAAGACGCAAGGACATCTATAAGCTTTGCGAGAAATACGATATCATCATCATCGAAGACGATCCGTACTGGTATCTCCAGTATACCAGCTCCTCGCACCCCCCATCTTCTGCCCCTTTCAAGGGCCCAGATGGTAAATACTCCTTCATGGAGGCGATGACACCCAGCTACATCACCATTGATAAAAGTGGTCGTGTCATCCGTCTCGATACCTTCTCCAAGACAGTCGCCCCTGGCTGTAGGCTCGGTTGGATCACCGCGCAGCCGGCATTTGTTGAACGCATCACGCGCATCAGCGAGGCATCAACTCAAGCACCGTCCGGGTTCTCCCAGGCAATGGTCTTTGAGCTGTTAAGCACATGGGGTATGGATGGGTGGATCAAGTGGCTCGAGAATCTCCGACGCCTTTATGAGGAGCGCATGGTAATGATGCGCGAAGCGTTAGAGAAGCACTCCAACGCGGTTCTCCATTTTATCGAAGGGGACTCTATCGTCGTGAAGAAGACCCGTGTATATGAATTCGAATCCCCCGACGGAGGCATGTTCATCTGGGTGCGAGTCCTCATCGAGTCACATCCAGCCTACACCGAGTATACATCAACCCTCGGCCACAGCAAGCTCGATATGATGACGAATCTGTGGACATATATTGCCGAAACGCAAATGTCGATGCCATGTCCGGGCTGGACATTTGCGCCAAACGCGGAGATCCGCGAAGGAAAGTCTGCCGAGAGGATGCGATTCTGCTTTGCTGCCATCAATGAAAATCAAATTCGGGAGGCAACAGAGAGATGGGGTAAGGGACTACAGGACTTTTGGGGAATGGGGGCAAAGGACATTGATGATTGGGGAAAGAGGCCAGAGAGTGCGAGGGGAGGGAAGGAGGGGATTGTGCCTCTTGGGTGGACAGGAGGGATGTTGGGGGGTGGGTGCTAGCAAAGAACATGTGGGGGTTTTTACATTATTATTATGGTGTTATTGTAATTATTTCTAAAAGTGAGGGTCACATGTATTTTTTATTCCTTTTTATGTTGAATAATATAAAAATCTTTATGAATCCATCATTGATTGGTGAAACATAATTTGAGAGAATATGGTGCCAATATCTAAAATCCGTGATCACTACGGGTTAGCCATGCACCTGATATATGCATGAAGGGACATCTGCTTACTTACCATAGAGAGTAACGTAAATCGACGAAAGGGTTCTGCTATCTTTCCGCATGATGATTTCGCTGCCTTGTATGTACCCAGGGAATTCATATGTGAATACACATCAACTTAAGTCTCTATCTCGTTGCGCAAGAATCAGACCACGTAGGGTGGGTTGTAGAGGAAGAGGTGGCTTTAAAGGGTTGAAGTGATGTTGACGATGTGTATGCAGGCACCCGTCTGTGCACGTGGGTCTTGGGGCGGGGCTGGGGTTCACGATCGACATGCAGGACGCAGTGGAACAAGGCCAGTAGCTATCATTGACACTGCTACTCTAGGAGCAATTTAAAACGTTGCACTTCACGACCTCTAAATTAAACATGTTCCAGCGAAACAACCAGCCACAACATGTATTTGATGCTACAAGAATGCACTTACTAAGGGCGAGCGTCGATCAACAACGATGGCTATAAAAGCAAACGAGTTGGGCCATCTACTTTGTTAGACAGATCTGTGGGTTGACGTGACGCGGGTGCTTCGAATGGATCGGGATATCCTCAACCATTGCCACGCGTATCAAAAAGTCAGAAACCGCTCCAAACACCATGTGTTTGGTTTCCACTATAGCTATCTGACCCTTGCCTAGAATTATACCTATGCGTGTCTAGAGAAATTCCCGCAGGTTATAGAAGGGACTCTCAAACCGGAATCAAAAACAAAGAGCCTTTGGAAGGTGTTCCGGGGGAGGGGGGAAGACGTCTATGGTACATACACGTACACGTCGAGTGGTATCTTGACGTATGATAGCAAGGAGGACGCACGGCCATTGGCCCTGCAACCCACAATAAGACAAATTCGGGCAACCATATGATAATCCGGCCTATTGGCCAATTGGGTCAGGTTCTTCGCAACCAACACCGGCATATAAAAAGCAGTCACAAAACCGACCTCTTGCAAAGTTGCTGAGTGCAAAGATATCCTTGTTGTCAACTTCGTTTATGACTTCGTGACACCTGATCGAACTGGAAAAAACTGAGAAAAACCTAGTAGCACACATGTACAGGAATGAAAGACCTTCATATACAATCTGCTCCGGGGGAAAAGCGATGAACAGTAAGGCAGTCGATTGGGGAGCGATAGAAGAGTGGATCCTCATGTAGTCATGCGTCTTCTGATGAACAATGGAGCATGATAACTGATACAAGCTCCGGGTCAGCCTTTAACTGTTCTAAATTTGAAGGAGAAACTCTAGGATCAAGAAAACTAATAACATTTATTGCTGATGAGCTTGGGAAATGAAGCCTTATTTGACCGCGACTGGGTTAGGCAGTCTACAAGCACAAGTAACAATTTCGATTCATGTCATGGTTGAGTAGTAGCATCTAAATAATATTGGGCTTCCCTTTTGGCCTCTGCACGCGCTTGCATATTCCAAATCCTTTTATCAGATATCGAGTCGAAGATAAATTATAGCCTTGCATTGAAAGCCATCCCGTGGATATTTCTGAAAGTTTGTAGGCGTTCAAATGTGGTCTGTAGACCCCCCCCCCAGAGGGTGTCTACAGATCCACTCACCTGGCAGTCTAGCTGCTTACAACTCTCATACTTCAAATGACCAAAACAACACAACAACATCTTCTAAAGATTCCAAAAAAAAACTGGCGCTTCACTATTAGCAACTGGATATATATATAGGTATCATGTTTATAAGCCTTATTCATTCTCCACTGCAGCTATCGAATAGGGAAGCGTTATGTGCTCTAGTCTTGTTTTACAGAATTGATGTGGTGAAAGGCTTCAGGTTTGAACACCTTCAGAATATCCACGGGATGGTTTCCATTGCAAGGCTATAATTCATCTAGTTCGAGGCTTCCATATAAATAAATAGCCACCAAGAAACCTAGGCCTCAACTCGCCAACCAAGTAGCCTCGCTCTTTCTAAAGCAAGAAGGCGGTATTACGACTGCATGTACTTCTAGAAACCGGTGTTCAACTACTTTAATATATGCGTGCAACATCAATTTTTCACGTAGTTATATGTTCCTACATGTTCTCCCGAACTTTCTACACGCACTCGTACGTTATCTTCATACAAGATTTCATTATCCTTAAGAGAAAGCCCCAGATTAATACCTGTATGCATGTATAGTCCTATAAATAAATGTTTGCAGTGGTCCCCAATCGCGGGGGAAGCATCTGCCGACCCTACCATACTCGTAGATCAAACTCTTAATAGGATGATCATGAGCCAATGATTTCGAAGATCATTAAGCTCTAAACGAATCATATCGAAGCACTTCAGGCGAGACTTGGCAATCTAATCAAGCTTCGGATAATTTAATTACCCTGACCCTCGATTCGAAAAGAGAAAAAAGGACATTGATATAAAGTTCATGTAACCCACCCCGCTGACATGACATGAGAGTCGCAATGCGGGTTATAAGTAAGCATAAGTAAGCGAGGAGCAGCAAGTTTCTTTCGACAACATCAGAGAAGGGTGACACAAAGATTCGATCGCATTGAAAACATCTCAGCCTTGTCAACTTTCTATTAAAAGCTGAAGAGTAGGGATTCGCCGTGGTAAAGAAAACAGCAACACCCGGAAGGCAGCATATGATGAGAGGCTAAGGGCATACAGGCGCATTGATATCCACAGGGTTAATTTATTCGGATCGTAATTAACTTGTCAACTGGCCTAGGCTTTGTTAAGCTTATATTGTTAAGACTCATTATACAAAAATCCGTCGTTGAGAGTCAAGCAAACTGGTACGTGGCCGAATCGACTTTCTAGGGATCAACCGTATTATGTAGCCTCGCGGTTATGGTATATAGACAGAGTTTCCTTTGGAGCCGAGTACGTACATTATCTTGGTGCTCGAATCGAAACATTTCTGGTGTAACAATATGCAATCATTCTGCATTAGTATCCATGATATCCTCGATATTAAATGCAGGCGTGAGGCAATTACCACAGCCCTCATTCAAATATTGAACAATTGATGCTTGTAGTGCTGGTGCACAAGTACATGCACATACAAAAAAATTGATGCTGCTAGCACACACGATACGATAGGCGTCATCATGGTGTGGGGCACAGTTTGCTTTATGCTCAGCGCTAATCTAGATCTTATATCTTTCATGACTGACGATCTTAAATTTAAATTTTAAGGTTTCTACTATCATAGTAACCCTGCAAACTATTTTTGAAAGGTGAACATGCGCCGATTTTGGCGTCTGACAATCGATAACCATCACTAATTGAGTGATTGGACGGATTCTGGAGCTCTCGCCGGTTGGTCTTTGCATCAACTTGAATGGACCAAGACCGATAACAAACCTCACACTTTGGCCCCTTGCTTTCAATAGTGTTTGGAGTAGAGTGGGGTATGGTTTTCAAACTTGCCTTCTGGTATACTGTCTGACTGCGCATGCCAAAACCTTATGCATTCCCCCCACTCAAGCGCATGGAGCTATGCATAGACCCAGAAAAGTATTTGCCTGCTTGTTAATAGTTATTCGCATGATCTAGAAGCTGAAAACATTCGGAAAGGTGGGTGAGAGGAAAATTAATAAAAAGAAATACTCTATATGCTTGAGCGGTGGGTAAGTGGCATAGATTGGCAAAAAGCTCTATATCTTTCCGTCAAATCTCGCCTTCCTTTCGAATCATCCCCACAAGCACGCAATAGTACTACTCTTCCAACAAATCATGTCTGATACCAAAAAGCTTGATGTACCCATCTCCGTTGAAGGCCTTTTAGCCCTCACATGGTCTCTTAACCTACTGGTGTTCGTCTTTATGGTGCTCCGCCTGTGGATGAATCGCCGCCAAAGTCTCAAAACCCCTTCTATTATTATTTCTGACTCGCTTCTCGTGGCATCTTTCATAATCGGCATTGCTGCAATTTCAACGGATGCGTGGAAGTATAATTTGGAACTGATGGGGAGAACGAGAGTGATTACTCCCGAGGAGAATAAAATAGCTTCCTTGGTATTCCACGCTTCCAATAGCCTATATATTTATTGTTCTGTACTAATATCATGGTGTTAGCTTTCTTTTATCTGTGGATATCTAGTATTTTCGGCGATGTGGTTATCGAAAGGAGCATGCGTGATCTATTACTACCACCTGTTCCCAAACCTATCTCCATACTTGAGGAAATACCTTTTCTTCGTCACCGCGTTCACCGCAGGAACATATGTCTTTGTGATATTTCTTCACAGCTCCTGGTGTCGTCCAATCTTCACAAACTGGTAGGTATCTCCTCATCGTATTCTCAAACCTCTCTAATCCTATTTCCGTAGGGATGGAACCTGCAACGCCACTGGCAATACCACCACCTTGCCACTCTGGAGTTTCCTCAACATCTTCACCGACATCTTCATTCTCATCCTCCCACTTTCCGTCCTCCATACCCTCCAACTCGGCAGACGTCAACTCGCTGGTCTTGTAGTCGTATTCTTCATTGGATCACTCTCCATCATTGCTGCGATCGCTCGCTTCGTCGACATCTACCCTAAGATACGCAAGGACCCGAATGCGCCCATTGTACATACGTATGAGCTGTGGGCGTGTGTCGAGATTACTATGGGCCAGCTAGTTGTCTGCTTACCTGCACTCAGAGCGTATCTCAGAAAAACAAGAGATAGAAAGAATGCTAGTCATTATCAGACAAGTTCGAGCTTAGGGAGATCAAAAGAGGCGATTTCGGCAAAGTCGAGTGTGATCCGGACGCCAGTCGGTGGGTCGGATGGAAGATATAGCGAGACAGAGCTGGTGAGGAGTGGGCGTGAAGAGTGTTAGTGTACCTGTTAGTGTGTTTTGTGTCTTTCTGGCGAGCGAGTGATGATACATCGATATATAAATGTAGCTAGCGTGAAGTTCTAAAGTGTAATCAGACACCTATTCTCCGGTAATAGACAGTAAAATGAGAATGCATCAAGTAAAAAGTCTCACCTTGATCCAAACATGTGTCTCCATCTGAATAAAGAAAAAGAGAAAAACTTTCCATCATCCAAATATGGTCCACAGAGCTTATCAATATGAGCTATACGAATCCTGTCAGAAGACTTACCCACAGCACCGGTAATAAATAATGCCGTCGACGTGACCCAGCGCACCACACTGAAACGGAAACTCCTACAGACGGCAACGGAATACAACAGCCCCACGCATCTAATCTAAGCCTTAGCAGGTCGCTTGCCGTAAGAGATGCCTAAATGGGAACCTTGGATATCCTGCTTCGTCGGGTATGGTTTAAAAGGCTTGTCTCTTTTGACCTCGTACTCAGTCCTAATTTCTGATCACAGAACCGTGTGACCTCTATACACAGTTATAGATGAGAATAAGGTGAATACTCTCTCTGCCTGAATATAGTTATCGCATGTTTGATTTCAAGAGAGGCGGCATAGTTACTGTTCAAATCCTTCTACTGCACTTCCAATAGGTTGCCATGTCTCTATATTAATATTCAAATCGAGTGATACTGTATGATGGGCATAGCTTTTTTTTTGTTTAATTCATTAATTGATAGTCACAGCCTGGCTATAGAGCCATTACTGGTCAATGCAGTATACGCCCGAATATCACTTCAGGGTTAAGCCGTGACAAAAAATTCAGACACCGCTTGCTCTATCTGAGTCATTATCGTGCGTCGAGGAGAGGGGATGGAAAGCCACGTAGCGTCTTATAAGAGCCCGACTTCGAGCGCCATTTAAATCTTCATGTGTTAAAGTCATAACTAGCGGCTGGGGACAAGCTTCATTTAACTCACCATAATTATCATGTATTCAGAGCTTTGCCAGGCGTAGCTCAGTTCCAGTTAGTTTTAGGGTAGAGATGTCTATCGTGGTTACTAACAGAAAGTTAAGGAACGTTGAATGATCTCTGCTAATTCTTTTAGAAGTAGCTTTGTGCGGCGCATCTATTCCTCGAGGCCTCTTACTGACGGTTGGATTCCTTCTGCAAGTGCAAACAAACGAATAGGATTGCGAGTGCATCATCATGATGCACTCGCAGTTTAAATGACGACTTGTAGTAGGAATTAATATCCGATCTGAAAGGTTTATGTTGAGTAAGAGGATAGATAAATGTAATGTATTTTTTTTCGAGGGGTACCAGTTGTTGTGGGGGACACAAACTCATTTTTTTTCCACATACACTAAGGAAGGGAGCTGGGCAATAAAACGCATTGGTCCGCCATTCACACCCCATCCCGCCGACACCCACCCGCTGATATCCACCCCACCCCGCCAACATCCACCACACCTCATCAACACGCCTCGTCAATACACCTCGTCAACACACTCCATCCCACCAAAACCACAATTCATCCTCTTACCACCTGGCCACTTCATCTTTGTTTGTGTCAAGTTTATTGTGCTTCATACATCCATCGCGCCCTCTGTACACATCTTTCGACGTAATGTTGCATCCTCCGACATGTAGCTATCGCAGACTCAACCCAAGTCGGGCCTTTACTCAAAAAGCTCCAACGAAGACGTTTTTTTTCGACAGGACTAAGTACCCAACTAGTGACAAAAGTTCCCTAGATGAAGAAACTAGCGATGCAATAACTGCCGAGGGAAATAACGATGACCCTCCGATATGGTGGCTTCGAGCTCAATCATCCTTTCCCTCGAACACAGTCATGGTCCAGCCCCAACTTCCTTCCCAGAGGGCACAATCTCAGTCCCCTCTTTTTCACAGGGTGATCAGTTCTGAGAACCCAGAAACCTGTACCATGGGCCAGTCGGGCAGTAGTGTAAGAGATGGGTGTGGTATTCCTCAAGCTCTCCCCACTTCTAGCACTTCCGCATATCCTCCCTCCACTACCTCTATAGCGCATGCTACCTGCGCTTCTTCCGCGCCTGCTCCTCCTGCATTTAACACGTCCGTAACTGCTACAAATCTTCCGGTAACATCAAACGGTGAAATGGAGCCCGCATGTCAGTTAGCTGTTAAAAAGGCTCCCGAGGAGAGTTTGCATCCTTTTGGGACGAAATTGAAGGACTATGGGCAACAGGATGTGTTGGAAGACAAGAGCGAGCATGAAAGTAATGGAGAAATTTCTGAATCAGGCTGGACAACTGCCTCTGGCGGAATGGCATTCTCGTTTTCATTTGTGGACGGAAAGCCCTTTGCTCAGCCAATTGTAAGTGCCTTGCTCAAAAAGGGATTGATTACTGTACCGTCTCTAATTGTGATCTTTGGTGGCTATAGTTCAACCCGAATGGTACTCCGGTCAAACCCTTCATTCCAATACATATGCGTCCGCCGGTCAAGAGTCTAAATACTATGGTGGGAAACAAGACTCCTTTAGTCAACAGCCGCACGAACGATTTGAAGAGTGTCGATAGCCAAGACATTATTAAACCTAAGAAAGCAGAAGCGGAGGTCGTCAAGAAGAGAGCCGAAACTCCTACCCAGAGCGTTCACAAGGTACACGATACAAGCACAAAGTCTAGTTCAGCATTGTCAGGAGCTGAGAGGCAACGCACATATTGCGAACTCTATAACGCTCATGTTGAGACAATGTTTGCTGGAATCTCGTCAAAATATCCGCAACCCACATCCGCCAGTGCGGCCAAGGAGGCCAGACAAGCCGAATTAGATGCCAAAAGAGCGACAGCAGCGGCAGAATATGCCTCATCTCCTAGATCTGTTAAGGTAGAGACCAAATCTCAAGTTTCGGCTTTTATGGCCAAGGTTCCTACGGGAAGGGACAATCAACAAAAAACATTTGAATCAGGTGATAATTATGGGATACCGCCAAACTGGGCAGCTTGTGAGCCAGATCCATCTACTCGACCTAATTCTACAAACGGATGGATTAATTGGAAGGTGAGTAATATCAACCCTGCTTCTCATATATAAAACTAATATTCGTGCTCTATTCAGCCAAAGCCTAAAAAAGGTCCTGCGTCGGCTCGTAGTGGACACATGACCATGTCAGAATATCAAGCTGCCATTGCATACAGACCTCAAGGTGTCGATCGTGACTATGAGGCAGCGAAGGAACGCGCCGCCGCAAAGCGCTTCAGTGGGCCTCAATACCAGTACTATAATGAGCCATCTCACAAGAAACGCCGGCCAAAAAATTCTCCGCGGAAAGCGCAACAACAAAAATCTTCACTACCTCCCATGTTTCCAGATATCCTTCCTTGGCGTGATGTGCCACCGCAGCCCCCTAATCCTACTGGTAAAAAGATGCCGAAGTTAGACTTTTGCGGTGAGCCGATAGAAAAGGGAAGAGGTTTCGATGGCACCATTAAGCATTGGGGTGTGCCAACAAAAAATCAAGACCATGTCCCATTCCTCGAAGTAAGGCTCTGTATACCTCTCGTATCCCGATCGTGACTAATTACTATATCATCCAGATTAATGCGATTGCATCTGAATACACTACAGACTGTGACAAAGACACGGATGACCCGACTAGAAAGGTATGTTACGAGGTTTTTAATCATACCTTTAAACTTGAACAATTTTTAAATATTACAAACAGTCTGTGCGGCGCTTTCCGCCACCAAAGTCTTGTTCAGTGAGCAAATACCCTACATCTGCTCAGATTAGAGACAACGTGGGTATTGAAGAACCCCTCAATACATAATGGCATACTAAATTATTTATTATATTTATAGTACAATCAAGATAATACTACAACGAGTCTTAAGAATGAGCAGGAAATGGCGGAGGCGTTGGAGTCGCCTGCTCCTCTTCCTCGCCTGTTGGACAGTTTTTTCGAAAAGAATCCATTTACCCTTCGCGAACGGATTGGAACCTTCATCAATTCTCTAAACCCAGATTTCCCAGATCCTCCAGATATGCCGTACGAAAGGCATGGTGCTAAACCTGTGGCAACCTGTGTTAAGAGAAGGCAGCCTTCAGACGAGCAAGATGCAAAGGAGATCATCATTGACTGTGTGGAGGATGAACTTGAGAAGCCCCGCCGCGAACCTCACATGGAGCCGATCAAGGGGCGCGCCGATATGGAATGGTATAGAACTCACGATGGATGCTGGTCTCAGAGATTCCCATTACCAAAGAAGGCCCTTCCCCCTCTACCTCCCAACGAGCCTGCCAATGATTGGTAGTGTTCCATGCCAATATCAGAATTCTGGGTATTGGTATGCCGTCAGTAGGTAACTATCTGGAGCCGGAAACTTGTACAGAGTGTAACGCAGCAAGTTAGTTATTACTTCTTGGAAAGTTTAGGACGGCGTTATGTCATGGGGCCTGGTTTTCTTCCGTGGCAAACATTGTAACATGCTCTATAGTACTAGCCTAGAGTGTATTACTGATATTATGAATTTTAAATAAAGATAAGAATTAAAGTCACCCTGTATTTAGTTAAGAAGCCAAAGATAATTTGAGGTTGCACTGAATATTGAGTTATTTTAACGTATCCTTACACTGGTTTTATCACACCCTCCGGTTCAACGCCTCTATTCTTGCCGCCAGTCTCCGACCCCAAAACTTTTAACTGATCTACCCATGCGCCCCTCACTGTCTCTTCTACACTCGATTGATTCTACGCCCCAAAAGCTTAGAGTCCTAAGGAGTAGATAAAGAACAGGTCGGCGAACACATATTGACTTTGCATAACTGATTTTATCCATAGACAGAAAAAAACTCATCAGCAACTTGTTCAGTTTTCGGCACCAGCCAAAGTCTCTAGTGTACCATTTCCTCCAACCAATACCAACCGAACCACCAGCCTCAATACACCCTCTGATAGTAATGGCATGCCACAGAAAAGCTGAAGGAACTTTTCAAGAGGAATGAGATTACTATCCTACTACTTGCCTTGTGTAAAAGTCTCTTGTTTCTACATAAAATTGCACTGTAACTGAAGAATGATCTGGGTTTCTGAGCTCATCATATGTGGAAGGTAAGAGATGCTGAGGAAAGCCAGATTGTTTCTATGCCAGTAAATAATGAAAGTAAGTTTGTAATTTCGCTTGGCTGTAATCTCGCGTTGAGATCTTGGACATATTGTTTTGATATCGCGTAAATGGCCATGTAAGGATCAATTCCTTGAGGCCTCTTGGAAATGTGAGTGTGATTTCTACTTTCTTCAAAATAGCTTGCATCTATTGCATGTGATTCATGTCACCTATCTGTTTGGGCAAGGGGAATTTATGGGGGTTTTCGGTGTTTTTTTTTTTTTTCACAGTTCATAGAGCCGTTTCAGTGGTTCTTGCAGGAGATACCTTGGGTGTAAAATATCATTTGGACCAGCGGGACCGAGAATAATATTGGTTGGGAGATGATCAAGCGGAATAAAGAAGGAGAAAAGGTGACTTTCTCTAGCATTGGACCTCAATAGGGAATGAATTAAACAAAAAAAAAAAATAAAATAAAATAAAATAAAATAAAATAAAATAAAATGACCTCAATAGAGACTACGCTCATGCACCTAGTAACAACACGCATAAACATATCGAGTGATAGTCTATGACGCAATGTCACATTTGAGACACGCATAACGGGTATTAGGCCGGTGTAACAGGCCGGGGCCGGAGATTGTAGTCGATCAATCGGTGAATTCGTGCGACTCGATTCTTCAGAGGTAAGAAAAAGGTGGATGGTTGTGGTGCGCTCATAATTCTAATGCTGCGCCACCACCATGCCGCAGACCGGAACCCTTCCCCATACATGTGGACTAAGCTCAATAGAAAAGTTCTGTTAACCGTAAACAGTGACCAATTGACTTTGAAATCTGTATAGCGGATGAAAATGACAGGCCATAGCCTCACGCACGATAGCTATAGCCTACCAGATAAAAATCACAAGCTTAGCTAGTTGTTGCTCCTTCAAACCCGATGAGATCATTGGTGCTAGTACTAAGGAAAGGTAAATACTCGATCGTCAACCCAAAAACAAACAAACCCGTCAATTGGACATGACAGGGTTTCAGTTTTGGACTTTACCCGGTTGCTGCACTGAGTTAAAGTATGAGGATCTAGATGTCTGAGTCTGGAGACACGTGATGCCCTAACGCGTCGAAAAATCGAGGGGCCGCGTCAGAACTAGCGAATCGGCACCGTTCCTGAGAATGGCAGGGTAGGTAGATGTGGGTACATGTAGGTACATGTAGGTACATGTAGGTACAAGCTCCCTTGAACCCTAGCTCGCGAGCTCTACATGTAGCTATCAGCTCGACAGCAGCTATCAGCTAGACAGCAGCTATCAGCTAGACAGCAGCTCATCCATTGTGAAGAAGTCAAGTCGTCCCAGACAAGCCAGGGGTAGGGTGGGTGTCCGGTGGTTTCAAGTAGGCTGTGAAGGGCGATCCGATAGATGGTATCGGTGTCCTTGCGCTTGGTATGCAGATTTAAGTCACAACATCTTAAACACAGCCGCAGTAGCAATACCTGCCTACATGTACTCTACCTCAGTCAGTAACCCCAAGCTTGCTTGCCTGACTGACTCACCAACGCCTGGACTGAACGCACGCAAACAGTTAACTATCGCCCACGACCCCCGCATCATCATCAAACCCCAGATTTACCACCATATACCATCTACAAGCAGCATCATCCACCTCCCACCCAATGTGCTACTTCCTCAGCGTCCGATACTCGCGCTGTAACCACCGCATCGTCCTCGTCGCACAAACTCCTCCCTATTCCTGCACCGACAACTGCGCGGCACCCACCTCACAGAGCTCCGACGAGGTCCAGCACTCGCGCTCAAACCGCACACTCTGTCCCTCCTGCTACGCTGCCCGCTACCCCACGCGCACGATCCACCCGCCGATACTCCGCGAGCCCGCTCCGGAGGTCATCACCTTCATCAGTCCTGTCGTGACAGGGGAATACGACGGCGACGAAGTTACGCTCGACCGCTTCCGTAAGCAGCGGAGGGAGCATAGAGCGCTGCAAGCTCGCAAGGGGCGCACTCAGTTGGAGGCTGTGGGGGTTACGGAGCAGGCGATACTGAACAGCGGGTGGCTGGCGGCCAAGAGGAAGAGGAGGGTGTATGAGGAGGATGATTCCGACAATGAGGAGGATACACGCAACTTCGACCAGGTCCTGAGGGGCCTCAGGGGGATTCACGACGGGGAACATGACGTGGAGAGAGAGCGCGGTGGAAGGATACGATGGGTTGAGAGGTTCTTTGCTGGGGAACCGGATTACGATGAGGATGATGAGGATGAGGAGGACGAGGAGGAGGAGCAGGCTGAGGGGGAGTTTAAGGATATCGCAGTGTTTGAGAGCTTGCCTGCAGGCCTGTCCCAGAGCAGTGCTAATTGTGATGTCGATTTCGATGGTTTGGAGGCAGGAACTCAATCGGGAGGTCGTGCTGGAATTAACCTTGCCCCAGTGTCCTCCGTGACCACCAGTCGCCGTAATTCTGTATGATTTAATTGGATACCCATTTTCTAGTCTTTTCGGTGCAAGGGGGTCATGTTCTTCGTTTTCTTCTTCTTTTACTCTATTCTTTTTTAACTTCTTCTATATCCTTTATATTTTGTTTCAACGGTTTGGGTAATATCATTTTTAGACAATGCAGAATCCCGGTCCTATTGGATCCAGGTGCTATTCTTCCCTTCTCTTCCAACGTGTTAAATTTAAAATTGGTGTACCGCGCACTATAAGCTAGTGGGGCCTTACGACAAACGAATTAGCCAAAAAAAGATATTTATTCCAGCAACGGCCAAAACGTATACATATATCCAAACCTCCAGCCAATTGCGGAGGACAGAAAACTTATTAGTATATGTACTCATTTACAACCCCCATCTTCCACCACCACCACGCCCACCGAAAACAACAATGTGCCGAGACAACCCGCTCGCCGTCCGTTATCGTGGCTGCGGCCACACAATCATGCTGATCGTCGGGACCAGGCCTGATTGCGCGGGCCACTGCTATACCGACCAAGTCTTCCGCTACGTTCACCCGCTCGTCCCCAGAACCTGGGCAAACTCAAGCCGCCGTCTCTGCCCCTCCTGCCCCTCCTGCCACTCCGATACTCCTCAGCTGCCGGTGCTCCGCAGGCCCGGCCCCGAGCACAGAGTGGTCGCCACGCCGTTTGAGGAGGGGGTGTATGCGTATGATAGCTGCCTGCGGAGATGGCGGAGTGAGAGGCTTCACCATATGGCGGATCAGGAAAGGAGGGGGCGGTGGGGTCTGGAGGACGGGACCTTGGAGGAAATATTGAGGCATGTGCGGTGGATGTTGGAGGATAGGAGGAAGCATAGGGTGTATCGTGAGGAGTCTGAGGTGCTGGAAAGCTAGGTGGTGTATTGGTACAAAGACTGATTTGTCGCTCCCAATAGCCTGTAAACATTGGAGCAAGGAAATAGTTACTTGCCCGATAATCAATGGAAGAAGTAAATTCAGCCGTCAGATATCATTTCTTTCGTCTAGTGATTTGAAAATTTCTTTTCTTCGGCGGGTCTTTGCTTGCTGTTCATGTAGCTAGAGTGCTTTGTGATATATGCATATCAAAAATTCGATATCTCTCAAACCATATTAGTTAGCTGCGAGATGATTCAACTTGTTTATATATGGATTACATTTGACACGCCCTGTGAGCTGCCCTGAATTCTTTTATTTCTTTGTCTTTTAGTGAAAATCCCCAGCTGGGCACTTTTCTTCCATACGATAAGACTATTTGCTATCAAAGGGGGGCTTTCATCCCCACAACCACATATGCACGACAATCACTCAGCACAACCTTCTTCTTCCTCTTCTTCCCCGTCCAACTCACCTTTCCCCCAATCGTCGCAATAACAAACGAAAGATGAATCCCCTCAGATCAAACAAAAGAATGTCTGGGCACTTTGCACCCACCACTCCTCAGGCAGCAAAACCGCCCACTCCCTCTTCTCCTCAGATAGCGACCCCCGCTATCGACGACGACGTCGCCGCCCCGCCAGAGATCCTCTACTCTGTCATGGGTACTAGCAACCCTCCATCCCTATCCGGCTCAATTGCACCTGACGCCCCCGAGACTCGCAAGGAGGAGCACGACCGCAACATCAGGAGTATCAACGATGAGATATTAGCCCTCCAGCAAAGCGTTGACCACAAGCTGGAGCTGATCCGCCACCTCATCGCCTCCCGCGAAGTTGCCATCGCGCACGAAGTCGAGCTCAGCCGTATCGACCAGGACTACGCGGACGAGGAGGGAAGGAAGAAGGTCCTTCAGCGTGTTGAATCGTTTACCGGGGGTAATAAGAGCAAGGAGAAGGAGGAAAAGAGCATGGATGCGGGGTCTGGAAAGCAGAAGAAAAAGTTGATCAGCTACGCAAAGAGGGGCACTGTCAAGAGGGGCCCGGTCGTGAAGGAGGGCCAGCCGACCGCTGTAAGTTTGCACTAGGAATGACATTTTTGTGTGCTTGGCGGGATTTGGTAGTTAACGACATTAGTGATAGAATCGTCGTTTGAGCGCGTTGGTTGCTGGAGGAGAATAATGGGAATATCTCTTGTATTGCTAAATTCTAGCTATCTTGAGTACTAAAATCAAGGAAGGGTGTCTTTTTAACTCACACGTGTTTATATTGGCTTAGCCTTGAACATGAGTGATGTTTCGTGTCTGGATTTAGATAGAGATGATCGAAACGATGGGGCTGGAGGTATATGTAGCATCACCAGTCTTAAAACAAGGCTCATATAGATCGAATGAAAGATGTGAAAGATCAGTCGATATAAGATCAATCGTGAAGAAGAATAATGGAATCTCAACACTACACGGATGTATGCCCTCCTATCGGAGCAGAACAGGAACAGGTGTTCAAATTATGTAATCGACTAGCTTAGAAGTAGAAGAATAATAGCTTTGGGTATAAATATCCTTACTTACGCATCTGGCGGGAAGCTGTAGTACGCTCTTTGGTATTGTTTGGCCAAGACAGAAATCCTTCCAATATACCTACACGCATGTACGTACGCATACAATCAAGAAAGCCACATAATAAATCCCGAGTATGTAGTGCTTCTTAAGAAGCAACTAACGCCTTCTTTCTCCTTGCTTCCTCTCCTCCCAAAATTCATCAATCTTCATATCATGCACTCACACCTCCGGATCCTAAATATCCGTTGGATGAACTATATTCAACATCTTCGGAAAAGATCCATATCTCGAGTAATAAGTTTTGGGCACTCATGATGTTCCAGATATCAACCCCTGCGGGTTCAAAACTGCATGTATACGTATCCTCTCAACCGGTAAGCAAGACCCCGCACATGTACTTACTTACAGCTGTTTTCATAATATTAGGCCCAGCTGAATAACATATCACATAGAACGACTCTTGCAAAGCTAAGCAAGGCTACTCCATTACGCAACTCGAGATACCCGTTGAGGTATCTTAATTTCAACTTTCGGCAGGATCGCCTAATGAAGCTATGGGAATTACCTAGAGAGGTAATAGCCTGAAGATTCGCACTATATGTTACGACGCTCGCCTGGGCCTAATATTATGCAAACAGCTGTAATACATGTACTCGCTCCTTGCTATCCCCCTTTCTTTTAACTTATACAGGCCTCGCCACACACAGCTCCACAGGTACTATACCAGCATTGAATAATTGGTCCTGCCTATCGCCCGGTAGCTAGCTGATCGATACGTGAACTGATGTGAAGCTACATGTAGTTGGTACCCTCTACTTTCAACGAAAAATCGAAGCCGTGTGTCTTATGAAGGCCGGAGCTAAGTGAAGTATTGATTGTTCTAACTTGATAAAGAACCCTGAGATTTATTAGATTTAATTACTGGTGAGTAATGATGTGAACTGCAAATGAGTGTTGCCTCGGATAAACTCGTCCAGTATCCCTCCACTTGACCTCCGCGGCGGTTCCCTTTAGAGTAGACTCAAAGTTCAGATCTATTACCTCGATTTAAATTAGTTACTGTTACACAGTGACGGAGTCTCTGCAGACTGGCGCATATAGTACGTGTACCTGCCTTCGGACGTTGAGGCTCATCGTGACTGGTCAGCGAACCAAAGAGGACCGCTAGCTACATTACAATAATGGCGCTACTATTGCTACTATTAGAACAGTCCAATGAAACCAAAGAGCGTTTTTGTACAACCTAGACTGCATATAATCAAGCTACGTCGACCCTGACCCTGACACAACAGGTGCAGACGCCATAATGCAGGCCAGAAATCTCAAACAACTATCCCTTGCATCACGTGGAATAATTTCAAGAACACGCGACGTGAATCTCCTTGAGTCTCCTTGTCCCACATTCACAATGCAAACAATGTCACGCGTATACTCCTCCATTATCTCAGGATATAATCTGGAATATGTGTTGAATATCAAGGTCAGTCACACTGGGTGTATAATCTACGACGACTCCACGATATTTGTTATGTTCATTATCATCAATTAGCATTACCTTTAGCTCATTACATACATACTCATACACACTATTCATATATATATCTGTAACAAAGGAAACATTCGGTACAGCTGTCACCGCAATAAACAATCGCTATGCGGCCATTAAAACCTCCTTCCAAACTATGGAATGTCAAAATACGAACGCCAGCCAACAAACGAAAAACCAGATCAGAACCAAATCCAAAACTCCAACCCGAAAATGGACCCCAATTAATTAAAAGCCACTGGCGGAGGATACGCTACACACCAGACGCGTTAGCCACACCCTTATCTCGACCAAGATGTCGATTACTCACCGATCCCACTCTCCACATCCTCCCTTAACCCAAAGTCGAACGGCGCATCCACTAACTGCACCTCTCTTGATTGCACCTCTCTTGGTTGCACCTCTCTGTGTTGCACCTCTCTCTGCTGCACCTCTCTCTGCTGCACCTCTCTCTGCCGCACCTCTGGTAGCTCCTCTTGTACAGGATTTGGCGGCGTCCTCCTCATCTTTGCCAAGATCCACTTCATAAACTGCCCCACCGGCGGCTTTGGGTAAACCTTTAACACTGCGGCGACTGCCGCGAGAAGAAACGATAGTACTAAGCTCCCGCATAGGAATGAGATGACAATTGTTTCGGCGTTTGGAGGTTGTTTTTGAGGCTGCGTCGTCGGAGGCATCGGTGGTGCATTTTAGTACAGCGCAACTTCTTCTTATGCACGGGAATTGAGGAGGTAGATATAAAATGGAATTAAGTTGAGGTCCGCGGCTAACCTAAGCTAACCTAACCACCGACGCCGTTCGTTCGATGATGATGAAGACGAAGAACAATAAACTTGAACTTGGCCACAAGGGAGAGTTGTTGTCGTGGGGTTTTTAATCTGGGCGTGGAATGAGGTACATGAGGGGGAAAGCTAAGGGGGAAAAAGCAAGTTCCAAGACATAGCTCTTCTCCAAGGGGCAAGGATTTGAGACATATACCACGCGCGCGCTGAAGGGGACCGAGACCATGACCCAGATATCCGGACTTAAGGTTCCCGCGCTAAAGGGGGATCAGTGTGTAGATCTAGATGTTGGTACCTTTTTCCAGTTTATGCTCCGGTGGGGTGTGTGCGGGCACTGAATGCTAGAGGGTCGAGTGATGGTGGGTGAAAATGTAACTCGTTGTAATAAGGTAAGAATCACTGATACCATGGTTGTATTCGTTTCAATTCTTCAATTCTGACGTACAGGATATATCGATAGACTCTGCATGAAATCCATAGTCCTACGAGTTTCATACCCTGTCCCAAAACCACTGAATTACTGTCTAGTACTACATTTATACAATAGGAGATAATTTTTGGTCCAACGCTTCACCCATGCCCTACCCCGCCTACAAGTACATACAATAGCGCCGCCACATATATATAGCAGAAAAAAAAACCCATAAACACAAAAAACAAAAAGAAACCGCAAATGATAGGTATATATCAAAAGTCCATCCCAGAAGAAAACAAGGCAACTGACTCAGATCTATCTGGTCGCCGAAATAGTTGTCGTATGACTCCCCTTATGGCCTCCGCCCATCCTACTCGGCCCTCCCCCCCTGCCAAGCTCCACATCCACCTCTCCCTTCTCAATCGAGAAAGAGAACCTCTGCTCAATCTCCAACACGCCCTCTTCAACACCTTTATTGATCCTCTCCTCGCTCCCCGCAAAGCTCGTGGTATCCCTCGTATTACCAGGCTTCTTTCTCGACAACATACTCAGCGGCTCGCCGTCCGAGTGGGCGTACTTCTGGCCGCTACTACGGTCCGCAAATTTGCCGAGATTGAAGAGGCGCCGGAAGAGCGGCCAAAGCATCGGTAGGTTGGATACGTAGATCGCAGTTGACGACTCACGAATGTACCACAGCATGTAGATTGTCGTGAAGGGATTCGAGAAGTTGTAATATTTATTTAGACATGCTGCAAGGATCTGTAGTGATCTACCGTCAGGATACCGTGCGGGCCGGAAGGGGGGGTGGGGGCCGAGGTCGGGAGGACTTACGACAAAGACACCGCAGGAGAAGATGCCGACGAGGATTATCTTCCTGCTCGTTGCAATGATTCGTTAGTTGGGGGTCCGAGAGAAAAGGGGGTATAGGGGGCCGGGGCACTTTTTGAGTTCGACTTTGGCCTTCAAGAGAAGGGGAATGCCGACGGCGAGCATCATAAGATCGGAGGTGATGTTGAAGGTTGCTTGCGTGATTGAGTAGTGTTGGTATGTTGCGCATTGCTCTATGTTTAGAGTCCGGGTCCGTGGTTAGCATGTTTTTTAATTTCCGCTGGGGGCCAATGATGGTTAGGAGATAACCGAACGAATGGGAGGAAAGTTTGGCCGAATCAACAAGCTCAAAGGACCACCAAACAACAGCCAAGAAAAGGTACTCAAGTACAAGGCGGAAAAAAACAAATAAACTTACCCATCGGCACCGGCAACATCCAGTACCCCTTAAAAGGCCTACAACTCAAAAACCACGCGAGCTCGACAGCCACGAATCCTATCACAATATACGCTGCGATCGCCTTGATCACAATCTGCATATTGAGCCTGCTCGTAAGTCGATGATACATCAGTATCATACACCCCTTGATCCCCCAAGTCACAATCAACATCGCTTGCTCGAGCAGAATCACAATCTTGCTTCCGTATATTCGCAGCTCGATGTCATCCGGTGTCAGGGTTTCGAGCTCTCCCGGGAGAAGCAAGTTGGTGGCGGTGCGGCCAGAGATATTGATACCAATCATGAGGATCGTATACATGAACTGGACGGAACGGAGAAGAGAGATGTTAGTGGCCTTTGCACTCATATTTTTAGAAAGGATAGTGCAAAATGAAAAACAAGGGAGGGAGAAAAACATACACCATTGAAAACCATCAACCAGTCCTCTGGCTGCAACTCACGGAAGGCCCCAAGCACGAGTCGGCGGGAATATCTATTCTGGTTTATGAGCAACGTACTAGGGCGAAGATAATAATAAAAACCACAATGTTGGATGGAGAATACAAACATTCGGCCGGCAATGAGCAGTATCCCAATGGAGTAGAATATCCACGATTCGACCGTGAGCTGCTGGGGCGTGGGGGATTGGAGCGCCATTGGTGCTGCTGCTGCTGAATATTGGTTTGCTCTATTATTTGATCAATTCATAAGTCAGTACCACATATCAAGACAACGTTGTTTGCAGACATATATGTTCTGCACATATGATATGTGTGCAGATCAATCGCGGAAGTATACATGTATATATGCTCACCTTCAACTTCACAACCACAGACCAGACACACCAACCACCATCCGACCAGGGAGCGGGAGACAGGTACACTTTATTCAATAACCCCCCAACCTAATTAATATCACGCTCATCCTACTCTCTGGGCTGGCTAGGTGCGGCAGTTCCCCCCCCCACTAATGACCAGGGCAGGGCAAAGCAACACCAAGGCTTTCGTTCTCGTCTCGCACTTCACCCCGCTCTGATTCCCAAAGGGAAGGCAAGCAGGCCTTGGGCCATTAGGGCCAAACAGCGTTATCCCTACCTTGGAGCATCATCTCATGCCCACAGGCAAAAAATGGAAACTGATCTGATGAGTAGCGAGACCAAGAGGCCACTAGAGTAACTATTTTGTTCTAGCTAGCTGCGGAGGATATCTTGAATAGAGTGTGTAGAGTATGGAAAGTGGTTTGAGCTTCCGGAAAATAATGGGCAGCCTGGCCCCAGGGTCTGTGGTAGAGCTCTCGGCTCTGGTAGACACGGTACCGGGGATTTTTTTTCTTCGCCTTGGATATCATTTCTTTTTTTCTCTTTCTTTCTTTTTCTTTTCTTTCCTGCTTCTGGGTGGCCCTGCGTCACTGGGTCGAAGATTTTCTTCTTTCCTACTTTCTACTCCATTGAAAATGCTTTTTCCCTTTTCCCTTTTCCTTTTCCTTCTTGCCGGTCCGGGGTTGCACTGGCTCCTTACGGATCCCAATCCCAATCCCGATCCATATTACATGGTATTAACCCCCGCCTCGCCCATGGCAACCAACCAACCAACCAAGCAACCCGAAATCCCGGGTCCAGATTATCGCTGGCCCCGGGAAGTGTGCGTAAATCATCGCAAGGGAGATACGTAATAAACTCGCGTGGGATGAAGAGATGCGCACTCTACTCTCTTTGGCACGCATGCCAGTCGGCGTGGGGACCGAGGCGGGGTGGTGATGGTGATGTTGATTAATCAACTCAACTGCTGCATGTGCGATACTTTTACCACAGAACTGGACCTATTGGATGGGATGAATTATGGGATGGGATGGCAAGAGGTTCATCTGATTAATTCTGACGGTGGCTTTTCGGACGCGTCATTTACGAGAAGAGGACTTCAAATTACGGGTTTCGCACAGAGTGCAGTGGAATATGTAGTCAACTCGGTTCGATTGGGCTGTCGTTCGTTAAAAGTTTACCTGTTCGACAAGTAGGTAAGTTTCTTTTCACCCTCTCCCTGAAGAAGATCTAAATACCCATATCCCATGTAGGGGGACCACGATGTTCCTTTTTTCCACCCAGCTGCTGTTGCTCTAGAGTAGGTACCGGACGGGTAGGAGTTCGCCTATGTACCGAGTCTACTCTAGCTGTGGGAATTAGTAGCTAGCGCGGCAAGGGCACACACTGCTACTCACCCACTACTAACTTGAAACTAACGAATTGAACCGCACTTCGCTACTTGTGGTTGGTTGTAACGATTCTTTTTCTACAATTGGACGGCCACTAAGCTAACAGGTACATATTTTAGTCTGCGATGGATATGGATATGGAATCTACAATTCGCATTCGTACTCTAACCACCCCCGATCCCCAATCTGGGATGTAAATAAACTCGGCTCATGCTCATCGATCGTGAACCTGGTATACTCCACTCTCTCTATGTACTCTACATATGCACATCTTACAGTCGAGTAGAGGTAGGCATACCAGGTCTCCCCTTCTTCACATCCTGGCCCTGGTCTGGACTCTGCAGTGCAGTGCATGACATCCACCTTCTGTATTGTACCTGCTGAGGGCCCGCCGCCGCCGTACTCTGCCTACTTTACTGCACTCTGCCCACCTTATTTACATGCAGATGGAAGGGATGGAGGAGAGGAGAGGGGGCAGTTACATAACAGTAACAGTTCTCTAACATACCATCCCGTACTTTTGCGAAAGGAAAAATACTTGTTTCTTTTGACGACTAACGGTGGCGCTGGGCATCTCCGTCTACTCTGCACACGGGGGGTGGTTAGTATTAGTTGAATGGCAAATTCAGTTAGCTGATAATATAATAACGGCTATCATATTATATCGTGCCTCCCGCACTCTACCCTCCCGCCCACAGACAGATATGTGGTTCGTTAGTTAGGTAGTTAATAGGCAGGTAAGTGGAGAGGTAGTTAGGCAGACATGTAGGCAGGAAAGTAGGTATTCTCACCGCCCAATTCTTCACTGCCATAAAACCCTCCCACCACCTGCATCCCTCTTCTAGCATCCCCAAACCCTCCTCCCTACCTACCACTTATCTCCTCCCTACCTCTGCCACCTTCTCCCTACAACCTTCTCCCTACAATTCCCACACTACAGTACTGGGAATACAAAACATGCCGATAGAAGAAAAACCCACCCCCGCATCCACTGTGATGTCGGTGGAGGACCGCGATGCGCTCAAGCTCGAGACAGCGCTGGGCCACAAGCAGCAGATGCAGCGCAACTTTGGGCTGCTGTCGCTGACGAGTTTGGGGATCGTTGTTGCGAAGTGAGTTTTTTCTGTCTACCCTAGTTATAATTGTGAGGATTATGGGGATTTTGGTTGTGGGGTGTGAGGAATTGGTTGCTGATATAGGCGGCGAATTATAGTGCATGGAGCTTAACAGGCGGCACCATCGTCATCGCAATCTTCAACGGCGGCCCCATGGCCGTCCTGTACGGGCTGTAAGTCGCCGCACCTCCACCTCACCGCACACCCCCAGCTAACCCCCCCCCTCCCCCCCCGCCCCCAGAATCCTAGTAACCTTCTTCTACACACTCATCTCCCTCTCCCTCTCGGAACTAATCTCCTCCATCCCCTCCTCCGGCGGCGTCTACCACATCGCCACCATCACCGGTGGCCCGCGCTACGGCCGCATCCTTGGCTTCTACACCGGCCTACTAAACATCAGCGGGTGGCTGCTCTCGGCGGCGTCCATCTCCTCCACGCTCGGCAACGAGCTCGTGGCACTCTGGAACCTCACACACCCCGCCGCGGAGTGGAAGGCGTGGCACGTGTTTATAGCCTTCCAGCTAGTAAATTGGAGCTGCTGTGCCATCGTCATAACTTGTCATAAGAGGCTGCCGGCGATTAATACGGCGGCCCTTTGGCTGAGTATGGGCGGCCTGGTGGTGACGGTGTTGACGCTGGTGATCATGCCGAGAGGCAGATATGCGAGTAGTGACAGCGTGTGGAGGACCTATGAGGACCGCACTGGCTGGAATAACGACGGAATCTGCTTCATTCTCGGCCTTATCAATGCTGCCTTTGCAGTCGGGACCCCGGACTCTCTCTCGCATCTCTCTGAAGAGATCCCAAACCCGGAGCGCCTCGTGCCCCGCGGTATCTTACTGCAGCTGGCAACCTCGTTCACCACAGCTTTCATATACCTCGTGGCGCTGTTCTACAGCATCAACGACCTGGAGGCCGTCCTGGGGTCCACCAGCCGTTTCCCGACGGCGGAGATCTACAGACAGGCAACAGGAAGTACCTCCGGCGCGGTGGGCCTGACGGTGGTACTATTTCTCGCTACCTTTCCTACGCTTATTGGAACGCTGATTACGGGCGGGCGTACCCTCTGGTCCCTCGCGCGCGACGGCGCCGTGCCCGGCGGCTCCTTCTTCGCCGCCGTCAGCCCCCGCTTCGGCGGGCCTGTCCGCGCCACAATCGCTGTGAGCGCATGCGCCAGCGTGTTGAGCATCGTCTACATCTTCAGCACCACCGCCTTCAGCGCGCTGATCACGAGCTACATAGTACTCTCCTCACTTAGCTACGCCGGCGCGATCGGTGGTCACGTCGCCACAGGTCGGAAGGCGGTGGTGCCGGGGCCGTTTTGGCTCGGCAGGTGGGGGTGGGCGGTGAACTTGGGGAGTCTGGCGTGGATTAGCGTTATGGTTGTGTTTTTCTGCTGGCCGTTTGTGAAGCCGGTGACGAAGGCGAATATGAATTGGACGAGTGTTATTGTGACCGGATTGGCCGTGGCGATAACCGGCTGGTGGTTGTGGGGCGCGAGGGGCGTGTATAAGGGGCCCAGGTACTTTAGGGAGGCGGCGGAGAAGTTGAACGATGGGACGGAGGAATGATCGTTTGGTCGGTTTTTTGGGTGGTAGGGGGCCCGGGTGGCTTTGTTTTAATCTTTAACAGTAGTGGATACCTGCCTGTTTTTTATAGGTGATACATAGGTGTATTTTGTAATTTTAGTCTCTAAAGCTTTGAGCGCCGGTAATAAAATAAAGAAATAAGAAACAATCATTCCGGTCCGCGCAATCTGGGTATTCCTGTCAGTGCAATCATTTCCAGCAGTAACAGCAACAACTGCCCACCCCACCAAACTACCAACAAACCCCACAAACGGTATTAACTTATCTGGCGCACAATCTGATGCTTAGTATTTAGAAGCCGTACTTGTCGCGGATTTCAAGAAATAATTTGCTTGTCGTTGTGTGGGCAGGTTGGCAAATTGGTTTTACGGCAAGACATAACAGCGACGTGGTTGTAATCATGTAAACATATGTGCTACTCTGGAAGCCCGATAAGTTACCCATGTACCCTAAGTTCTCTACCGGGGTAGTATTTTTCACCACGTTAAAATGGTGCCTTGTATTTGTTTTCAGAGGTGATATTTGTGTAGCAAAGCAACGAACCGAGAGCGTAGAGAATGTGATGAGTAGGAACGAAGGGGAGAGAGCGAAAGCTCTCGCTTTATAGTTACAGTTTAGAGGCCAGACTACCTCTAATACAAGCGTACAGATAGTATGGAAAACTACATAAAGAAATGTATTGTTAACAGCATCGGCCACCGCTGCACACTGACCACAATCAACAGTATTATGAGGGATGCTTTTATGGCAACCACCTTCATGATCTCTATCCCTTACAGGAGTATGGTTCAAAGACCAAGAACATCAAAACAACGCTTACGAGCTTATCAACTTTGCCGATTTATTCGTGCAGGGGAAAAAAGCTGCATATACCCATCCGAATTTGTCTAATATCCAGTGGGGAATCTTGGCTTAGAACACATATAGGGTAGAAGTTCAATTACCAAGGGGAACAAGAAAATATTAATTTAATAGCGGCCGGAGACTACCAGATCAGCGCCGGACGAACCGATTATTCAAAAACACTAGACCCAACTCCGCCAAACACCGCCCGGCGCACCAGCTGCTTTTCCTCCCCGCTGCTTGCGCGCCCCAACCGCCATCGCGCTCCACACCTCCTCGAACCTCGCCGTCGCCCCAAAAATGCCGCCCTCCGTCCTAACCATCTCCACCGCCGCCTGATGCAACTCCGGCACACTCGCACCACACGCATCCTCAACCAACACACACTCAAAGCCGCGGTCCGCCGCCTCCCTCATCGTCGAATGCACACACACATCCGTCGTCACCCCGACGATCACCAAGTTCCGCACGCCGGCCACCTTCAGTAGCAGCTCAAAGTCTGTATACGTGAACGCGCTCTTTCCCGGCTTATCCACCACTGGCTCCCCAAAGCGCGGCTGAAGCTCGTCGATGATGGCGTGGCCCTCCTCGCCGCGGATGAGCAGGCGCCCCATGGGGCCGATGTCGCCGATGCCGAGCTGGCTGGGGTTGTTGCGGCTGCGGGCGAGCTCGCGCGCGGGGAGGTCAGAGAGGTCCGGGCGATGACCTTCGCGCGTGTGGAAGATGTGGTAGGAGTAGTCGCGGGCGAGGCCAAGTAGGGCGGCGATCTTGGGGATGATGGTGGTGGTGGGGGCGAGCGAGTAGCCTTGGGAGGAGAGGTAGCCGCCGGGGGTGCAGACTAGGGGTGGGGGAGGTTAGTGGGGTCTTGGCGGGCGGGGGGGCGGGGGGCGGGGGGACGGACAGTCTTTTTGCATATCGATTATGACGAGGGCGGTGGTGAGTGGGGAGAGGGAGCTGTCGTGCGGCCAGGCGTAGGGCTGCGCGGTGGTGATTTGTGCCATTGTCTTTGATCTCGTTATGTGGTGAATACTGTGTTTTCAGACGACTTTCTGAGATCTTACGCCGGAGTGTGTCTATGGTTTTGAAGTCTTCTACTGCGAAAACATTGTACTCCTGCGCTAGGAGGGGGAAAAAGATCCATTCCTGATCATCAACCCCGTCCCTACATCCCGATTTGCATCTGATCCAGGCTACGAATTGCATATGCATGTATGCGGGGCATCCTGTACTCGGGGCAGGTAAAAAGTACCGGACAATGCAGGTTTTTGGTTCACCAATGGGTGTGCGTGGTAGGCGTGAGCTACTGCAAAAAACCCCAGAGACAAAACTTGCATTGTCCGGTACTTTTTACCTGCCCCGAGTAGTCTCGCGGGCTCTTTTTGTTCCGAGAATGTTCTTTCCGGCTGAATTGCGAATTCTGAACTGTTCCAAATAGGTAAAAGAATCCTCCGATAAGATTCAGAGTAGAACGCCTCCAGGTTTGGATTCGATATTCCCTCAGCGCTAGAACGGGAAAAGAAGGCAGGGAATAATAATGCTTGTCATCACTCCCCAGTCTTGATACCGGGCTTGGTACAATTTTCTCCGTCTGGCGCACAGATGTTGCGGTGTTGAGGTTTCGCTTTGATGGTTAGCTCGGAGGCAGGCAACATCATATGTGTGGTTAGGGGTCGATAATTAGTAAAGGTGGTTGGCTGTAGTGGCGCCTCAGACTAACCTGCTCTAACAATTGCTGATTAGTAGGCGCTTTTTGGTTGCTAGTAGAGACTAGTGGTGGAAATGATTCGTCGTCACCTATCCAAAACTCCAGATGCAGGTGCAAGATCAAGCTAAGAGACACAAAGGAGTTATTCGCTAATCTAAGGTAGGTACGATACTCTATATAAAGATATAATACTTATCGTGAAGAAACTTGCGAATCTAGATCAGACTAAGAATTCAACCAGCAATTCAGCCGAAACGTACCTCGAAACTCTGCACGCATGCAGGTACCGGTAGAGTATCTTACTGCCTGCAGACTCTAGAAACCCCTTTTTCCGCGGGGAACATAACGAAAAGGTATAGCTACTCTCGAGAGAGTGAAAAACTAGCTGTTGGGTTTCAACTCGAATTTCAAATTGCTTGCAAAGACGTGTGGCTGTCTCTCTTCACGATGGTTACAGGGGTGTTGAACCTCGGCGCATAGAACATCCCACGATGGTTATGTAAGGACATATCTGCACTCCGCTCTAACTACATTTCCCCCCACTTTTAGGGGAAACGTATTGATCTGAGGTATTTTCTCGCAGAGATAAGATTATCTAAAGACCAGCCCTCCAGCCGCCAGATCTAAGCTAATTCTAAGTGGCATAGTAGGAATTCATATATCTGAGGTTATTTATGCGGTCCTGATTGAATTATATTTTTATGCCTCTGCCGTGTTCTCGGGTTCGAGCCTGTGCGACCAGGAACCGAGCTGGCGGTATATGCGGGTGTGAGGGTATATTTGTTTTCTGATATCTCTACACTAAGCATAGAGCCGCAACTTGATAGGACGGATGTCAGAAACTTAGCCAAACAACTTGCCGGTACTATTATTGCTGACGTATCGATATATGCGCCAGCGAGTCCATATGATTTATTTTTTCTTCGGTTCATGGGACAAGTGCTGGTCCAAAGTGCAGAGTAAAGTTTTGTCGCAAGTGGCCAAATGTATCACTTGAGACTCGTGTTGAACAGGTTTGGAGTCTGTATCAATCCCAATCCCATGATTCACCACCTGCGCAGCATGTTGCGCATTTGTCACTCCATGGGGCGCGGGGGGCGACATATTCGTCATATGTAAGAAGAGAATTTGAGCACATACACGCAGAACCTGCACTTGAATCTCGATGAGGCAATCCGTACGCCTATTGCGCGAGCGTGATTGGTTTTCTCCATGATGAGAATTTTCGGTTTCCTTTCTTTTGAGCGCATGCCGGGGAAGGCCGAAGGAAAAGAAAAAGAATCTGTACCTGCGCTGATGGATGCAGGGATAATGTCTCAGTCGCGGGCGAGTCTTTCAGCTGAGATGTTTTGATGCCTGCATGTAGTTGACTTGAGGGAAGAGGTTCTGGGCTCCGGCCGCGACGGGACTAATCATTCGGCTACAGGACCTGTACCGCGCCGTACCGTCCTTCCCGGAGCAGCTGCAGTAAGCGATGGATGACGGCCCGCCGCCGAGAATTCTTTTGCGATGTCTGAAATTAATACAATCTATTAAGTATCGACGGCCGGAATAATAAAAGATATCGCCGCCACTGTCACTGGCGATGGAAGTATCCAACTGTAACCCCCACAGGCATGTAGAGGAATGTGGAAATGAACAATCCAGGGTGATGATATGAGCTCGTAGGCAGCACAGCCAATGAATGGGTTGAGGTAGAGCAGGTCGTCAAGTGCTGTAGGCGAGCCAATTGAGTAACCTTCCAATAACCTTCCACGCCGGTAAGGGGTATAGCCATGCACGTGTGCATAAAACAAACAACCGAGTGATATATCATGTTCCGATGACCGGAAGGGCCTCCGCTCATGCTCAGCGGCCCAAGATCCGTCAAGTTTAAACGGTGATTTGGAAGGCCTTGAGCTCAAGCTCAACGTGAACAGGAGGTAAGTTGCACTCTTGACGGGGGCCCGGAAAGGTACAGACTGGTGGTAGTGGGGGGGATCGCTGGCCGGAGCCGTACTCTCCCGTTAGCAACACCATAGGTCGTTTCTACCCACCTTCCATTCCATCACTTACCTTTCAAGCCACAATCCACTTCAATCTACACTGCTCGCTACTGGTGAGGGCATCTCGTTTTGCCGCAGTCGAGTAAAGGTAACTGGGTCGATGTAATGGGAAACGGAAATCGGGTGTGTGTGGTAATCCCATAACTACATGTACGACTCGAACCCAGGTCAGAGATTACTAGGCAGAGATACCAGGTAAGGTACGTGATACGTGGTAAGAGAACACTTTAGTATAATGGTAATTAGAGAAGACGGTGTAGTTAATTCGAGGCGAGGACACTACCCTCTCTTCCCGAATCATCACTTCATAATGGTTGGTTGCATCGCTCAACCACGTCTGAAAAACCGAGGTTCGGGGATAGGATTCGCCAGCTGGGATATGCATAAATCTATCAAGCTACAGTTATCTAACTTGTTCCCAGGCTTTGATGCTGCAACAAATTTGGGTGCTACTCTTACAACACAGGGTGTAAGAGGTTAATGTCAAGACAGTGCACGTGTACTAGTAAAACTCTGTTTCCATAAATTTACATCACAGCAAACAATGACTCCATTATAACCCCCCAAACACGTTCATTTCAAACACTTGAATCTAACTAACCCTAACTAATAACATTCCGCTCGACTCGGTAGTAGGTGCTGTACTCTTGGGTCTATTTACTGCTTGGCTCGTATTCAGATTAATTCTGACGGTTGGGACAGTGCGCCCCCCGGGGGGGGGGGGGGGGGGTGCAGTTGGTTGAACTAGGCCAGCTTTCTTGAATATTAGGATTAGGGACAGGATTACGGATTCGATCAATTAATATCAGCAAAGATGTTTTTATTCGCCTTTCTCCTCCTCATAACAAATAGACTCCTTCGGTTAAGTGGAGTTTTCCATATATAGTAACTGTGCCCAAATGCTTAGGTTTCAAAAGGCCACGGCCTTTTGCTACTATTAATATCTGGTAGACATAATATTCTAAGGGTAAGGGCGAAGTATACTGGTATTCAAAAGGTTCGCTCGCTCCCAAACCCTATCTGCCCATCTACTCTAACGTGCTGTGCGTGCGGGCACGTGTGCGGCCTCGCTCGGCCATCAGATGCAGACGACGTCAAGAGTCAAAGGTGATCCAAACCCCCCTCTCTTCCTCTCCGACACTCTAGCTTGTCTAACACCCGCATCCAAGATCCAGACCTCGCCAAAACCTTCACGCGGAGATGAGGCCCCCGCGCCCCGTGCCAGCTAGATCTGTCTCAGACACGGCTTCACCTACGTGGCTTAGGGGGCGAGACCCGCGTCGGACAGCGGTTCGGAGATATGTTGTCACTGCTTTGGCCACTTCCGCGCACTAGTGTCAGGTGGTCCGAGTGATGATACATGACGTCACGCGCGCACGCATCTACACATAAACCGCCCTCAATGTACTTCACCTCCTTCGCGAGACAAGCAACCATGCATATGCCCTACAAAGTCTTACAACGAGCGGAATGGGAGAAACCTATAATCCCTCTGGTACTCCCTAAACTACCGGACGGGTGGACATATGCACTCGGTACAGTACTCTCTTGTACTTGGCCCCGGGATTCGCTAATAGGGCCTGATGTTAGTACCGGTAGATCTAGAAGACACCTTCCAGCAACTATTCTGGTGCTATACTTGTGTTTACGGGTATAAGGGTCAAGGCGGCAGTAAGCTAATTACCCAGGAAGAGTTCGAAAAACGGACTCGGAAGGTTAAAATCGCGATGTTTGAAGAAACTGAAAGGCATTCAAGAGAGCGGATGAAGAAACAGCTGAAGCTGGAGGGAGGTGCATCGAAAAAAGGCGTTTCAAAAAAAGTAGTCCGGAAGGCGGGGGCATCGAAGAGAGGAGAGCCCAAGGACGGGGAACTGAAGGAAGGGGCGCCCGAAGACGGGGCCGAGAAGGGAGGGGCGAGTGAGAAGATTGAATCAAAGGAATTGGGCCGTCTCTTCTGCCGGATACAATGAAAGTCCAGTCAGCATAGTAGGGGCTTGTAGATATAGTGATTTGATGAACGGGTTTGCATAGAACGCCGCCCGATTTACATGCGGTGAGAATAACACAATATAAAGTTGGTTATTTCCACACAAAGTGTTTTTTTGACATTGCTACCGACATCATCGGCAAGCAGCCTTGATAGTAGGGGAAGGATTAATTTTGAAATATCCGATATAGCGCAAAGTATTGTCTGAAGTTGAATGGTAATGGCTGTGATAACTGAGGCGCGGTCTGCTAGCACTATGAGCTGTGCATCGTTCTTCCGAGTGTAAAGTGTATTTGAACCTGTACCGGCGATATAAACAAAAATGAACTGAATGATGGATGAAGAAAGTACTCCTGAAATCACATGTATCTGTAGCTATAGGGTGATGACCGAAGAAGACAGATAAAACACATTTGGGGACAGGCGTCTGCTTACCCCATCGAAAACGCAAGACTGGGCGGCCATACCAAAGGTGACAAGTACGCAAGATGGTGTAGCAGAAACCCGAACCACAATGGCCACACTTTCATCATAAGAAATTCCCATCGAAAAAGAATATCACCCCATTCTTCACCAAAAACCAGGAACTCAGCAGCCGCAAGCAATGACAGATGCTAGCAATTGTAATGTACGTTCAGCCCAACTTGGGACACAAGGCCAAACCTGTTAATATTAATGGAATAAACCCCGCCTGCACAAGCACAGAAGAAACTCCTTGCTGACAATAGATTCACCCATCCCACACCCCCGGCCGTGGAAGGAACAATGGCGGAATTGCCGACAGGCGTGGTTGGAGACTAAGTTCTTTCTAGATCTACCAGCCGTAGAGGAAGTGCCATTCAACGACCTTAGGACGAGAGCTACATGGAGATAGAAAGTTACAATTCATCTCCATCCTACATGCAGAATTAATTGTATAAGCACAACCGAAGGAAGCTCGCATGAAGGATACAATTTTCTCCTGTTCAGAAGTGCGTGATTGAGACAATTGAGCAGTGCTATTGATAATGTCATAATTTAGTGATGCACAATAGCCGCGAAGCTAAAGCGCACCGGGTTGCCACCGCTGAATGGACTCAACCTACCACTTCTTCCAAACACCACGTACACAGTGTAGAAAACGAGTGATACCCCATGTCGCGACTCACACCACCAACCACATCCCACCATAGCATAGCTTGGTATTATCCTGCCACCAGATGAAACAGAATAAGCTCCTCCAAAGATTAAAAATACCGAAACCGAAGCCGAAGATGGCATTTTGAACCCCTAACCCTGAGCTGAGACGGACAAAGAAGTGCCTTGAGACGCATATCTGAAAGGGTCTCTATTGCGCTACAATAAATTACGGGAGTGTGCGGCTACAAGAAAAAAGAAGCGTGTGCTATGTTGCAAAGTGTCTTGAGCGGTTGTGAGCAATATTGAATTTATGAGCTGTGTGCCAAAACCTTTGAGGCGCGCGATATATCGGCTTGCGTGCGCATGTTACTTGATCTGCAGGCCGTTTGTGGGGCACACGACAAGAGGGTGAATACTGCCGCTGAGGGATAGACAAGAGCTAGGAGAGTTTCTACAACAGGACTGCGCGGGAGTGCAGGGTCGGTGTACATACACAATGGCCCAGACACTGCTGGGGGTTCTTCAGCACAGTGGGCTTTGAGGGGTGTTAAATACCTGCCACGCGCCCATAGTCACTGAAAATCAGAAACTACCATCTTCACAATACCACCTCTATAGCCACGGAATACCAGACACCACCAACTCACAATACCACGATCTCCACGCTCTCAAACCCACTACCAAACTAGAACCCACTTTACCAGAACTCTATACTCCAAGCCATCAGCAATAACCACAATGTCCAACCCCCTCTTCGTCAACATCCACACCCACCCCACCCCCACCTTCACCCTCCAAACCCCCACCGCCCACCTCTCCCTCCACCAAACCGTCCCAACCTCCCTCCAAGTGCACCTCACCCCCTCGCACCTCACCGTCGCGATGCACTCCACCCCCGCCGCCGCCCCCTCCCCCGGCCCCACAATCCGCAACCTCCATCCCCCGCTCCTCCTCGCACCAGACTACACATCCAGTGGCAGTATCTCTGGGGCAAGCACCCGCAGCGTGGGCGGCTTCGCGGCGCATGGAGGCAGGGTGCTGGCGGCGCATCCGGACGATATGTTTAGAGTGGGCAGGTATGAGGGGAGGGAGAATAGCTGGGAGTTGTTGGCGAAGAGGGTGAAGGGGTTGGATATGGCGAGCGGGAGTGGGAGTGGGGGCGAGAGGGAGGGGAGGAGGGGGTATGGGAGTGGGAGGAGTAGGAGGAGGTAGGGTGGGTGGTGTGGGTGTTTTCGGTGTTTTTGGGTGTTTTAAGTAGAGTGGGGAGTGGTGTGTGGGCGATTACATGTAGGCTTGAGGTAGTTTTTGAGTTGGGATGTTGTGGAGTGTTGTAGAGTGTTGTAGAGTGGTGATGGAGTGGAGGTGGGGGTGGACGTGCGAGTGGTGACGGAAAGAGAGTATTGGACAATTGTGTGGCACCTGGCTAGTTAGCGCTTGGAAAAGACCGCGTTATGAATTATGATTTTTGTAAGCCGTTATTTCTGTTTCTGTTGTTGTTGTTCGGATACCTGGAGGCAGTTTCTATGAGTTATGTAGTTCAAGTCTAAGTGTAGAAACAATGTCAACGATTTAGCAGTTGCTACAAGATTCGAGTGATAATCCATGACTACAAGATAATCATCCGAGTAACGACTAGAAAAGACTAACGTGACGCATAGAAAGATACATATATGTGGGATAAAAAAAAAAAAACCCTGTCACTCGATTCATACATACTACGATGAAAACAAAGCTTTCAGCCATTGTATTACCGGATGAACTACAAAGCCCCCCACATGAGCGCATCTCCGAAGGTAAAAATAGGTGGTGGACAATGATATTTGTATTTAATGGTATTAATTCACCAAAATATAGTATCTTCTAGTGCTTACCGTATTATCCACTCTCACTACCGTGTTCTTAGAATCGGGAACTAGAGAGTGCTGATTTTATATAGACATAAGTTGTGCCCATATTGCTTTATGTCCAAGATACCCTTATAGCATCTCAGCATTACCGCGAGGAGAGACTGATAACCCACCTATAATCCCACAATCTTTCAAACACAGTACCATTACCATCCCCGCACAAACATGCAATCCACCCCCACCCCCCGCGCACCCCCATCTTCACCGCAAGAGCTAGAGGCGGGGCCTGATAATGCTCGGCCACACACGCCCCTGGGCGGGTATTGGTGCTCGGCGGGACACATGCAGCCGGCATATCCAGACCAGCTTGCAAAGCGCCAGGAGGAGGCGAGGAAGGCTGAGGAGGTACAGCGGATGGTTGAGAAGCGACTTCAGGAGATTGCCGAGGAGAAGAAGAAGAAGAAGAAGAATGGTCGATTTGCTTCTGGGGGAGATATCGCAGCGAATGAAGGATCGCTGGCAGGGGCGGGGAGTTTCGAGGAAGCCGGTACCGGCGCCGGCGGGGAAGATTGATTGGGCACGAGTGTGGCAGACACAGGGGACGACACTGGGCTGGAGATGAGGGGTTTGGCAGCCCTTGTGTTGAGGAGGGTTTGGGGGGGAGGGGGGGTGGGTTTCGATTCGGCGCCCATTGCTGGGCTTACGCCGGAGGAGATGGAGAGGCGGGTGGATGAGGCCCGGAGCTGGTATGTAAAAGCTGACAAAGACGCAGGAAGCAATGCCGTGAAAGGGAGTGGTAGCATTCCTAATTTTCCCGCTGCTCATCTGGAAGATAAGGCCAGGGGCGGCGAGCAGAGGCAGTCTCTCGAGGCGATCATAGCGGATGTGCTGCGGAAAGCCACTACGGCCGAGTATCGACTTGAAAGGGCCAGAGAGCGAATTCAGGAGCTGGAACAAGCATTGGCAGATATGGAGAAGGAGGTGACAAAGTGCCGGGAGGAGGAGCTGGGTCTTGCTCAACGTGTCAGCGAGATAGAGTCTAGGAATCGATTGATGGGAGAGATAGTTGGTGGGCACGCGCCGAGGGGGTTTGAAAGGGAGGTTTGAGAAGGGTGCGGGAGGCTGGAGAGGGTCTGCGATCTCTGATAGGGGACTGGTCACGTCGTGAGGTTTTGGCTAGTTGTAAGTAGCGTGATGCTCGTGGGGACACAGGCTTGTGCGAGGAGCGTTCTTCAATATTTCGTTTGTCAGTTTTCACTATTTAAGATGTACAGTAGCAAAAAAGGCGGTGTAATCCGCGCCGTAGTAAAAGAGTACTGCTGTATTCTAGATATTATTGTATAGAGAGAAATCAAATATTTACTACAATACGGCGTTTTTCATGTTGAACGCCGCATTTATGCAGAATTTGTACATGTAGTAATGCTATGCCTTTCCGGGTTTCCGGAGATTTCCGGGCTGTACCTGCAACAAAATGGTACATGTGTTATTATTTTACTCGGGACAATTATCAAGACATCAACCAGTTACGTGTAATTTATCAACATCTCTGTCGTTTTTGATCACACATCATAGGGCTAAATAGAGTTGGGGAATACCTTTAAAAGATAATCTTTGTCCATTCGATATTCACTATATGATGAAATAGTTCTTCTCCTATGTGCTCAGGATGATGCTATTAATTTTGATTGATTGATTGATGATGATCACGAGAATGTGTTGGTAGTACTAGTCCGTAGTACGGTCATTTGGCCGCTCTCTGCGCCTTTAATGGGTCGTGGGGATGATGGGGACGTGGGGGGTAGGTCATGGCCTATCACTCGGGTACAGTGGTTGTGTCATGGATTATCACTCGCTTTGTGGGACTCTATGGATACATGTAAGCTTCGTTTGGTAGCCGGTGTTGGAGGAAGATGATGGGATAGAGGGATGATTGTTTGGTACGCTTGGTTAGATGTTGTGTGGGCGTGGCTTCGGTGGTTGGTGGGGTGGAGAGTTGATAGAACTTCAAGTGCTGCCTTTGGGTAACATTATGTCACGATCCAGTGGTATGAACATTGACGAAGAACTGGCAACTAAACAATTGACAATGTAGATAGTACTTTCATTGCCCCCTATTCTCTTCTTAACGGCCTATCTATCCCCCACATTAACCCTTCTTCCTAACCGGCGCCCTCCTCCTCCTCTCCAACGCCGCCAACTGCGCCTTTGACTTATGCGGCTTCTTCACCACGATAGTCCCCTCGCTCCCCGGCACCGCATCATCCACCTTCTGCTCCACCTCCGCCCGCCTCTTACAATACTTAATCCTCGGCCCCTGCCCAACCCAACTGGCGACCCCACTGCCCGGCTTCCTCCCCCTCTTTATCGGCCCCTCCATCCTCTGCAAATGCGTCGGATACCCCTCCCCCCTCTCTCCTCCCACCTCCCCGCTCTCCCCCACCCCCTCACTCGGCACCGCCCCACCCAGCGCCATCGCAACCGCATTCCGAAAGTGCGTGCGCGGCGTCGGATCAAGCGACCTATCCCAGCTGCGCCCGGACGAGTCGCCGGCACAGAAGATGCAGCCGTAACTGATGCGGCAGCCGCGGCGCCCGCATTCGCCGATGACGTGCGTGGTGGGGTGGCGCTCGAGGATGTCGGCGTCGAGGACGAGGGTTTCGGTGTCGCTTTCGTAGTCGTGTGGGGCGGCGGCGGCGGCGGTGGGGCGGGTGAGGGTGGTGAGGTGGGAGTTGATGGTGGTGCGGGCGTAGGTAGGGGTGGGGAGGGCGGGGGAGTCGGCGGTGATGTGGGTGGGGTGGAGGCGGATAAGGGAGAGCTCGTCAAGGGTGAAGTGGGGGTCGAAGACGTAGGGGTTGAGGACTACGTAATTGTTGGATGACATTGTAGGTATTTTTGTGGTGGGGGTATGGTAGCTTTGGTCGTTGTGGTGTTGGTGGTGATGGATCTTGAGAGGCTTTCAAGGCGGAGGCGAGTGGGTGATGTAGAGATTGGTAGTTGGCTGCTCAGATGGAATTGAGTGACTGAGGCCTTTCTGTTGCTGTGTAGAGGCGTCTGGAAAATGTGATATTTCTACTTTTGGGGATAGCAGATAGCAAGAGATGTGCTTTAGATGTAGAAGAGCAGGTGACGGAGCTGGGTAGCTGGCTCTCTGATGGAATTCCGTGACGGAGACCTTCCTGTTGCTGCGTAGTGATACCTGGAGAGTGTGATGCTGATACTGTTGATGATAGCAGGTGGTAACTAAAGATGTGCTTTAGACGTAGAGGAGGGAGTGGTTAGAGGTGGTTGGCTGGCTGGCTGGCTGATCTGGAGCTAGAATTAACTGCCAGCGACCTTTCTGGTGCAGCGGAGCGGTGTCTGGAGGGCGTGATGTTGGCCTGTCTGTTTCTGCCGTGCTTCGCTTCGTGACACGGTTGAGAGATTACCGGCAGAGGAAACGTTGTCAGGACTGTGTGGGAAACATGCGGGCCGCTTCATGGAATATCACTCGGTAGCGCCGGATCACGTGCGTGGCCATTGGAGCGAAACTACACCTGCACAGGCGTTCATCTAATAGCGGAATTGAGAAGTAGAAGTGAAAATTGGAATATTGTATAATAAACCACATGGCAAGATAAGAAGACGTGTTTTCAAATACACCTCATTTCGCTGCGCCTTGGAAGCGCGGGCCACGATCATTTATTATCAAGTAGCTGAGATATACTCACAGAAGAAGTATATCTACCGCTGAGCTGGTAACACAATCTGGCTTTTCTATCTAGATATACATAAGTATATGATTCCGATTATCCTGCGGCCCTTTCCCTAGACAATACACACCGCCATCCCACAAAGAAGATAATCAACTCCAGCTCCACCACCACTCCAAGATGATAATCAACCTCGAAATCCGCCACGGTCAGTATCCACCTCCAAAGGTCTTCACAGCCTTCTCCCCCCAAGCTTCCCCACAGCCCATACTCACCCCCACAGACACAGCCACCGCCATCATCACCGCCTCCCCCGACGACAGCTCCCTCATTTCCACCCTCATCCCACTCATCCAACCCCAGCTCACCCTCCCACCCACCAAATGGGACCTCTCCTTCGGGTCCACCCGTCTCCTCCCCTCCCGGTCCCTCATCTCATACGGCATCCACGACGGCGCCACCCTCTGGGTCCGTCCCCGCACCCACTCCCTCGATGCCGGCATCTACCCGCTCACCCTCCTGTTCAAGAAGGCCGGCAGCCAACACACCATACAGCTGGCGCTCAGCACAAACTACACCGTTGACCAGGTGAAGCGCGAGCTGCGCGCTGTGCTGGGCGAGACGAGGAGCACGGGGTTTTGTCTGTATAGGAAGAAGGACGAGACGAAGCGGCGGGATGTGGAGAGGGGGGTGGAGGTGGGGGCGGAGGAGGAGATGCGGAGGGGCGTGGAGATGGAGGGGGGGCGGACGCTGGGGCAGTGTGGGGTGCTGGATGGGGAGGTGGTGGTGTGGGGGTTTGACCGGAGTGTGAGGAGGGAGGCGCGGAGGAAGGCGAGGAGGGCCGGGGAGAAGGCGAGGGAGAGGGTGAAGGGGTTGAGGGAGAAGTATAAGGGAAAGAACGCGAGAGTAAGAGATACAGACGGAGGGGGAAATGAGGGGGGTGCTCAGGTGGTTAATGAGGTCGAGGAGGAGGAGGGATGGGCGGCCGACGAGGGGGAAAGTGAGGGGTCGGATAGTGATACCTCAGCTAATTAGCTTTCTCTTGACGGTTGACGAGCACCATAACGACAGCATCTGTGAATGCCATTCACGCTAACGGGGAGGAGCTTTATACAGAGATCATCCGTTTGAGCGCCGTCTGTATAGGTGGCCTATTTATCGAGTAAACACAAGCGCTACATAGGCAAAGGTCTTGTAACTGCTAGCATCATGTAATACATTCAGAACCAGAGGAACCTGGTAGTAGTTTTGTTGAGTCGGTGGGCAGAACGTAGTTTACTAGATTGTGTATTGAGTCTTTCTGCTCTTGACATGTTTAGTTGCTTTCCTAGGTAGTAAGCAAGCACGTGTAGCTGTAAGATTAGGGTCGTAAAGAACTGAGACCCAGATGGCATTAGAAATTAAAGAGGATTCTGAAATCTGATTATGGCGGTAACCAGTGACAAAGGTCCAAAACCATGATCAGTCCCTCCACATCTGCCGACCAAAAACACCTATCCGCTGCATCGAGGTAAGTGTCCCCGGTTAATTTGTGGAATACAGCAACGGCCTAGCTCCACCAAGAGCAATGTTGCATCCTCAAAGTCTCCAGAGCTGCAACACCGAAAAGTGCAGATAGCTAGCCGAAACGCAACGCTAGACCCTGAACATATCATATGTCCAGATATCTGTTTGTCCGGCATTCTGCATCACGCCTCGAGACATCTACCTTCTCCGCCAGCTCGTCAGCACGCAAATATCCATCTACAGCGGCCTTTACAGACACGTAAGCGAGTCTACCATAACATGTTGTCTCCTTCTGGCCGGCCGGGGCATAAATGACATCACACAGCTTCCTACATGATACGCTCTTTATATATCGCTTGACCGCAAAGTCAGAGAACCGGCCAAAATGACCACAACCTATCCCACCCAGGCCGCACCAGCGGCCCCCGCAAGCAGCACCGAAGCCCCACCAGTGGCTCCCCCAAGCAGCACGCAAGCCCCAACAGCGGCGCCCCCAAGCAGCATCGAAGTCCCACCGCGCCCCCCCAACCCCACCCTGCGCCTTCCTAAGCCCGACGCATACACTATCATTGTCGAGCTCGACGACGCAACCTCCGACACATCCCTGAACTCGCCCACGTCGGACTGCTCAGAGTGCCAGCTGATTGCGAACGCGGGGCTGTTCGACAGCGTGAGGGAGGGGTTTCAGGAGCTGGGGCGGAGGCTGGAGTGGCTGGAGGGTCAGCTGAGGATTGCGGTAGAGGAGCAGAGGGAGATGGAGGTGAGGTTGTCGGAGGTTATGGAGCTGGTGGAGAGGGTGATGGAGGGGTTGGAGTATCCTTAGGGTTGTTTTGGGTGTGGGGCGGTGTGGTGGTGGGTATGGCGAGTTCGGGGGAGGTTGGGGGGGGGTATGTTTTAGTCGGGGTGGGTTTAGATGTGGACAGGAGGATGTGAAGCTTAAGACGCAGTGGATTCTCTAGTTGCGCTAATATTAATAAGACCAATGGCCTTTTCAAGTAGCAAATTTGTACTCGTGCTCGTTTGAGATACTGATTCCGTGACAGTGGGGTCCGACTTACTGTGCTTTCAACTCGGCGTAGCGTATTTAAATGATTTAAAATGATTTCGATACTACCAGTGTCTTGAGCTCTAGCTATATTGCGCGCTCTTTTGATACACCAGAGTGCAAGTAGATAACAAGGGGCCACCGCCGTTTGCTAGACCAGCGCAGGCATCTGCCAGTAGGTAAATAAAGCACGTCTCAAGAAGTCACAAACCATGACGAAGGGATTTATAATATGTAGGAATAATTCGAGAGTAGAAAATTGAAACCTTCTTCATCCCAAATTCGCTTTTGGTCAATTGATACTTTCCATTTCTATGATAATTTGGCTATTACTCACAGGCAGAATTCCTCATGATATATAATCGTTTTAAAGTTTAATTGTTACTGTCTTGTGAATGCTATATATGACGTTGCTCTCGAAATACTGTCACTGAGTACTAAAGATACCGACTTGGGAACATCGGTATGACATTGAGGTGGCTAATGGATTTCAAAGCAAGATCCAATGTAGTTTATGAGTTTGGCCCATGATCCGCACTGCTTCTAAAGGGTACACCACTTTGTTGACGCAAGAATAAAATATAAAATTTTTTTTTTTTTTTTTAACTTTAGCAATAATATCAAAACCCTGCAGCTTATTGTTACAGGGGACTAGATAGATCAATAAAACCTATTAACTTTATTAGAACAAATGGATTCTTCTCAAGATAGCGATAATGCCTAGAACTTTTCCGGAGAAATTAAGAATAGAATATTTGTGATTCTGGGTGGTTTAAGGCAACTATTATGTAATATGGTGAATATGTTTAATGCCTTGAGGCAATTAATTGTGTTTTATCAAAAGACAATACAGTGAGTATATATATTCCATAGAGTTTGGTAATCAGTAATGGCAGTAGGTATCCTAGTGTGTCTTACCGTATAGGATAGAACAGTATGGTAATCGTTGTATATAGGAGGAGGAAAGTTATAAATGTAATTAATTTTAGTTTATGAATGACGGTGGAGAGAACAGTGAAACCAGAATCTATATGGAAAGAAATCGTAAATATAGTATTACAACAGCAAAGACATTAATATATTTTAAACTTTTAATAATTGAGCTAGGTCAGGATGAGATGAAAAATCTGCAAATCCTATATAATCTGATCAATAATTTGAATACTACAAACAGAGGTTCCAACGGCAATAACCAAATGAGAATATATTACTATTATAGATATACCATTCTGAAAGTGTAAGAATTAATATATTTTAATCTTGTAATAATTGAGCCAGGTCGGAATAAAATATAAAATCTGCATCCCTTCTAGGATTTGTATTTTAAGCTTATCTCTATCAATATCCAAAGCGCTAATACTGAAATCATAATAGAAATAGAATATGATTGGAAATATAGTGTTTTTACTGATTTGAAATTGATATCTTATAAACTTATAATAATTGAGCCAGATTAAAATAATTTGTAAAATATGTATCTCATGTACATTTTGACACTCAAAAAAAATCTTGTATTAGTCAGAAAAGCCAAATTTTCAACAATAATGGAAATGAATGATTATTGAAAATCAGAGTCTATAAAGAGTAGAAAAGCATATAATTTAAACCTATAAAACTTAAGCCAAATTGGAAGTACCTGTATAGTATGTTTTCCCTATACACTCCGAGTCCTCAAGGTTGAAGGATAAAGCGTGGATTGGAGAATTTAATATGATTATTAAAAACAATGAAATTGCAATGCTTGTTTGAAACTTTAAACGGCACTAAGAAATCTTTTTTTTTTTAAAACCATTTAGTATAATCTTGACTATAATGAAATACAGGAGTAACTATCAAGTAACTGGTTTTTTTACTTTGAAAACAACGTCCTACCAAACCCATATTTCTGAAATCACGTTTATCTCCACAAACAGGTCTCGTTAGTAAGATCCATTTGTAGATTTGGAATCTACGCAAAACTCGAGCCATAAAGAAGGTACCCAATGTATATAATGAGAGTTTTATTTTTCACTTATTTCAGAGCCGATAGCAATAAAATGACTAATAACTCCACAACCAGGCTGCGCAGGTACAATCTGATTGCAGATTGGGAATCTACGTAGAAATTCTGTTTTAGGGAAGATATCGAAGGCTTTACTCGAGAGTTCTGAGTCCTTTTCAATTACGGTTACGAATATATCCCACCGTAGGGATCATACAAAGTTATAAGGGCATTGATGAGTGCTATAGGAATGTTAGACCCAATTGGACTCTCTAATTCAAAATTGATTTCGTTCTGCTATGCATACGGCGGATTGGAATAAGGAGGTAATGTAACAGAGCTATTTCAACTGTCTGGTGTATGAGTACACAAAGGGCCCGGCTACATGCTGAGAGTTATTGTTAGAAGCCAGTTGCATGGTGATATGCAAGTACCGGCAGTTTGGTTAGCTACCAGCTCTTAGAGTAACTACATTCCGGGTGCTAGGAAGGGGATCTATTCATGGGAGCAATGACTGACGAGTCTATGCCTCGCCAGTGACTAGAAGACTAACCAGAATGAAGCTCTGATTGCCCGGTGAACCTCTGTATCCTCTGAGCATTGTAAGTCCCCCGAAGGGCAGGGACTATACTAGGGAAGTCTACAATAAGGGAAAGCTCTAAAGCAACGATTAAGCTTACACCTGAGCAGCACCTTATTCATGCAGGTCCCGGTTGTGTGGCAACCAAACCTGAAGGTATTACAAAGGCTTTGACTAATGGTGGTTGCCTTGGGTATCGGAAACACCTGCTGACACTTAGAGAAAAGCGGAGTAGCGGTGGTATTGTTTCCCGGACCGAGGAAAGGCTGCACCGGAACTTAGTAAGGAGTTAGGAGCAGAGAATAGAGGCCTTCGGAGTATAAGTACTCAGGTTCATTCTCGCCCTTCACTCTTGTTCTCTCGAGTCTTCATCAGAAAGAAAAACCAACTTCTTATCGGTAGCAGAGCTCTTAAAGATCATTGAGTTCTAGCGATAGTATCTTTGAATAATCTGCAACCTGATTGCTCATCTTGCATAGCCATCTCTATTTTATCCTATTCTATTTCTCTTAGAAGAGACCCCCGTTACAGGTAAAGATTCGGCCATTCAGTATCTGAGTCTGGCTATCCAGCAAGCTCGCTCCAGGAAGGCAATACTAGTCCTTGCTTGCTGCTTACGCATGGATATTCACCTTTTCAGATGAGCTGTATCATGGCCTCGACCTCAAGGCTAATTATGCTTTTCACACATTGACAGAAACTTACACCTCCATCAAAAATTGGCTAGTCATCACTAGTACACAGGACAGTGCTCATATCAGTATCCCGTTACTGACCATACAGTGACGTTAAGGATACCCAGTATAATGGGGGTCTCGTCTAAAAGAAATTGAATAGGATAGAATAGAGACGGCTGTGCAAGATAGACAATCAGGTTGCAGATTATTCAAAGATACTATCGCTAGAAGTCAATAATCTTTAAGGGCTCTGCTACTGATAAGAACTTGGTTTTTTCTTATGATAAAGACTGAAGAGAACAGAACTGAAGTGCAAGAATGAACCTGAGTACTTATATTCCGAAGGCCTCTATTCTCTGCTCCTAGCTCCTTACTAAGTTCCGGTGAAGCCTTTCCTCAGTCCGGGAAACAATACCACCGCTACCCCGCGTTTCTCTAAGTGTCAGTAGGTGTTTCCGATACCCGAGGCAACCACCCTTACTCAAAGCCTTTGTGACACCTACAACCTCGGTTCCTACAGAACTGGAGCCTCCATGAATGAGCTACCGCTGAGATGTAAGCTTAATTATTGCTGCAGAGCTTTCGCTTATTGTAGACTTCACTGGCATAGTCCATGCTACAAATCGGCTGACTTGCAATACTCAGAGGATACAGAGGATCACCGGACAATCAGAGCTTCACTCTGGCTGGCCTTCTAGTCACTGGCGAGGCATAGACTCGTCAGTCATTGCTCCCATGAATATATCCCCTTCATAACGCCTGGAATATATATACTCTAACAACAGGTACCTAACCATACTGCCGGTACTTGCATATCGCTATGCAGCTGGCTTCTAACAATAACTCTCAGCATGTAACTGTGCCCTGTGTATACTCATACACCAAACAGTTGAAATAGCTCCGTTACAACAGGCTAGGAAGGAATTTCCTCCCCCCCCCCCTTCCAGTCCCAAAGAAATATCAGGCAGGGATATTTAGAAGGCACTCAACAAGTACATAACTATTTCTAGCACATCTATTGTCACTTACCAGCTTGCCACAGAGAGAGGTAACAAAGGTTTCACTTCATTGTTTGGTAAAAAAGGTAAGAATAAACCTTACTGATATTATTTTGAGCTCCTGCTAATATTTTTAGGAAATATGATTAAGGTATTCTTTGACGTCGATTTGGATTTTCCCCTGTACAAGAGGAAATCTAAAACTGTTAACGGTAAACCTCTTGAAAAGATTGAAGAGATTATCGCTATATACCAGACCATCAACCTACCTCCAGGAGTCTTCTATGTCGCGCTTGACTCCAAATTCCGTCGGCTTTTTATTTACTTCAATAAAGCCTTTGAAACAGTTCACGGGCCTCAAATTGGGCAATGAGTTCTGGATTCGACAACATAGAATATCGATGAGTACTCCCAAATTCACTCTCCTGCTATGTATAAGGATAAAAGGCATTTCAATTGGAATGATTGGCTTCTTTCTAATCCTCATCTTTGTTGGACACCTTGGTCGAGAGCTGGTGTTTACCATTGGGGATTTTGGATGG